AAAAGACGATAGTCTTTGGCAAGAAAATGTGTGAAAATACAAAGACTATAGTCTTTGGGATGAAAATGTGTTAAATTGCAAAGATTATAGTCTTAGGCATGACAATGTGAAAATGCAATGAGTATAGTCTTCGGCATGAAAATGTGTGAAAATACAAAAAATATAGTCTTTGGCATTAAAATGTGTGAAAATGCAAACACTATAGTCTTTGGCATGAGAATGTGTGAAAATGCAAAGACTTTAGTCTTCGGCATGAATCTAACTATCAAAGACTATACTTCGTGCCTCACTCCAAAGCATTGAGTTGGAATGTTCTTAATATGAATGTTTATGTAGTTGTAAGACATAAGAGATAATGAAAGATATAAGCGACGTTTTCAAGTCAGTTCATTTTATGAAAGTTGTGTCATTGCTTAGTTTAAATGTGGTAGACGACATGAGCCACCTTTAAAGTAAATGGTTTGAGCCCTGGGGTATCGTTATATGTTTGTAAATGTACATCGTCCAGGTTGGTATAGTCCTGAGAAGGACTGTTTTTGTTGTTGTTGATAATGATGCTTATTTAGTTTATGATACCATACCTTCACTATACATTTATTATGGTACAATACAAACAATACCTTAACATTATCATACTTGTATATAAACAAACAAGAATTACTATAGCCTTGACATCACTAGTTTTTCAAAGGTTTATCTAGATGAGATAAGTCCCATGTTGATGAAAGTGTGTTAGTAGAATCTAGTTCTTCTTGCAAGATGTCCGCACGAGATTGAAGAATAGAGACTTGCTGACGAAGAGATCGAATAGTGTCTTCAAGTTCCTGAAAAAAAGTTTTTTCCAATCAGCACCAAGTCAATAAAAACGCGAGAAATTTTTAATGCAATCATTTACGTTTTTCATTTGTCGAGGAAGCAAATTGTTCATTTTCTCTTCATATTCATATTGAAGTTTGGAAATCTGAAATGGAACGTGGAAACACTGCTAAATTATCACCGGCTGACTCCTATACAATACACGATATCCAATATGACAAACTCCTTATCACAATACATCCTCAAGAGTACACGCATATCCTTGAGGTTCTCAACAATTTACATACATACCTTTTCTTGTAGATCGATCTCCGTTTTTCTTGCTTCTTTTTCAGTTTCTCTGGTCAAATTTTTTAGACGTTCTATATCGTTCTCTAGTGACTATTTAACAACAAAAGTGTTTCAACTGGTTATTAAATTGGTTATTTTTAGAGATGCGGGAAATATTCATTGATATGTACCTTACATGGACTGCGCGTTCCCAATATGGTGAGTGCAAAAATTTGAAGCCGGAAGTAGACAGCTCTAATTAGATGCTCCGCCATATTGAACAGTCCCATTCAAAAGAATAATCGATAGTAAAGAACCACGATAGCAATGAATTTTGGAGCGCATTGTACTTATACACCCTAAAAAATCTTTCAACGTGAAGCAAAAAGCATTCTCTTGCGATAGTAACTCTCAAATGGTGTTACAAAAGTTTGGAAAAAACCCTTTCTTTACAGTACAACTGCTTCCTACACTTAATCTTGTTAAAGCTAATATGTAGCAGTTTCGTCAAAGCACCATAAGAGACGATTCTCGCAATTTTTCATAGCAGAAAATGATACAATTTGTATGTCACCCTCCTAAAGTAGGATTGTACAATATGGCGGCTTTCCGGCTTCAAATTCAATCAGTGAAGCGCGATCCGTGTAATATACATATGAATGGAAATATTTATTACCTTTATTACCACTGAATGATGATTCTTAAGCATTTCTTTATCTTCTTCGTGTTTACGTGCTGTGATATTGAAGCGTTCCTCGTGAGAATTTTGCAAACTACACATTAAGATAACATTTTAGTGTGTACATCCAGGTTATTGAGATCAATGGATGGCGGTGTTGTGATAAGATATACAGTGGTAGTGCATGATGATGGTAAGTTTTGTTTTACTTTGAAAACAATAAGACGAATAATGAAGAAACTACTGTAGGGGAAGGATGAACAAGGAGGGAGGGGGAAGGAAGGAATAAGGAGTGGATGGAATGGAGGGGTAGTGGATGGAAGGAGAGGGGTGGATGAATGGAAGGTGGATGACAAGGAGTGGAGGTGAAGGTGACGAATGGATATGAAGAGATGAAAAGAAGGAGGAGGATGAAGGAAGGAGGTGGAATGGAAGGAAGGAAGGATGGAAGGTGGAAGGGTGGAATGGAAGAAGGAATGGAAGGAGGTGGAATGGAAGGAAGGAAGGAGGGTGGAAGGTGGAAGGAAGGGATGAAGGAGGGTGGAATGGAGGTGGATGGAAGGGTGGATGAACGAGGGAGGTGTAGTTAGAGGTGAGATGAACAACGAGAGGTGTGAAGGAGGTGATGAATGGAATGGAAGAAGGTGATGGAAGAACAGGAAGGATGGAATGAAGTGGAGGTAGTGGATGGAATGGATGGAATAAGGAGGAAGAAGGATGAATGGAATGGAAGGAGGTGGATGGAATGGAATGGATAACACAGAGGAAATGAAAAGATGGATGAAAATATCTGAACAAAGAATGGACAGAAATAAATGGCTGAAATATGAAGACGAACAAATATAAAATATGAACGACATAACAAATATAAAATATAAGATGACACAACGAAGAAGATATGATGTAGAAAACACTATAATGAATAACATAAAACCGCTAAAACGACAGTAAATGAACCTCTTGCATTTTCTTTGATCTTGCAATGTAATCTTCTTCCATTTGTTTTAATCGACTGTTTGTCTAAAATGCGGAAAAGAACAAATCCAGAACGAAGCCTAACTGAGACACATTAATTAAATGCCACCACAATTCAAATTTCCTAAAATCTAGAAACCTTATCCAAAATTTCTTCCATTTGTTTACTGTTCTGTTGTCGCTGCCATTCCAATCTTTCTTGTTCCATTTCCGTCTGAGACTTAGTTGCCTGAACATTAAAACCAACCATCATCAAAAATTGACCATTGCATGGAACATAAGGAGATGATACAAAAATGTTACAGCAAGAACGATAAAAAAACATTCTGTAAACCTGTGTTTCAAGTTTCCGTTCAAACGTCTGTTTTTCTTCATCCCGCAACATCCCTAATTCAACCAGTTGTTGCTTGTATAAACCCTCTTTCTTCATCAACTATAACATGAAAACATTTGTCAGAAATTTTTCTGTAAAATTGAAAACATCGAAGCGACTTTCAAAAACTACCAAGAATTTAATAAACATCACTATCCCCCGTGACGATACATAAACATCCCTACTTCCTACCGTAATGATACATAAACATCCCTACCTCCTCTCGTAATGATACATAAACATCCCTACCTCTTCTCGTAATGATACATAAACATCCCTAACTCCTCTCGTAATGATACATAAACATCCCTACCTCTTCTCGTAATGATACATAAACATCCCTAACCTCCTCGTAATGATACATAAACATCCCTACTTCCCGTAATGATACATAAACATCCCTACCTCCTCTCGTAATGATACATAAACATCCTACCTCCTTCGCAACGGTACATAAACATCCCTACCTCCTCTCGTAACGATACATAAACATCCCTACCTCCTCTCGTAACGATACATAAACATCCCTACCTCCTCCCGTAATGATACATAAACATCCCTACCTCCTCTCGTAACGATACATAAACATCCCTACCTCCTCTCGCAACGATACATAAACATCCCTACCTCCTCTCGTAACGATACATAAACATCCCTACCTCCTCCCGTGACGATACATAAACATCCCTACCTCCTCTCGCAACGATACATAAACATCCCTACCTCCTCTCGTAACGATACATAAACATCCCTACTCTCCTCCCGTGACGATACATAAACATCCCTACCTCCTCCTGTGACGATACATAAACATCCCTACCTCTCTCCTCGTAACGATACATAAACATCCCTACCTCCTCTCGTAACGATACATAAACATCCCTACCTCCTCTCGTAATGATACATAAACATCCCTACCTCCTCTCGTAATGATACATAAACATCCCTACCTCCTCTCGTAATGATACATTCACTTGTTGAAGTTCATTTATGGAGTTTGCATCAATTGTTGATTTATTGCGATATTTGCTTTCCATCTCCCAGAAGACGTCGTTTTCCTCATTGTTTACAGCCTGAAACAAAGATGAAAAGAAAAGGAAACATTGGATTAGATTGTTCTCGAGAAGGTTTTGACGTAACTGCCAAAGTGATGGAGTATCCATAAAATATAACGCGATATGAAAGGATGAAATTGCGAAGAAGGATAAGGAAGATGTGAGTGGATAAAGAAGGATAGAAGGGATGTGAATGGCAAAGAAGATAAAGGGATGTGGAGTGGTAAAAAGGATATGGAAAGAGATGTGAGTGGTAAAGACCAGATATGCGATGGAGCGGTGCTATATAAAGGGATGAGTGGTAGAGAAGGATATAAAGGATGTGGAGTGGTGGTGAGAAGGATATAAAGGGATATGAGTGGTAGAGAAGGATATAAAGGGATATGAGTGGTAAAGAAGGATATAAAGGGATGTGAGTGGTAGAGAAGGATATAAGGGATGTGAGTGGTAAAGGTGTAGTAAATAAATAAACCGTCACCTTTTCTCGTTCATGTTCTCTATTCAACATCTCATTCTCATGTTCATGTTCCCGTATCATTATTGCCTTTTCCTGTTCATGAGTTATTTTCAACTCTGAAACCTTCAACCGTAAATTAAAATATGTGACGTCACCATTTCCATCTTACGTCAAAATTTTAGAAAATTTGAGAGGAAAGTCTGAGAGTAGAAATCAATTTTGCTACACTGCAGGTAATGTAAAATTCAATACGAACAGTAGAAAGTATATATTTTCAAGAGATATTATAATGTTTTTTTATTTGAGAAATAGATTTCTACTTGTCTAGTTTAACAGTTCAAACACAGCATGTTTGTGACTACCGCTAAGGTTGTCGAAACTACAGTCAACATCAACAACATCGGTCCTTCTCAGGACTTTACTAACCTGGACGATCTACATTCACCAATATGTAACTATACTCTTTGGTTCAAACCATTTATTTTATTTTATCATTAGGACGACAGAGCAAACAACTTCCTAACGACTACATACGTTTTGCATGGAACGTCAGACTTGACTCTGAAGATGACTACCGGTAAGGTTGTCGAAACGTCAGTCAACAACAACAAAAACAGTCCTTCTAAGGACTATACTAACCTGGACGATCTACATTTAAAACGCGTAACGATACTCCGTGTTCAAACCATTTACGTTTAAAGTTCAAACACTTGTTGCTAATTTTATTTCCAAGTTTTCTTATATGCAGAGTGTTTAACAAAAGATTACGGTTAAAATAAATAAACTTACCAACTTTTCGTGGCGCATGCGTTCACTTTCAATTTGTCGTGTATACTCCTTCGCCTGTTTCTCACGAGAAGAACGTGATCTTTCTAGATCCTGTTCCACTTTATCCATCTGAATCCATTCATATCACAGCATAGATGATGACGTATTAACAAAGATGAAAATTCACGTGACAAGCATAAACTTACTTGTAGTTTTGCGTCCTCAAACATTTTCCGTGATGTCTCTTCCATTTGTATCTTGAATTCTGCCAAGGCCTTTTGAGCTTCCTCGTCCTTGTCACGATGTGACGCCACAGCTCTCTCTAATTCATCGTTCTTATCTCTAAGAGAAACAAAAAAGTGCATCTGAACATACAAACATCCATAAAAAAAAACACATGTATGCAAATCTGTTTTCTTTAATACCTTAACGAAGCTTCAAGTTGAAAGATACGTTTATCATTCTCATCGCGTACTTCATTTAACACTTGTTCAAGGTGACGTTCCTAATTTGAACGGATGAAGACTGTCTTCAACTGATAGTCATTGGCAATACCACACATCTTCTTTACTTTATGGCAGTAAATAAAACTCTCTTTAACTGTCAGTCATTAACAATATCTTTAACTACTAGAGTAGATTGGGTCGAGTCTTTCCTGAAGATTTCATCGTTATAGTTTGAATTTCTTTTGAGATATCATGTATTGTGCACAAAGAATAGCCAAATTTGATAAAATAGGCCCATTCGTCGCTCACATTCAAACATGAGAACTGCTTCATATTGGCTGACTCGTAGCAAACGATCAAAATTTATAATCTTACTTGTTTGTAGATGTAGATCCCTGGGTTAGTGCAGTTGTGAGAAGGAATGTTGGTGTTAGAATCCGCTGACGTTTGACACCGTTGGCGATAGTCAACGACAGCGTCAAGCGAGGAGAATATGTCCGACTCCTCGTATTGTACACAGATCAGTGTATGTAGTCAATATAAAGAGGAAAAGTGTTTCATTAGATTGCACTAACCTACACAATCTATATCTACAAACAAGTAACGATACTCCAGCGTTCAATTCATTCATTTCAACCATAACCTTATCAGTTTTTTACCAAACCGTGACCTACAACCAACGAAAAAACCATGAACTCCTCGTGCCTTTACATTACTAATCCAAGTTATATAATTCAGACCAACTCTACCTTATTCTCAAAGTTATGTTGCATTTCAACTTTTTCATGAAGATGTACTCTGGCGATTTCTTCTACATCATTGTGTCTTTCCTGTTCTTTAACTGCTATCTGTCGTTCTAACTCGAGCACGTCTGTCTTTAGTTTGTTGATTGTTGTTGATGTCTAGTGAGAATCGTGTTTTAATTAATTACTGGAAAAAATGTTCATAACAAAAGCGAAAAGGAAAGAATTGTCAGGACCTGTGTAAGAACGATTTCTTTCTCCTTTTTTTCACGGTCAACTTCATCTCTCGTTTTCTTTTCCAATTCTTTTATCTTTGTTTCGTGGTCTCTTGTCATGTTTTCAATCCTACGTTCAGAACTCGCCACACTATAAATAAATGATATACAGATTATACATATAAAATATCATTTTTAAAAATCATATTTTAATAAACATCGTACTTTTCCTTTAAATGGTCATATTCCGCCTGAAGAGTCTTTAGTTGTTTTTCACATTCACTCTTGATGAAAATAAACATACAAAAAAATTAAACTTATGAGATAAAAATGTTCTCTAAAATATATAGTTATAGGGTGAAAGACATAAATTACAAAATCAAATTAAGAATAGGATGAAAATCTATCAAAACCCAGAGTATTGTACAATGTTAATGCCATATCGATAGTGATTGGCTAAGGGCCTACAGGTAAGAAAGCTTTGGTATTTATAATTGTATAATAAAACAATTTTAAACTCAGGTTCGCGCATTGTATGGTGGTATCAGAAATACATTGTATGTATCAGAAAAACATTGTATGGTGGTATCAGAAATACATTGTATGTGGTATCAGAAATACATTGTATGGTGGTATCAGAAATACATTGTATGGTGGTATCAGAAATACATTGTATGGTGTTATCAGAAATACATTGTATGGTGGTATCAGAAATACATTGTATGGTGGTATCAGAAATACATTGTATGGTGGTATCAGAAAAACATACTATGGTGGTATCAGAAATACATTGTATGGTGATATCAGAAATACATTGTATGGTGGTATCAGAAATACATTGTATGGTGGTATCAGAAATACATTGTATGGTGGTATCAGAAAACATACTATGGTATCAGAAATACATTGTATGGTGGTATCAGAAATACATTGTATGGTGGTATCAGAAATACATTGTATGGTGGTATCAGAAATACATTGTATGGTGGTATCAGAAAAATACATTGTATGGTGGTATCAGAAATACATTGTATGGTGGTATCAGAAAAACATTGTATGGTGGTATCAGAAATACATTGTATGGTGGTATCAGAAATACATTGTATGGTGGTATCAGAAATACATTGTATGGTGCAGTATCAGAAATACATTGTATGGTGGTATCAGAAATACATTGTATGGTGGTATCAGAAATACATTTATGGTGATATCAGAAATACATTGTATGGTCAGATATTGGTGATACATTGTATGTATGGTATCAGAAATACATTGTATGGTGGTATCAGAAAAACATTGTATGGTGGTATCAGAAATACATTGTATGGTGGTATCAGAAATACATTGTATGGTGGTATCAGAAATACATTGTATGGTGATATTGGAAATACATTGTATGGTGGTATCAGAAATACATTGTATGGTGGTATCAGAAATACATTGTATGGTGGTATCAGAAAAACATTGTATGGTGGTATCAGAAATACATTGTATGGTGGTATCAGAAAAACATTGTATGGTGGTATCAGAAAAACATTGTATGGTGGTATCTTGTTGAAACAAAAACTGTCAGCAGAGCTAACATTCAAATATATAAAATGCGTCATTATTAATACCTTTTCATATTCAATATTTCTCGTTCCAGAACGTAATGTTTCACACTCAATTCTAAGTCTTTCTATCTCTTGTTCCAATTTCTTCACAACTTCATTCAAGCCTTCCATTTCTCTTTTATTTTCATCCTCCATCTTTGCAATTCTTGCATTCGTCTCTTCTAAAATATCTTGGATCTCACGAGTATGTTCCTTCTGCATTTCAAACTTCTCTTGTTCAAATTCTGATATCTTGTCGTGAAGCTGAATAAAAAAGTACGAAAAAATCAACAACCATTGACTAAGGCAAACGTTTACACTAAAGTACTCTGATGTTCTTAATTGTTCCTATGCTTCTCTAAGACATTTGTTTGCACAATATGCCTCTTAAAAAGTAACACGTTTTTATGGGAATGATAGACTTTCAATAATCTTTCGTGTTAATACTATTAAATATTTTCACCAAATTAAAAAGCTAGAATTGTTTACCTGGTCCGACAGCAATCTATCTGATATAGTGTAAACAAATCGTAAAACATCCCAACACACAAAAAAACAACTTTTATATAAACACGAAAAGAAAGAATTCTCACATTCTTTTAAAATCATTTGTTGCATTCTAACCTTCTTTTCAATATCATTTACTGCATAAACTAATAATTCTAACCTTCTTTTCAGAATCATTTACTGCAGAGATTATAAATTCTAACCTTCTTTTCAGAATTATTTAATGCATTAATTAAGAATTCTAACGATCTTTTCAGTATCATTTACTGCTTTAATTAAGAATTCTAACCCTCTTTTCAGAATGTTTTACTGAATAATTAAGAATTCTAACCTTCTTTTCAGTATCATTAACTGCTTTAATTAAGAATTCTAACCTACTTTTCAGAATGTTGTACTGAATAATTAAGAATTCTAACCTTCTTTTCAGTATCATTCACTGCTTTAATTAAGAGTTCTAACCTTCTTTTCAATATCATTTACTGCTTTAATTAAGAATTCTAATCTTCTTTTCAGTATCATTTACTGCTTTAATTAAGAATTATAACCTTCTTTTCAGAATCATTTAATGCATTAATTAAGAATTCTAACGATCTTTTCAGTATCATTTACTGCTTTAATTAAGAATTCTAACCTTCTTTTCAGAATGTTTTACTGAATAATTAAGAATTCTAACCTTCTTTTCAGTATCATTCACTGCTTTAATTAAGAATTCTAACCTTCTTTTCAGAATGTTGTACTGAATAATTAAGAATTCTAACCTTTTCAGTATCATTCACTGCTTTAATTAAGAGTTCTAACCTTCTTTTCAATATCATTTACTGCTTTAATTAAGAATTCTAATCTTCTTTTCAGTATCATTTACTGCTTTAATTAAGAATTCTAACCTTCATTTTAGAATCATTTAATGCTTTAATTAAGAGTTCTAACCTTCTTTTCAATATCATTTACTGCTTTAATTAAGAATTCTAACCTTCTTTTCAGTATCATTTACTGCTTTAATTAAGAATTCTAACCTTCATTTCAGAATCATTTACTGCTTTAATTAAGAATTCTAACCTTCATTTCAGAATCATTTAATGCTTTAATTAAGAGTTCTAACCTTCTTTTCAATAACATTTACTGCTTTAATTAAGAATTCTAACCTTCTTTTCAGTATCATTTACTGCTTTAATTAAGAATTCTAACCTTCATTTCAGAATTATTTAATGCATTAATTAAGAATTCTAACCTTCTTTTCAGAATCGTTTACTGCTTTAATTAAGAATTCTAACCTTCATTTCAGAATCATTTAATGCTTTAATTAAGAATTCTAACCTTCATTTCAGAATCATTTAATGCATTAATTAAGAATTCTAACCTTCTTTTCAGAATCGTTTACTGCATTTATTCCTCGATCTTGTTCACAATTCTTCAATTCGCAAACAGTTTTGTCTCGTTGTTCACGTAATCGTTCCATTTCCCGTGCTTGTGTCACAACTAAATATACATTTTATAAAAGTCAAACGACATCAATAAATGAAAGAATGAAAGAAGAAGAAAAACCCGAAAATTATTCCGCACATACTCTTTCTATCCTGTTTCTTCAATCTACTCTCAGTCTCCGTCAATTTATTACGATACTTCGCCTTCATTTCTTCCAATTCGTTATTTTTACGATCTAATATCTAAAAAAAACGACGCAAAATGATTTTGCGCTAACGATGATACACAAAGTGCCAGAAAATTGTTAAATAAAGTGAATGATTTGAACCCGGGAGTATTGTTAGTGAAGATCAGGTTTGAACAGTCCTTGGGCCGGTTGCACGAAGCCTGGATAGTGTTATCCATTGGATAGTAGTTTCTCAAAGCTTGTGAAAAAAAAGTATTTATGCTTTCTTTGCGATAACGAAATTTTGTAATTCTAAAACCAATATTTTATTTCATTGATTGTACAGTTCAAATCCTGGATTTTCGCTATTCAAGCGATTTTTGAAGCGTTCGAAAATATCGCTATGCAGTGGATAGTGCTATTCGACCTTCGTGCAACCGACTCCTGAAATTTAAATGTTAACTGACATTTCGACATCCTTGGCGGTAGACATCTTCAAAGTCAAATGAAAAGTGCGATCCATACAAACATTTTATGATGCTTCCAGGTTTAAACCACTCAATTTACAAGAGTCAATAACTTCACTCCAACGCCAAGGATGTCAAAAAAGTCCTTCTCAGGACTGCAGCAACCTGAAAAATCCTCACCAAAGAAAAATGGTTTTCCACAAACCTTTTGTACAGACAAATCATGCTGTTGTTGTAACCTTAATTTTTCTTCGTGAAATCTTGCTTCCATCAACTTGTTCCTTGCCTGCATCTGCAAAATTGTAAGTATCACGTTAGGACACAAGGCAACATGGTTAACGAAACACATATTATATATCTACGAAAGTACCTGTTTATCCATAGTTACTCGTTGAAGTATACTATCATCATCCTCGGTGATCGACCTCGCTAGATTAGGAAAAATCGATTTATTAATCGAAAAATGAACAGAGAAAAAACAAAAAATAAGTAAAACTTTTGTTCCAGAATATTGAGAATAATTTCTTTCACTATATTTAAACCATTTACATCGTAAAATAGAGGAGTAATTGTTCTTCTTTTCATCATTTGAGTTCATCTAACAACAAAAAAGGAATAATATAAAAAGGAATGAAGGCAATACAATTTAACTTTGTTCAAAAAACAAGAGCTATTCAGTTACAAACAGACATACATTGATTTCAAAATAGTAAATTGGCTACAGTGTCAACGAACACTTACTAAATTAGAAATAATTACTGTTAGAAACAATAAAACAATTTGCAAGTCAACTTTTCAGGACTGTGTTTTGAAATCAAGAGTTTTTCTACGAACACTTACTAAATTAGAAATAATTATTGTTAGAAATAATAAAACAATTTGCAAGGCAACTTTTCAGGACTGTGTTTTGAAATCAAGACGTTTTTCTACGAACACTCACTAAATTAGAAATAATTACTGTTAGAAATAATAAAACAATTTGCAAGTCAACTTTTCAGGACTGTGTTTTGAAATCAAGAGGTTTTGTTAAACATTTATATACCAGCACGAAGCTAAATTTTACTTGTAGGCCAGAGTGCGAGAAGACAAAGTCAAATATGAACTTGGAACTAAACATAGCTAATACTTGAAACACTCGCTATAAAGTTTGGTAGAAAGTAGCCGCCCGTTTTATATCAAGTTTAATGAGAACGGTGTGATAAAATTAAATCGGAGCATGCGCGTGCATCTCCAAAAGCTAAAGTTATCAACAGATAGAAGTTTATACTCACTGGAGTTGACACTGATTGGCTTAAATCGCCGTTGAGAATTTCACGCAGATAAATCGGTTCGTATCTCATAGTTCCTCGAGTGTTTAGCTTCGTTTTATAAGGTGACGGACTCAGTTCTTCTTCCATAGTGGTAAAATTCCTGCTACATGAAATGCTATTTTCATCATTTAGATAGCTCTCCGTTAGTGTTCTGTCAAGATAAAAACATTAATGATCCTTTACAAACTCTTGTTGTCGAAGACAATTCTAATATCACAAACCGTTTGGTTGAAGAGTGTCTTTTTGAAGGTTCGTACGACAAAATTGAGTCATCTCGCTTCATGCCTGCGTTAAAATAATAATAACATGGCGTAGAGATCTACATGAATGATGAGAATCCATCGTCCTTCTCTGAAAATACTATATTTCCACCAAGTTCTTCAAAATTCGTCATAATGAACTATCGCTAACTCACGCCCGCGCGGAGTGCGACATAAAAATCCCGCTTTCTCTAATGAATGGCAAAGTCGTTTCTTTAGCAATTGCAAGATATTTGCTAAAATATTCCAACTGAGCAATCATTCAGATAAATTACCGTCTTCGAATAATTATGATAAGATTTTGAAGCCCGAATTATTGAATGCAGAATTTTTTTTTAAATACGAGCGCTAGATCTCAAAAATGGCACAGCAAGTGAGAGCATTCAATCTTGATATGAAAACAATACATCAAAACAAATCCATCAACTCCTCATTTCCAAACCGCACTAGCTTCAAAACACAGTCAACTTTTTATTATTCAAGAGTAAAATTTATTGAGACCGTGCTTCAAAGTGTCCCTGATGATACATTAAGCTCCTCGCATATCCTACTAGGTGTAACACTGTCCTCATTCTGGTATATTAAGTTTTTAAAGTGTACCTGATGATACATTTAATTCCCTCTTTATCCAGCTAGGTGTAATACTATTTTCATTCTAGAATATCAAATACGAAAACTTGAGAACTATCATTACAAGAAATGCTGAGGAACTGGGTTTGTTTAAGTAAGTCAATTTTTTTATCAACTTACCTCATTTTCATACCATGATGATGATGATGATAACCTTGATGATTCGTCCATGTAAACGGACTGTAGGGTAAAATAAAAAAATTTCTGGATCATAAAGAATATTTAGAAGAAAAGACAAGAGATTACAGGAGAAAACATGGCTATACCAGAAATACACGTCCGCAGGGAAGACGAAAAGATTACAATGGAAACCAAAGATTGTAAAGAAAAGTACAGCAGAGTGTAGAAGAATCAAAGAAAGGATAATATAGGAAATTAGCGGAGAAAAGAAGAGAATACAAGAGACTGGGTACAAGAAAATGCAAAGAAAATCGAAAGAAAAGCTTTGGTTTGCCCATTTTAGTAAACTTCTAACAAAATATCCTAACGCCGACAAAAAACAGAGCAAAATTATCAGAGTAATGTCGATACGAAAACAACTTTCATAAAAATATAGTATTTTATATATGGCAAACAGCATGTCTCCATATTGCATTAACTTTATACGTAGATATGTGAGAGTAACACTTTCATACGATTCCGAGACAAAGCGCTTTTTCGAAATATCAGTATGCCAAAGACAAAAAGCTCGTCAAATTTCATAGATTGCAAAAATCTAAGATAGCATGGTGGGTTTGAAACTTCAATTGGCCAACAGGACAAAAGTGAAAGATTTTTCAAATCAGGTCAGATTTTTTCTATTGCGAGCCGTATCTTTTTGAAGAAAGAGTTTAGTTAGAGCTTTTCAATTAGTTAAAATCTTTTTTCCTTATAGGTCGTTTTATGAAAACTTTTCTCGTGGAGACTTTTTACCAAAGCTACGTAAATCTGAAAGTTTTAACCGAAAGCAGGATTTTCTCCTGAGCTGGAGTATTTTTGATCCAATTCAGAGTTGAAACCGACGGAGTTTGCACAGCACTAGACAAAGAAATACAAATATGGGAGAATATAGGAGGATAATGGAGAATATAGGAGGATAGTGGAAGATATAGAAAAATATAGGAGAATATAGGAAAATATAGGAGAATATAGGAGGATATAGGAGGATATAGGAGAATATAGGAGAATATAAGAGATTACCAGAGGATAGAGGAAAATATACAATTCAATTTAAAGAGCCAATAAATAGATGTCTAATGTTGTATTTTACATACCATGGATTTTGGTAATGTTGGGAGAGGTCCTGATTCAGGTCGTAGACAAAATGGTTCATCAATTATGTTTCGTTTTAACATACTTAACAGAACTTCAGCATACATATTCCTGTTTTCTCTAGAGCAAAAATGATCATGAACATTTAAAATAACTTTATGTTTACTCATTCATTTATATTTTTAAACTACAAAAGAATCCTTTATTCACAAACCAAACATGTTGAAGTAACCAAATAAATATAATAATGTTGGAGTCAACATGAACTCTAGGACATCCAAATCAGTTTACCCACCATGCTACATACAATACTACCCTCCCCTCCCCCCCATATAGAACTGAGCTGGTTGGGTGGACGGACCATGTTGTGTTTGGTGGTATTTGGGACAGCGTAAGGCCTAGAGGTACATAAGAGTTCACTCTTCACATAGGAGTAAATTCTTCAAAACTTTTGTTTATTCTGGGCTGTGTGAAAGCCGTAAAAAGGCAATGACGTGCATGGCAGTACTTGGAAATTTTACATAACACCACTTGCTTTAAATATTTTTGTGTTTCGTAGGAATTTTTTTCATAAAATGTATTCTGTAATTCAAACAACACCATTAAGGACTTGCAACGACTAACTGCCATTTGCCACATTTGTTTTCAATAGTTATTAATGAAAAATCTTCACAGGTAATTTTTTAATTTTTGAATTCAATGTTGGGAAATGCCATACTTTATCTATGGCAGATGAAGAAACTATGACATACCTTGAGTTTAAAGAGCTGCCAGGATTTTCACAAAGCTTCTTTATCCATAAAGCCATTCGCTCACGTTCTAAAGAGATGTTTTAAGGAGATGTACGTACATTTAACTACTGTAGAAATATAGTGAAATAATCTCATCATAAAATATCACCATCAAAATTATCAATAACCTTCTAAAGAAGAGAAACATACAGGCACATACAACCAAGGCATTATGCTATAATATTATACAAAAATATATAAACTGCATACAAGTCATATATTCATAAGAATCCTAAAAACTACAAGATTAAATCAATCAATGTCTTCATTAACTTGTCAACAAGTCATTGCAAACAAAGATAAAAGAACCACCCAAAGGAGTATGAAAACAATGAAGTTGATGAAGTCTTTAACAAACAGAAGATTATCAATAATCAGGATATGTCATTGGAAACAGAAGCTAAAAAAAATAACCTGATTTCCTGTCTAACTTTAGGACAAATGGTTTCATGTTTGAAACCATATTGTGAAAAGCATCATCCAGCTGGTCTGCTGAAGATAACTTTCGGCTGGATTTGGAAATCCCAACTTCTCTCCCGGACATCGCGGTGATTTTATTTACTTTGTTGAGTCAACAATGTTTAGAATTCATTTGTAAACAAAACAAAATCTCTTCATCTTTCTTTCTTTACGGACTGCAGGAGAGCAAAGTAACGTTCCATAAAGAGACACCCACTGGTATTAAAATAAGCAAACATCACTTATATATTACAAATACCGTGAAAGCGTTTTTCTAAACAATCATCCACACCAGATTCATCCTTTCTACTGTCCTCGGCGTCTTTCTCATAAATTTCTTGAGTATGCTTTAGATCATCATCAAATCATATTGTTTTGCTAAATACATTTTACACATCACGACGCATTCCAGGAGTCTAAATCAATATTATTTGAAGCAAGAAGAAAATACATTTTTTCACTTGAAACTCCCGCCATTAAAATTTGGGAAGGATAGCATACAGGGGGGGAGTACATAAAGTTATAGGGGGAGGAAGAAATATGGCTGATACTTGAATAACGAGCAATGAATGACAGTATTATTCTATCGATATTTCAAGTAGAATGTCCAGTAAACAGCAAATCAAAGAGACAATAAACTGTTTGTGTAGGATCATTATGTATAACAACGGCCGTTGGATCAAACCTGAAGTTTTTAGACTTGCAAAATTCAATAAAGTTGAGGCTGTAGAAGCCATGTGGTGCCTTCTTCGCGAAACTGTTTGGTTTATAAAATACAACACTTTTTGCGCTCAAAATGAGTTTTCCACTGCTAACACAACGCATAACATACAATGGACAAAACAGGAGCTTTATAAGCAAGGATATTACTTGAAATCATTTTATGACTTACCCGAAGATTCTTCCTGTGGCAGTCAAGAAATACTGCTGGCATTTGGATGGCTCTTTTCTAAAGCAAATGTTTTAAACAAACTATTAGACGGTTATCACAACATGTTTGAAGAGTGTATGCCTGTCGACCAGGAACTATTAGCACCCAAGCAACAAAGACCAAATTATGACCTAACAGATAATAAAGTTGAAGAAAATAATGAAGATACAATTGATAAGATCAAGCAATTATCTTGGCTTACTGGCAATCTTTCTTTTAAATTCAAGGGTCTCTTTGCTGCTGAAAACAAGTTGGCATCAAACATTGTTAGAGTTCATTCATTCACAATGGTTGGACATGAAACTAAAGGTCATCTTTCTACGATGGAAGCTTATCTTCTACGACATCCCAAAGAATGTGATAAACTGTTGAACGAATGTCAGAATTTTAATTCGTATGTTGAAAATCTTGTCAAGTTTGTCGAGACCCAAGATGTGTTTTGGAAATGGCTTCAAAGTGTTTACAACTCAAAATATTCTGACTACGATCAAGTTGGTCCTGAATGGAATGTCAAAAATCAATGTAGGTCATGTCGTAATGCTTTGAAGACAAAAATGTTTGATATTAATGGATTGCAGGATGAAATTCAAAATGGTTTCACAAATTCAGAGATAGAAACTTTTTATCCCAAAAGTACTTTTAATAGAACACTTCGAGATTTCTCTGATGATTTGAGCTTCTTAAAATGTAACGAGAAATTGAGGATATTTCCTGAAATGAAAAAAGTTCCTTGTGAAAAGGCATCCGTAAAGAGCAGTGTTCAAAAAGCAATTGAATCTGTGAATAAAAATATTGCAAAGATTGAATTAAGTATTGCTGAATTACGTAACAAACATCTTCAAATATTAAATGTGATGATGGAAGAATTAGAAGAAGCTGTTTTGTTCACCATTGAAAATAGCAAATATAAAGAAATAAGAAGTAAATGATTATTCTTTGCTAAATGCAATCCTATTGCTCAAATTGCTTTATGTCAAATATAAATTCACATAAATAGCCATATGTCATTTATAGATGTCACACGCAACATCACAAATCTTTAAATATTTGTAGACATAGATGTTGATGTTGACTTGCATTTTCCATGATCTTAGCCGTAGTCATCTTTAGAGTCAAGAATCTATTGCTAGGAAGGCCCTGAAGATGACTACTGACAAGGTTGTCGAAACCCAACTTGACATCAACACCAACTGCAGTTCTCTTCAAATATCTTTAGTAAATGCTGAAGCCTAGTAGTAAAGCCTGACCTGGAGTTTTGGAAGAGCATTATGTTGAACACCAAACACAGAAGCCTTTCTAGGTCAGTTTGATGGGAAGCTCCCTTGGAAATATTTTTAAATGTAGAATCCTACAATACACAATTATAGATAGTATATTAGTCATCACCCCTCCTGGATTTCATCTTTTCACAAGGGCAGTCCTTCAGCCAATTTGGTTGGGGGCATCTGCACCAAGGGTATGACACTACCACTGCCCTGTCTAAATGATCCTGGGGTCAAGGGCCTCAAAAGGCAAGAATGATAGAACTACATCTTAGCATGTTCAAGTTTGCTACATTTAACGTTTTACCGCAATACTCATGAACTTACTTCCCTTATTTTCTTGTTGGGCAACTACTTTCTTTTCTTTTCATTTGCACAAAGACAAGAATATTCCAAAATATTGCTGTTGTGCACAGTGTCTCTTGTTTTGTGGCCTGTTGAGTATTGACATCTCTATATATTTATCATAGATGTATGTAAGGTTCTATATAAATAAGTATAAATTAAGCATGCATTATAACTCATTATGCAGACAAAGTCAAAAATCTTCTAGAATATATTATTTATCCTCAGAGACCATGAGAATCATACACTGAGTGGGAGAGAGGAAGGTTGGACAAATTTGTCATAAGGGTAAGGAGACAAACCCCCACCTCCTAGTTCATATGCTAAAAGTGGTCCTACCCTGGCAATGGTAGTAAAACAATCACACCATCTGCCATAGCAATGGTAGTAAAACAATCACACCATTTGCCATAGCAATGGTAGTAAAACAATCACACCATCTGCCATAGCAATGGTAGTAAAACAATCACACCATCTGCCATAGCAATGGTAGTAAAACAATCACACCATCTGCCATAGCAATGGTAGTAAAACAATCACACCATTTGCCATAGCAATGGTAGTAAAACAATCACACCATTTGCCATAGCAATGGTAGTAAAACAATCACACCATCTGCCATAGCAATGGTAGTAAAACAATCACACCATTTGCCATAGCAATGGTAGTAAAACAATCACACCATCAGGAGACATCAATAAATTGAAACAAATTTCAGTAAAACAACCACAATGGTTATTTGATCAATAATAATAGATTAACAACAATACAGCAACACAATTTCCCAAATAGCAACATAATAGGAAAAATCAACACATATCCAGTCAAATCTCCATACCACACAATGAACTTTTTCTCACATTATTTTCAACAGGTAGTAAAACAATTACAAAGAAATCTTCCAATGTCGACAAGAAATGCTGCAGTAATAAAACAACATCAAACAAACACATTCCAAGAAAATTCACGCAATGATTTTCATCGAACAGCAAAAAGTAAATTTTTGGTTAAAGTTAAGTATTAAGAATTAAATCAAAGAACATATTTTCAACTTTAAATTGAAATCTCTTGTTGACATAGTTATGTTATATAAAATTTGCAGCCAGCCTAGTTCAACATTACCACATCTTAAACAAGAGAATATAGAAATTTACAAGCAAAGATAAGTACATCAGCCATATTACCTCAGAAATGTTTCTACTCAACAATCATAAGGTCATTATCAATTCTCAATGAACATTGTCGTGGAGAAGATTACTGAACAAATTAACATTACATTTTATAAATACAAATTTATGTAAGAATCTTTTCTCGATTAACAGCAGTGTCTTGTATTTTCAGGTGGTCGCGAAACACATATTCAACACGATTTTGACTGCAATAATTAAAGACATTAATAAGAAAACCACTGCCAACCTCTAATAAGATCTCCTACAGAAAGGGCAGATCTGGCTCATTTAACATCTGTATGAAGAGATGAGCTTTGTATATTGAAGTGATAAGTGAACTACACTCTTGCTAAAGTAACTAAAATTTTCAACATACAATATTTGTTGGTAAATGTTATTTGTCCATTTTACATATGAAGACTGTTGATGTTGATCTTGACTAAAGTTTGACAACCTTATGTGGTCATCTTCAGAGTCACTGCTGACCTCAAGATTGACTCCTAAGATGACTAACTCAAGATTGACTCAAAGATGACTACCCAAGACTGACTCTAAAGATGACTAACTCAAGATTGACTCTAAAGATGACTACCAAGATTGACTCTAAAGATGACTAACTCAAGATTGACTCTAAAGATGACTAACTCAAGATTGACTCTAAAGATGACTAACTCAAGATTGACTCCAAAGATGACTAACTCAAGATTGACTCTAAAGATGACTAACTCAAGATTGACCAAAGATGACTAACTCAAGATTGACTCCAAAGATGACTAACTCAAGATTGACTCTAAAGATGACTAACTCAAGATTGAAAAAGATGACTAACTCAAGATTGACTCAGATGACTAACTCAAGATTGACTAAAGATGACTAAACAAGATTGACTCTGAAGATGACTAACTCAAGATTGACTCAAGATGACTAACTCAAGATTGACTCAAAGATGACTAACTCAAGATTGACTCCAAAGATGACTAACTCAAGATTGACTCAAGATGACTAACTCAAGATTGACTCTAAAGATGACTAACTCAAGATTGACTCTAAAGATGACTAACTCAAGATTGACTCCAAAGATGACTAACTCAAGATTGACTCTAAAGATGACTAACTCAAGATTGACTCCAAAGATGACTAACTAAAGATTGAAAAAGATGACTAACTCAAGATTGAAAAGATGACTAACTCAAGATTGACTCCAAAGATGACTAACTCAAGATTGATAGATGACTAACTCAAGATTGACTCAAAGATGACTAACTCAAGATTGACTCCTAACTCAAGATTCCAAGATGACTAACTCAAGATTGACTCCAAAGATGACTAACTCAAGACACTCCAAAGATGACTAACTCAAGATTGAAAAGATGACAACTCACCTTGATTGACTAACTCAAGATTCACTCTAAAGATGACTAACTCAAGATTGACTCAAAGATGACTAAATTGACATAAAGATGACTAACTCAAGATTGACTCCAAAGATGACTAACTCAAGATTGACTCAAAGATGAAACTCAATTTCCAAGATGATAACTCAAGATTGACTCTAAAGATGACAATCAAGATTGACTCCATAGATGAGTAACTCAAGATTGAAAAGATGACTAACTCAAGATTGATTCAAAGATGACAATCAATTGCAAAATTTAACTCAACATTGACTCTAAAGATGAACAATATTGACTCAAAGATGACTAACTCAAGATTGACTCAAAGATTAACTCAAATTGACTCTAAAGATGAAACTCAAGATTGACTCCAAAGATGACTAACTCAAGATTGACTTAAAGATGAAATCTCCAAAGATGTTAACTCAAGATTGATATTAACAATCAACCATTGCCAAGATTAACTCAAGATTGAAGATTAACAAGATTGACTATGAGTAACAATCACAATTGCCTAAAGATGACTAACTCAAGATTGCAAAGATGACTAACTCAAGATTGACCTAAAGATGACAACTCAAGATTGAAAAGATGACTAACTCAAGATTGACTTAAAGATGACTAACTCAAGATTGACTCATTAATCAAGATTCAAATGACTAACTCATTGACTCGTGACTAACTCAAGATTGACTCCTGACAACAAGATTGACTTAAGATGACTAACAAGATTGACTCCAAAGAACTAACAAATTCACTCTAAAGATGACTAACTCAAGATTGACTCAAAGATGACTAACAAGATTTCTAAAGATGACTAACTCAAGATTGACTTAAAGATGACTAACTCAAGATTGTCCAAAGATGACTAACTCAAGATTGACTCTAAAGATGACTCAAGATTGACTCCAAAGATGACTAACTCAAGATTTCTAAAGATGACTAACTCAAGATTGAAAAGATGACTAACTCAAGATTGACTCCAAAGATGTTAACTCAAGATTGCCAGATGACTAACTCTGTAAAGATGACTAAAGAAATTGAAAAGATGACTAATCTTGACTCTAAAGATGACTAACTCAAGATTATCAAAGATGACTCAAGATTGATCTAAAGATGACTAACAAGATTGACTTAAAGATACTAACTCAAGATTGATAAATGACTAACTTGACTCTTAACTCAAGATTGATAAAGTGACTAAAAATTTGACTAACTCAAGATTGACTCAGATGACTAAAAGATTGACTCTAAAGATGACTAACTCAAGATTGACTCAAAGATACTCAAGATTGACTCTAAAGATGACTAACTCAAGATTGACTAAGATGACTAACTCAAGATTGACTCTAAAGATGACTAACTCAATATTGTTCTAAAGATGACTTTGGATGACTGTGTTGACTCTAAAGATGACAACTCAGATTGACTCAAAGCTGACTACCTCAAGATTGACTCCAAAGATGACTAACTCAAGATTGACTCCAAAGATGACTACCTCAAGATTGACTCTAAAGATGACTAACTCAAGATTGACTCTAAAGATGACTACCTCAAGATTGACTCTAAAGATGACTAACTCAAGATTGACTCTAAAGATGACTAACTCAAGATTGACTCTAAAGATGACTAACTCAAGATTGACTCCAAAGATGACTAACTCAAGATTGACTCTAAAGATGACTAACTCAAGATTGACTCTAAAGATGACTAACTCAAGATTGACTCCAAAGATGACTAACTCAAGATTGACTCTAAAGATGACTAACTCAAGATTGACTCCAAAGATGACTAACTCAAGATTGACTCTAAAGATGACTAACTCAAGATTGACTCTAAAGATGAGTACCTCAAGATTGACTCTAAAGATGACTAACTCAAGATTGACTCTAAAGATGACTAACTCAAGATTGACTCTAAAGATGACTAACTCAAGATTGACTCCAAAGATGACTAACTCAAGATTGACTCCAAAGATGACTAACTCAAGATTGACTCTAAAGATGACTAACTCAAGATTGACTCCAAAGATGACTAACTCAAGATTGACTCTAAAGATGACTAACTCAAGATTGACTCTAAAGATGACTAACTCAAGATTGACTCCAAAGATGACTAACTCAAGATTGACTCTAAAGATGACTAACTCAAGATTGACTCCAAAGATGACTAACTCAAGATTGACTCCAAAGATGACTAACTCAAGATTGACTCTAAAGATGACTAACTCAAGATTGACTCCAAAGATGACTAACTCAAGATTGACTCTAAAGATGACTAACTCAAGATTGACTCTAAAGATGACTAACTCAAGATTGACTCAAAGATGACTAACTCAAGATTGACTCTAAAGATGACTACTCCAACGGCATCAAAACATTGGTCAACACAAACACCAACAAACTTCCCAAAGCTACACTAACTTGGATGAGCAACACCTAAATAATCCCAAGTTCAAACTATTCACTTTTTACATCAATGTTATAATGGCCTGCTAAACACAACCTATTGGTGCTGTATGTAAGGCCTTAATAACAAGAATGATGTTAAACTGGAGAGTTTTGACTACAAGAACAATAACCTGTATATAGTGTAAGCTTCAGCCTGCGCGGGATCCTTTATATTTGGATCATTAAGTAAATCTTGGACACCAAGAAGAATCTGAAATGAACAATTTTAACGTGAGATTAATGAAACAAAAATAGATTTACTGCAGAGGTTGGCAGGGAGCAAATTAACCATATCTGTAACCATTATAAAATATAATGAAACTGAAATGAGAAAAAATTAGCCAGGTTTAACATAGTGTATGATGAAGTCTTATTTCTATTAACAAATAAACACAGTAAAAATCACATTAAACATGCTGAACATGACCGCATGCCATCCACTGAAGATGTAACTGAAAGTGAGGACAGTTTGATAAAACCTTTTTTAATGGCATAACTAATAGGGCTGTGCAAACTCTGGTTTTCAGCCGCCTCTTGTCAAATCTGAACTCTGGCTTCTTGTCAAATCTGAACTCCGGCTGTCAAATCTGAACTGGCTCCAGCTATTTTATAACTCGAATCACTGGTTGTGGCAGTTAATTTTGCAACTCACTGTTCAACAGTTTAAGATATATTATTAGTAAAATTTTTACATGTGAAGTTAAATTTCCGCCTCCGACTTTGAATCATAAATTAGCATGTGTGAATGCAATCTAGCGTCATGTTGTGTCATCCATAAAATGATTATTTTCATGCAAGTTTTCAATTTTAGCCAATAGTTATGATTCATTGATACAAAATATTTTGATCAGACATGTTTACCAAAGTTTGACAGTATTTTGCAGAACAAACAACTGCTGCCAGAGCTTTGCTGGAGATGAACAAACTCCGGAAAGCAAAAATAGCCGGAGCTCCAGCCTCCTGTGCATAGCACTAATAACTAAGAATCAAGATGACACACTATAGTTGACAAATGAAAGCATGAAAATGCACTTCAACTCATTATTTGTATTTATAACTACAAGGTGTATGATTTAAATGATCCCTATGGTGACACAATTGAATATCCTGCTACCACTTTTTACATACACCCTACAAATTAGCCTGGATTTATCCATGCGTTAATACATCGCAACAAACATCTGACCTGCTTTATAGTAACTGCTGGTCGCCAATCTTTCTCCTCATCTAATAGTGACAAGCACACAGTTCCAGAAGGATAAACATTTGGATGAAATATTGGTGGTTCAAATTTACCTGAAAACAAAAAAGGCAGATAAGAAAACAAGATTGTTTGTTGAAGGCCAAACTACGTACAGTACCGACCTCGAGTAACATAACTTGACTCGCGAGTATCGAATGGCGAGTGGGCGAGTGACTTGCAATGCAGTTGCGTGTGAGAGGTTTGCAAGTGGATAAAATATTTCGCTGTTTGCGAGTAAATCAAAATAACTCGGAAAAATTTCTTTCTCCGCAACTGCATCGTGAGTCACTTGCCCACTCGCCATTCGATACTCGCGAGTCAAGTTATGTTACTCGAGGTCGGTACTGTACATACGTAAGTCTTTGAAATTAAACACAGTCATTATTGAACAGTACCAACAGACAAGGATTAAATACAGTCTAAGACATATCACTAACTTACATTTTGGTGGCGTTGAAGGATAATCATCCTTAAATATCATACGCAATTTATAATTGCCGCCTTCCCAAGGGGTCTAATAAATAAAACATAGCAAAATTAGGATCAATGAGTACAATCCTAGAAGTACTATGAATAACGACATTCTTTGATTCATATATATCTACACCTACCCCCTTTTTTCCTGGAATAGCTACAAAACATAGGACTACCATTAATGGCTTTCTTTCAAATGTTAAAGCAAGCATGTGGTCTATACTGCTTTATAATGTGACTTACCACACTCCCAGTTCATAAGATTTAATGAACCATCTGGATTTTTTATTGGTTTGGCAACAAATCCCTGGGAATAGAATAAATTGGAGAAATTGTAATACAGGAAAAATTGTCAACTTGATTTCGCATCATTTTAGTTCAGTTTACAGGAAATTAAATTGTGGTCAATTTTAATATAATTACCACGAGAGAAATGAAAATTAAACAATTTTAAAACAGTTTTAAAAATAAAGACTTCATTATTATCCACAAAACCATTCAACTTATGAGTACGAAAGAAGAAAAATGAGAAGAAAATACAGAGAGCCCGACTCAACTTCTTTCAAATTTTATGGATAAGTTTTGGATACGTTCAGTGCTTACAAATGGATGATCTTTTCGCCAAGCCTTCCGCTCTTCAGACAGACGTCCAAGAGCAATACCAGACATAACTATTTCTCGATTGCAAATAAAGTAAATCGACAGTTTTTAAATCAACATTCGACTAATTTCGATATTTCTCATCTTGAATACCGTCCTTTTTCCATTTTCCTGACCGATTTGCATCTTGGGAGATATGTTTCCACTGCGTAATACTTCATTTTCGTCAAAGAAGATTTTCAGCAATGTATTTTAATAGAAATAATCATACATCCAAACATGAAAATGAAAAGTTATTTTATGTTTTGGAAACACCATAGCCTGAGGGCATGTTCATTGATTTCCTCCCCCGCGATACCTATCCCAGCCCTACCGCATGGCTTAGCGTTTTCTGAGGGTTAAACAAGTACTAACTGCATATATTTTATATTTTACACGCTACACGATATTTTCATATTAGAAAATTTTAAGCCGAAAACTTAATCACGGAAAACTAATCTATGGATATAAGACATCCTTGATCTTGGTGGGTATGCTTGTCTAGGGTGGTCTCTCCATACTTCTGTATCGTTTTCAGTTCAGGAGGGATGGTTGAAAAGAAATTGCTAAGATAAAACGTCATTACTTTGTTTCACTTGCATCATTTGCTATCCCTCCCCGTATTCTTTTAGCATCAACATGACTGTCAACAGTAGTCTTTTAAATAGTATCCGTTGAATTGATCTCTTCGAGTCAATGTCATCATACTGTCACTGGCAAACCGTTTCACAAACTTTATCATCTCCTTTTGTTTTTTCAAGCATCATAAATGACATCATCTTGCCTTCTGACGTCATTTTGCCTTCTGACGTCATTTTTATTTCTGACGTCATCTTGCCGTCGGACATCATCTTGCCTTTTGACGTCATTTTGCTTTCTGACGTCATCGTGCCATCTACCGTTAAATGAACTATGTTTAGTAGTCTTAACTCCACTTTCTCTAAACGATGACTTCAGCTCATCTGGAGCTTTGCTCTCAAAACAGCCAGAATACATTTGCCTGTAAAAGAAGCATACCTGATTTTTAACTGTCATCTTTCATTCAGTTTTTTGTGAGTGATTTACTACGTACCTTTCCACATTCGTCGATCCCAGTGTTTGCAAGTGTGTGTCATAAGACGACGCACCCATATTTAGTTTTGTAGTGGATTGGTCGTTCTCCTTCTTGTTACTTTGTCAATATGGTCATCAGCAAATTCATGATTTTAACGTCCTCCATTTTCTTCATATGCTCGGAGAGTGATTTATTGTAGGTTAATGCCGCTGGAGTAATTTTAGCTATAGCCACCTTCGATGTAACTGAAGGAGTTGTAGTCACCTTCGATGTAACTGAAGGAGTTGGGGCCTTTCTACACTCTTCAAATAATTCAGCTTTTCGTCCAACGAATGTAGCATCGCTACGATTGTTCTTTTCGTTGACTTTATTAGTTGAAGCGATGATTTTTTCGTACCTTCTCACTTCTGCTTTCACATCACGGCTCGTGAGGTCGACTGGCGAAACAACAACAGGCTTTTTCTCGTTGACCGCAGTCTTTTGCAGTGTCGTCAAATGTTGAAACAAATACCGACTTTTTCTTTTGCTCATGTCGTGACATTTTCACATCGTCATTAGCTAACATCGTGCTTTTTTCTTCCTTTTCTATTTTCCTATCAAAATCCTCGATGTCACACGGTTTTTTTGGCTGTCTTGAATTCGACTCATCCAAGTCGGTTGACGTACGATTGCTAATGAGTCTGTTTTGCTCTTCAATCCAGTTTGCGATCAATTTCCGCTTATAAGACGCATCAATATTGGAACATGGACGGCTTGCTACACTGTTCATCGTTTGAATAGAGAGAAACGAAATCTGGGAAGTTTTTCGAAGTAACGATTTCTTCGGGATGACTATATCCGGTTGAGCTACAGGATTTTCAAAACTTTCATAAAAGACTTTCACTGGACTATGGTCTTCAATGTTATTCCCTGATTGGTCTATTTCAGGTATTTTGATACCAATTCCACTATTATACATGTTACGAGAAGTTGTTTTGTCCTTTCGGTAAATTCTTACATCTTTCTTAGGTAAAAACTGTGATTTATTTGACTTGCTGTAAACGACAGGACCAGTATTTTGATATGACTTGCTGTAAACGACAGGACCAGTGTTTTCATTTGATTTGTTGTAAACGACAGGACCAGTGTTTTCATTTGATTTGCTGTAAACGACAGGACCAATGTTTTCATTTGATTTGTTGTAAACGACAGGACCAGTGTTTTCATTTGACTTGCTGTAAACGACAGGACCAATGTTTTCATTTGACTTGCTGTAAACGACAGGACCAATGTTTTCATTTGACTTGCTGTAAACGACAGGACCAGTATTTTCATTTGATTTGTTGTAAACGACAGGACCAGTATTTTTATTTGTCTTGCTGTAAACGACAGGACCAATGTTTTCATTTGACTTGCTGTAAACGACAGGACCAGTATTTTCATTTGATTTGTTGTAAACGACAGGACCAGAATTTTTATTTGACTTGCTGTAAACGACAGGACCAATGTTTTCATTTGACTTGCTGTAAACGACAGGACCAGTATTTTCATTTGATTTGTTGTAAACGACAGGACCAGAATTTTTATTTGACTTGCTGTAAACGACAGGACCAGAATTTTATTTGACTTGCTGTAAACGACAGGACCAGTATTTTTATTTGACTTGCTGTAAACGACAGGACCAGTATTTTCATTTGACTTGCTGTAAACGACAGGACCAGTATTTTCATTTGATTTGTTGTAAACGACAGGACCAGAATTTTTATTTGACTTGCTGTAAACGACAGGACCAGTATTTTCATTTGACTTGCTGTAAACGACAGGACCAGTATTTTCATTTGTCTTGCTGTAAACGACAGGACCAGTATTTTCATTTGTCTTGCTGTAAACGACAGGACCAGTATTTTCATTTGTCTTGCTGTAAACGACAGGACCAGAATTTTTATTTGACTTGCTGTAAACGACAGGACCAGAATTTTTATTTGACTTGCTGTAAACGACAGGACCAGTATTTTCATTTGACTTGCTGTAAACGACAGGACCATAATTTTCAGTTGATCTGCTGGAAAAGCGAGGACCGATGTTTTCATTTGATGTCGTGTTTTTATATGGAACACGATCATAATTTGCAGACAATACATGATGCAAGGCTGGTTCATACTTTCTATTTTCATCAAACACTAATGATCTCGAAGAAGCGATTCTCCGATCTTCATCCTGTCCCTCGCGTCCAGGACCAACAGGAGAAGAGACTCGCCCTGCGTTGTGATCATTCGATGATTTTGACTTGGGATATTTTATAGAACTCGTGCGTTGTGCAATACTCAATGCAGGGCTTTTTTCTTGGGTCGTTTTCTCCGAGGGTATAACAAGAGCCCGGGAATGATTAATGCGCCCACGATGATTATTCTGCGGTTCAATGTCATCAAGGCGCTGTTTCATTCGGGCGGGCATCGTAGAGCGTTCGCAATTGCCTCGTTCTAACCGCGAAACATAACTCTTCTGATCTTGTACCTTGGAGGGACGTTTAACATCCGGGAGTGATTGATGAATTTTCTGCATTCTTCTACAACGACACCTGTGAATTTTAGGCTACGAGAATGAACGAAAAAGATAATTTAGCTGATATAATTGTGTCAGAATTCAATAAAAGGAGTTGTGTTAACATAGTTTTATAAATTCGTTCACGAATAAGAAGACATCTTTCTATAGCCTAGTTACTACAGATATCAATCTCAAACGTATCATTTAGTATCACTCGCTACGAAAATATCCATAGAAAATGTCCCAGTAGGACACCTATTGTTCCACAATATCTTTCATAATACCCTGTTGTGTATGAAATTACTTTCCAATCATGTGGAAAATTTTATCCAAAATATTTTAACGACGGCCTTCAATAAATGAAACGATATACAAGCGATTGCATATAAACACTTTCTTTCGCATTTCGAAAGATGCAAAGGCTTGAAGAATGAGCAGTACCTTGACTGGGTAATTCAAAATCTCAAACTTAAAAATCTCAAAATACAAGGTTATCGAATTCATAAAAATTGATCACATAGTTTTTACTTGATTATTTCGTTTGGTGTAGGTGTTATTTGTTTGTTTTTCTTCGGTCATTAGCAAGATCTACGAATGACAGAGTTCGCAAGTCAGAGCTTGCAATGACACAAACGGTAAATAAAAATACTCTGTTTTATTCAAAATATAATTAAATAATTTCGTTTGTCTTTACCGGTGAGGAATTTCGTTCGCAAGAAGTGATTTAGTGGAGAGCAAGGCTTAAGACTATGCTTATTGCATGTCAAATACCTTAGTTCTCAAACGGTTTTAAGCATAAATAGGTTAAAAGAAATATCAATAGTTCAAACGAAGGTTTGTTTAAGATTGTCCAAAAGTGTCAGCGTTTTTAATTACCATTTTTTCAATTCATTTAATACAAAAAAATTACCTTTTCTTTGTTTTCGTGTTTTCTTGTGACGACTAAAGATTAATAGCCTCAAAAACAACATCAAAAAGCCTATAACATTTTCTTACATCATCGTTCACCAAATAGCAACAATTAATGAAGATACTAAACTATTTCTCGCTATTTTGCGTGTCCCTTGTGCCATATAGCCTCCCTGTTGAGCTCTTTTCAAACAAACTCTTGCATGAAGTTAACAGTAGACAATACAAAAACTCAATCAATGTACACAACGCACAATAACATACAGTTCAATCAGGGAACTAAAATATTTTTTTCAAATTTTCAGACAAAATCTAGTCATTTGTACGTCAACGCGTGCAAGACAATGCAAAAATATTTGTCAAATATCAATCACAATATACTGTTCAATATAAAATCCTCATCCTTTGAAAATGCAGTTCGTTACGTCATAAGATATCACGTGCAGATCACGTTTCTTCCTTGCTTGTCTCCGGAATAGGATCTACTAAAATGAACGATGGGTTTTAATGAGACAAATCACGGCTACACCAAAATTTGCTGATATTTCAACAAATACAAAATGAAAATTAGTATTTTAATAATTATTAGGTCAAAATCTCGAACAGTTTATGTTATGGGGAACAGTAAAAAAGCGAATGATTTTCAAGCGTAATAAAGTTTCTTTGCTGATCAAAAGACTGCGCGTGTTTAATTTAAAATCATGGCAAATTTAAATTATTGCAGAATAAAAGAAAGCAAAGTTGAGTTGACCAAAAATGAGGTACACTCTAGTGTATTTTATAAGTTAATGATTAAATTTGATTCACAAAAAAACCTTTGATTTATCATTCAGTGAGCATGCAAAGCTGATAAAGTCAAGACACAGCTACCTCAGGTGACAGATAACAAAAGTAACACAGATAACACAGACAACAGGAATAATAATAATAACACAGATAAACAGGTAACACGAATAACACAGGTAACACAGATAACACAGGTAAAACACAGGTAACACAGATAACACAGGCACAGGTAACACAGATAACACAGATAACACAGGTAACACAGATAACACAGGTAACACAGATAACACAGATAACACAGGTAACACAGATAACACAGGTAACACAGGTAACACAGATAACACAGGTAACACAGGTAACACAGGTAACACAGATAACACAGGTAACACAGACACAGGTAACACAGATAACACAGGTAACACAGATAACACAGGTAACACAGATAACACAGGTAACACAGATAACACAGATAACACAGATAACACAGGTAACACAGATAACACAGAACACAGGTAACACAGGTAACACAGATCACACAGATAACACAGGTAACACAGATAACACAGGTAACACAGGTAACACAGGTAACACAGATAACACAGGTAACACAGATAACAGATAACATGTGTAACACAGATAACATGAGTAATATTAGTAACACCATGTTACGCTAACTCTTAAACATGGAACATTACAAGTAGTATGTCCTACATAACATAAGTTGAACTGATGATAATGTAACACTTACATGTATATTTCATAGGTATCTCTTGGTTTGCCTTTATTGCTTTTTCACTAAATGGGCTTACATACACCAGCAGAGGGCCTAAAAATTTACAAGAACATTATAATAATCCGAGACTTAAGATAAAACAACAATTTTTTTAAAGCAAATATGTTTCTCACACACAACTGAGAGCTGCTGTAGCCAATCCACAAGCTTGATCTTTATTACATTCATAAAACAGTTAATACAGCTACCATAACATTGGCTAAGAGCCAAAACTCAACAGTCTTAGTTACCAATATACATATGTCTTTAGTGTTCCATCCAGGCTGGTGGGCAGGTGGACTCTAGTCTAGCTGTGTGGATGCAACAAAATGTGCTTAATATAACCTACACCAGCCGCCACGCCGATTCAAAATCAGGCTCCCAAGGGTGTGTGAGAAAATATTTTCTGCCTTTTTCACTCCTCAGTAGGCAGAAAATAATACTTCAACAAACAATAATTAAAGTCTAAGATTATTTATCATATTAGTCTACATACTAAATCAAAAAAGTAAATATGAAACACAAATGAAAAAAGTTTAGTGTTGTGCACGTTACCCATTGCTCCAATAACAACAGAAACAAACAGAACGGGTTGCTGAACCCAAGCAATTTTCAAAAAATCTGTCATTTTTGAATAGAACGTCGCCATTTTGTTGGTTGTTCTCGAAATTCACCCGCGAACAGGCTGATTTTATTATGTGTGACAGCTGACATTGTGAACGTGGGCTCCATTCTTTGTCGATATTCGAAAACAAAACAACATGAACGCTAGATCATACAACCTACAACTTACAGTAGAAGAAAAACAAATTGAAGACGTGCTATTGAGCCTGCTTCATACTATATTATTCCACAGAACTACGGGGAAATTTACATATAAAAAAGAAGGATCGTATACAATTGGGACGCTTGGATTTGTCGATACCGATTGCCATAGTTTTGATTTTACGTATGTCCGTTGCAATTCAAGGAATTTGGATCAAATATTGCGGCGGAATATCAATCAATTTAAAGAAAATTTAAGGAGCAACCCTTCTGCTAAGTGCGGGAGAATTATTCTTGAGTTTTATCAAAGAAGAAAGGAAGATGGCCATTTGGTATGGAGGAAATATCATGGGAAATATGGACAGTAACGCTTGGTATAATCCGCGCAAGAGGAGAATCCGAACGACAAAAATCTCGTGAAGTGGCTGCAGAGTCAGTCAGTGAAAAGATAATCGAGATTGCTCAAGCGGTCAGCAAACCAGACTACATTCCCAAAATGCCAAATCAGTCGGAGTTAGGAAATGTTTTTGACACGAAGTATACAAGCATACAACCGTATTTGTTTAAGATTAACTGTCAAACATCCAACGATATTTCATCTTCGGTTGGTACTACGATGAGAAAACTTATTCGAGATACATTTTCTTACTGAGTTTTCTCCGCCAGCACTTCAAAATCTGTAAAAATAAATAGTTCTTATTTATTTTTACCCACCCAGATATTCCTCCCTTCGATTTCAATTAGATATTCTTTCAATCCCTTTTGCAATAAAAATTGTTTCAATCGCACGAGCCATCTTTCCAACCGTCTCTCCAACGCTCGTCAACTCTAGAGCAATCAAATACATCCTTTCCTAACTTCTTGTTGATCTCGTTATGTATCTGACACAGCCATTGAGACAACTCCAGTCTGCTTGAAGTCACAGGTGGACTTTTGTGCAACCTGTGAAATGTATATTTATTTTATATGATAGATTGTTGTAATATAAATTTCTCACACTTAATATTCCGGTGGGTTTTATTGGAAGCTATGAATTAAAGTAGTAACATTGCATTCTGGGCGCTGCAATAGCAATGGCAATGAAAACCAAAGAATTAGGTTGAAACAGAAACTTTTGTAATGTTCTTTATAATAGATTATGAGTAGGAAAATGAATAATAATTGAAAAGAAACATTTGTTGGTTGATACTACTACATTGAGAAGAGTAATGTTAACAATGTACCATTTCAATAGGGTATTGATGTTTCAACCAAATTTTTCAGTTTTAAATTAACTGAGAATTACCTTTCTCGCAAATCTTGGGCACAATCATTGCAAGGAAAAACACGAGAAAATGTTTTAAAGAATTGACTCATGTTTTTTTGTTCTTCAACAGTTGGTTTCTCAGGGTAATATGCAGCCATTGTGTGAAGAAAACCCCACGTTCCACGACCCAGTTCTGTCAAATCTAGTGGACACTCAATTTCTGCAGATATTGAGGAAGAATCTTCCACTGTGCTGGTAACAACATTTTCTTGCTCTTCTTTCATCTGAAATAAGATATTTCACAAATTCTTACCTAAAATCGCCATTTTATAAGAAGAACAACTTTCAATGACATCCAACACTTAAAATCTCAAATATTTCACGATGCTAAATTGCTAAGTCAGCATCTATGTACCTTTTTATTGACATTTTTTTGTTTCATCCAAGATTTGAAGTCAGTACAGGCTCTGCAAGGTCGCTTTTTAGACTTTTCGTGTTGAATTAAATCTTCGCTCATCATGAACGTTAAAAAGTTTATTTGTAAACTTTTGTAAATAAAAGTTAAGTTAGTTCATGTCTCATCTCTTAGAGTAACAATTACTTGTACCTTTAATATACCATCCTTCAAAAGGATATCACAATCGTGCCCTTCCGATCCTTTCCGAGTATTACAATTTTCACCAGGCAACTAAGGGGTGTTTACATGAATCCGGAATGACTTTCAATCCCGATCGAAACGTGATGTCAATCCGTGTTTACATGAAACTAATTGTTGTTTTTCTTCGCACTCATTTTAACCCATTTAGCCTCTTTATTTGCTTACGAGCTTCAATTTGCCAGAAGACAATACCCATGCCACATGCGTGCTTCGTCATTAATCACAATATCATTCCAGAATGAAACTCAATTCGCGTTTACATGAGATAGTAAAAGTAAATTTCGATCCGGAATGAAACTAGGAATGAACTCGATCCGGATCGAGTTGTGACTCATTCCGGATTCATGTAAACATGCAATAGGATTTCTTTTAAAGTGGAATCAGTTCATTCCGGATCGAAACTCATTCCTAACATGGCGGCCTAAATTTTTGCTTTAACTTCAACGTTGATGACAATAATTCAGATGAAATTGCTGACAAGAAAAACGAACAAAATACAGAAAAGTACAGGAATTCTAATGAAATACAAGCCGAGTTTATAAATCCAGACATAAAGGATCTGAAGCGTATTTTGAATAATGAATCAGCGAAGATTAACGTTAAAATTGTTGAATTACCACAGATGGATAAAGAAAAGCACAAAATAAGTGGAATATACCATTTATCCGAGGCTTACGTAGAAAATATGATAAGTGAAATGAAAGAATATTCATCCACTGCAACTAATGAAGCTTTGCTATGTAAATCTGATCTTATACCGTCCCGTTATGAAGGAGGAATGAAAATCTGGGATTGTTCAATAGACTTAGTGCTGCACATGAGCAAACAACTGGTAGAAAATAAGATTTATTTAAAAGACAAGCATGTTTTAGAGCTAGGTTGTGGAGCTGGTCTTCCTGGCATCTTTGCTTGCTTGAATGGTGCAAAAGTTCTCTTCCAAGATTATAATGTAGAGGTTTTAAAGCTATTCACAATCCCAAATGTTGCTTTAAACTCTAAGGATGATGATTCATATGATAGAATGGATTATCCCAAGAGTGGTCTGCTCAATTGCTGTCGTTTTATGTCTGGTGGTTGGCAATCTGCCGGTTCATTGTTAGAACCCAAATCTTTCGATATTATTGTAACTTCAGAGACTCTTTACAACATAAATTCGCAAAAAATTGTGTATGATCTTATGAAACATTGTATCAAAGATGATGGCATTGTTCTTGTGGCTTCGAAGACTTATTATTTTGGTGTGGGAGGTGGCACAGATATGTTTACACAACTTGTTAAAAACGATAAAGTGTTTGATATTACCGTATATAATACTTGTAGTGATGGAGTGAGAAGGGAAATAATTATTATGAATAAATTATCATAATTATTTACAATAATATGAAGAAATGATTTCTCGATACATTATTAATTAAATGTGAGTTTATATATCCTAACTAAACCAAGATTAAATAAGTCAAATGAGATTACAATAATCACAGCACAAGTTATCATAACTACACTTATATTAGTTGTTTCTACACTATTTATATTCCTCGTAATAGTTTAAACACGTCTCCCCTGACTTGAGCCTATCACCCCCCTGCAAGGCAGTTTATGTCCACACTTAACATAAACTCAAAGTGGCATTTAGAGTCCCCCCCCAGCAAGACTATCAACATCCACACTCAACACATGTTCAAAGTGGTTTTTATGTCTCTCCCATTTAGAGCCACCCACCCACCCCCAGCAAGGCTGTCAACGTCCACCTCACAACAAATGTTCAGAGTGGTTTTCATGTCTCCCACAGGTAGAGCCAACCCCCCCTGCAAGACTCTCAACGTCAAAGCTGTCTATGTCTCCACTCAACACAAGTTCAAAGTGGTTTTCATGTCTCCCTATTTACAGCCACCCCCCTGCAAGACTGTCAACGTCCACATTACAACAAATGTTCAGAGTGTTTTTCATGTCTCCCACAGGTAGAGACATCCACCCACCCCTGCAAGAATGTCAACGTCAAGGCTGTCTATGTCTCCACTCAACACAAGTTCAAACTTAAAGTGATTTAAACCTTCCTCTCCTCGCAAGGAGAAAAAATCTGATAACAAACTACGTCTTCAATAAAAGTTTAGTATGTTTTCTGTGGCAATGTCTTCAAGTTGTTGTACTGTCATTGCAAATTGTCCTGTGATTAAAATTTTTCAAAAGCGCAGACTTAACACGACATTTTACAACGGCTCCAAGTTTCCCATCGATTAAACCTGTGAAAAGGAAACCACCTGAAACTACTTTCTTCCATCGACAATACAAAGGAAAGTTTACGTATCCTTGAATTTCGTCAGCGTTCGTGGAATGTTGAAAAATATTCGCTGTTTGATGAAATACTTTGTCCGCTACAACCAACGCTTCGCCTCTATCTTCACTACCGCCTATTGGGTAAACCAACTTGACATGACCGTGAACAGCTGATAAAATAAGGGGGAAACAAGACAGCAAATTAAAGGTTTTTGGTGAACATTTATCATTACTGTTTTAGAACAATCTGAACTGCTTTTTTTTCTCAAGGTTCAGTGTTCGGTGGGGAGGGGAAGGAAGGGATCCATCATCAGGAAAAAAGAGTTCAAAAAAATATCACCGCGAGCCATCATCATTTTAGGCAGTGTTGCCAACTGTCCTTTTCGTAAAAATCTCAAGTAATCTCCTAAAACATCCCGGGGATTCGTAAAAACTACCAATTTTGCTTCTATCATTCTCGGACCTTCGTTATAGATCGAGAAATTTAGATTGGGTTTCATAAATCCAAATTTTCACCCCATCCATTAACCAGACCGCTCTACCAATCCACCTTTCCCACGGTAAACACACGTGCTAATTGTCGGAAAGGTGGATTCAAACAATCAATGGTCGGACATAGTATTGTATTTGTAGAATAGTGGCAATAAAATAGAAAGAAGATGCTCTTGGGGCATTTGTAAATCTTATTTTAGAAACACAGAACGACTAATTATAAAGACAGAAGGTGTAAGAGTAAATAAAAACCATTTTCCGTCAAATAAAAGGAAAGCTTGGATATGACATGCAATATGCAAATACAAAGTTGTAGAGAAAAATAAAAATAACCATTTTATTGCCACTATTCTACATAAACAAAACTATCTCCGACCATTTGATTGTCCGAATAATCTCGTATTTTTGACACGTGTGTCAACCGTCGGAAAGGTAGATTGAGCCTTCAGATTGGACTAATTACTTTTTGTATAATATGGTAATATATTACCCAGAATTCTACATGCTTACTTACCAAAGTCATCTTCACAGAAACTTCTAATTAGCTCTTTCTTAGAACATAACCTACATTCCCTCTGTTTGAGTGCTCCGTGTCCAACACCAAGAAATGTCGTACGATATTGAAAAACAACGCTCTGTGAATCTCCACTCTCTGGAGCCTCCGTGTAGAGTGTATTTATTCTGCCGTGAGAGCTCACACAACGCTCCAAAGTCGTTTTATTCGTTTCTCCCTCTAACAGTTGCAATTTGTCTTTACTTCGTGAGAAAATATTAAAATTCTTCTTTGATGTAGTGACACAAACTTTGTACTTTCCTCGCGTCTTTACTGGGACAACACTCTTAAATGTTATTTCCAGTCCCCCATGAGGTCGTTCCCAGGTCACACGGCCATGAGCACAGCCATAAACACGAACAACGTGGACACTAGCTGTTCGTGCTCCATCGGAGCTAAAAATTAAATTAAGTTTAAGGAAATTGGAACTCAAGCTTCTTAAAAGTATAATATTCGATAGTACTTGACACAAGTACTGCACGTACGTCAATTTTACGGTGTTTGAAAGCACTTTAGCAAAGTAAATAACATCTTTTATGACTGCATAACACACGCTGTGACACAAAACATTCCATGATTTTAAAATTGATCAAAATTACCAAAAGGTTAAATGAATTATAAAAGATTGCAGTATAGGGGTATGAAAAGTGTTCGAACATTGATATAAACCGATTCAAATATTGATATGAAAAATCCATAAGAATAATTTCATAAATAGCGTATACGACAGCAGCATTCTTTCCTTTGAGTAAAAAAAAAAACGTACAAAGGGATAAATACCACGAATTTTCTTATTCACGAAGGGACCTACAAAATATTTTCTTCGTCGAAGATATAATTATGAGAAAATGAAATTGTCAACATTTCACGTCATATTTTCGACTAAAGTAAGTCGAAGTAAGTAAACGTCTTCAGCAACAACAATCTTTTATTTATATTACTTAGGAAACAATGTAAGCCAAGCAGGTGTGTTTACAAGATGGCAAAACTCTAGAAAATTTCGTGCAGTTTCGATACGGTCGACTCCGCGCTCATAATATGTTAGGCAGGCATCACCAGTACATTCAAAAACACTTCTACGCACAAACATAACGACGGAAATATACACAAATAAATTACTTCAGCTCACACCGTAATTCTCTAGGATCTCAGACGTATATATAATAATTAGCGTTCATCGTCATTCCGCCCCTCGGCAAAACGTCAAACATATTTCTCATGAAAACGTTAAAAAGAAGTTTGAAAAAAGATGGTTTAATGTATTTAAGTTGAAACAACCGTAAAGTTCCCAATGACTGACTATACGCTATCAAGCAAAATATCTAGCCAAAATTATTGACAAGACTTAGGGAAGAACGAAGTCTTAATATACACGAAAATACGGTACGCATTAAAAATAAATTCTTTCAATAATCCAATATGTGTTGTTCACTCAAACGCAAGATGGTAATTGTCACAAGGAATTATTAGGAATCATCACTGCATTTATAAAGGGATAAATATATCACAGAACAATATCTATATCTTATTCACAAAAAGCGTCTTAAACGATATTAGCAAATCAACAAAAGGGATCGACAGTAATTTTGTCGCGTGCACAAGGCGTTTGGAAAAATATTAAACTATACCTAACTGTCCATTCGCATAAACCTTGAATAATATTTGTTTGTGTGTCTTTAAGAGCCAACGCAACATGTAATAAACTCCATATGAGAATTGCAATCATATTAGAATGAAAGAGAAGCGACGAAGAGCCACGACGAACCACGAAAAACAGCAAACTCTTTAGGTCTCGAGATCAATCTCTCGTACTTGAAAAGCAATAGTTTGGATTAAATATTCGGCTGCTAAACAATTAAACAGAGTTGTCAAGCATGGTTAAATAACGTGCACGTATTGTAAACGACTTTTGAATAATAATGTTTAAGTCAACAATAAAACGGCAGGGGGGGGAGGGAGCGTTAACACGGAGAAGAGAAAGAGTCTTTATGAACATAATTTGCCTTGCGAGAGTTTGAGCAGTTCGCATTCGCGGGTGTTCGAATTAGCGAAGATATAGTGCAATGCAGTTTAATAAAGTCCACTGTCTCACCTTTTACCCTTTTAGCTGTCTTATTGTCCAGCATTTCCATCAAAGATCATAAATAAATGAGTAGAAAAATATGTAGAGTCAGTCAGTGGACCGAGTCATTGATAAGTCCTTGACACAAGTAATCGTCAGTTCGTAACTCTGTATGGCAGAAAACAAGATTGTTGTTTGATAATATGCTTAGTGCTAACAGCTAAAATACGGCTTTAGTCAGAAGTAAAGAGGAATTTTGTAAATATCTTTTAAAATGTGGTCACTTTTTAAACGTCTCAGCTAAACTCTTGTCTAATACAGTATTAGTTACGACAAAATGTCTTTTTGACGATACAAGTGTGTGGTACCTGACATAGCTAATGAAGGGACGGTCAATGTTGCACCATATTCAACCAGTGATGGTAAATTTTGTACCACAGCCAACCAAGTGATGGTCAATGTTGCACCACAGTCAACCAAGTGATGGTCAATTTTGTACCAGAAATATACAGGATAGGTTCAAAACACATTTCATTGGATAGTTTAAGAATTTTTCGCTCACCTTATAAAACCTTTAGCAATCTCAAACGATTTTCATGGCTTCATCGAAAAACTCTTCGAAGACATGGCCACACTGGTTAATCATTATCAAAATAAATAATAATAACCAACGAGTTTACAGCTTTAATAAACACGTTTAAGGTTAAGTGACAGAACACAGTATACGATAATGCAACACAATCCAAAAAATCCTTTAATCCGAGCGCTAATCCTTTTTAATAAACATCAAGCAGCTTCTCAAAGAAAAAAAATTTAAGTCGTGAATATGTCAAAGATCTTTTGAACGACAGCATTATACGAACTGTGTGTATAATATTACATGAAAAACATTAATAAAAGAAAGACACTCTCAAATGACGCGTTAAAATACAAGTAGGGGCGATGAATTATCGTAGAATTAACAATTGTGATTACGAGGTTAAAACGAAAGACAACAACAGTCAGGTCTTTGTATTTGTTTCTCTGAGCAGGATTAAAATTCAAAAAATACCATCATGCTTCGAACTGATTTGATTTCGAAATCAAATTTCGAAAATTTTTATCAAAATCATCATTCCACCCAATTCTTTATCGGTAAAACGCAGGGGAGAAGGAGAAGGGAAGGAGGAGAGAGGAGGAAAGGGAGGAGAGAAAGGAAGGAAAGAGAAAGAAGAAAAGAGAGAGGAAGAGAAAGAAGGAGGGGAGAGCAGGTAAGAAAGGGAGTAGAGGGCAAGTAAGAAAGGGAGTAGGGGAGGATGCAGCAGATAACATTGAACTAAAATACATAGAACGATACCTGTATCAAATAATTGAAGCCAAATCTTATATCATACACGCGAGATTACACCCAAACACGCGTGTTTAGCCTTTCGAGATTCTCTTGCGGAGTGAAAATTGATTGAACACACGCGTATCTGGGTGTAAGATTTGGCTTCAAAAAACTATTAGGGTTTTCTATCACAGGGAGCGTTCCAGATGTATTTTAGTTCAATGGCAGATAACAACTAGTTGACACAAACCTTTGAAGGAAGCGGCAAAACATGACGTCATCTTCGTTCATGACGTCATCTTCGTTCAACAACAAGAAAGAATGAGATGAACTTAAATTTCATATTAAATCATAATCCGACCGAAGCCAGCATAACAAGAACAAAACCTCATGTACTTACAACATTTTGTCAAGTGCTTACATCAAAAAATTAATTCATTGATATCGTCATTTCACAATAAAAACTATCATCGATAAATATATATCTATGAAATACTTAGCACGTGATCGTTCAAGATTTCAAATTAACAAGATTTCAACAAAAATAACTGTTCATGATGCGTCCTAGAGATAATCATTTTGCCATCGATTATAATAAATTAAAAATAAAAGAGCAAATGCGAGATTTATTCACTCTTACAACTTCTGTCTTTATAATTAATCGTGCAAAAAATAGACACCATTTTCCGTCAAATCAAAGGAAAGCTTGGATATGACATGCAATATATACGCAGATACAAAGTTGTAGAGAAAAATAAAAACATCTCTAACGTTGTCGCGGATATTACGAGTGCCTTAACAGAGTGTAGACGAGTTTCATATGCATTTATTAAAACAAGCTTAAGAAGACAAAGAGCATCCCAAAAATATATGATTGAAAATTTGCTAAGTGCATATACAAACACCAATTTCAGAGGTCGCTCTGACACAAATTAATTGAGAATCAATCTGAGCATACGTAGAAAACTCCACCAACTCCAAGTTCATGGTCATGGCAACGACCAACTGCATGTACTAGTACCGATTATGGAGAAATTTGCTCACTCAGTCACAAATTTTTAGATAAATCATCTGCGCATGCGCAGTCTGCTAAAGCATGCGTACTCGACTTGACCAGCTGCCCAAGTTCATGGTCATGGCAACGACCAACTGCATCTACTATCACCGATTTTGAAGTAAATAGCATGCTTAGCAGCAATTTAAAAGAGAAATCATCTGCGCATGCGCAATCCACTCGACTAATTGTCCATAGTCATGGCAACGACTAACTAGATGTACTTGTACTAGTTTTGTGGAAATTACCTCACCTAGTCGCAAATTATTAAAGAAATCATCTGGGCATGCGCAGGAGTGACTTTATTAATACCACAACTTTCGTAAGCCTCTGAATTTTTGTATATATATATAAAACCAATACTAGGTATAGTAGATGTCAACTAGCAGTGGAAGCTGGGTGCGATGTAGTATGCAGTGGCTTAGGGGCCCACACTTCGGTGGCGTCCGCACTCTTCCTGCGTACCCCGAGCAAAGCCTATCGCAGGTGATCTCGGGGTCTGATGGGCGGAAGCTTGCTATTGCATCTCCCAAGTAGGATAGCGTGGAGGGGCCGAAATCTCCTACCGAAACGTTAACATGCGGCGTTCTAGCTAGTGCCTTACGCTTAAGAAGGTATCGGGAAGCATGGACCGAAAACGGGGTTTTTTGCTTTCGAATTTTATCTTTTTCTTTACAAGAGTTCTTATTATAAAAGAAACTAGAACATCCAAAGATACGCTCAAACAACTTCTGCCTTTTTGACTTCTAATTTAAACAAATTTTTAGTTTTTTTTTTACATTTTAACTTTCTCATAATTCTCTCGTGATGAACGAAAGCCTCCTTGTACAATGTAACTCTCTCATCATGAACGAAAGCATCCATGGACTTCTTGGAAAAAAGCGATTATCTTCTTTTTTCAATAATAGTTTTTACAAAGACAACATTTAATAAGCCTAGCCATTTGTATCGTCTAAATTGAATCCTTATGTCCTAAAATTTTAATTCATTTTGGACAGTAAATTTCTTTATACTTTGCAATATTTTCATGATTCAATCTAGAAAGTAACTTCACTTCTCGAGTAATTTTGCGATTAAACAGTACACTTTTCGGATTCAAAGGACTTCTTTTGATCGCATAGAGACAGCCGTCTCTTATTTATAATTCGAGGTATCATGTAGTTTCCAGATGAGATTTACGACTGCCTTTGAATGCAATTAACACATATTCTCAATAAGACAATGATTTATGGTATCATTTAGCGTCATCGTAATTTTACATTGAAATTTATAGCTATAGTTTAAAGTTCCATTTTTACGTATATAACGCGTAAAAGAATCTGAAAAGCCAGTTTAGGGAGATTTCATCCATCAATAATAAGAATAGTGATAAGTGATTATAAGAAAGCGAAATTTACTTTTTGCACACCGAGATCCGAATAATTATCCGTAGGCTCTCGCAAATGAGAATACGAGAAAATAGTTCATGATTGAAAATTAATTAATACTTTAGACTTCTTGCTTCTAATTAACTATAAATAGATTGTGTTCCATTATTGGCTAATTGTTGCAGTTAAAGCAGTGGCAACCATCTCCCAAGACGTATATACATACATAGCCGATACATTATACAAGTGTAAACGAATGTATGTGTGTGCGCATGGGATGTCTCAAAAAATAACGGAGTCCACACAAATAGTTATGTATGCATATGGCAAGCCGTACATGACAAAAGCGCATGGAAAAGAAACCAGTGCATCCAGTTGTATGTACAATAACTTTAAAAGCGTAAACACGCGGTCGAGAAAGTTATACTGGCAATTCAAACATACATACCAGTGATTTCATGCATGCATTAAATGAAATCTGCATAATAATTAATCGGCAACAGCTATTTGTTTCGCGTTGTTAATTCACACGCTTCTCCACGTTCGTCGCAACTTATGAAAAATATGAATATGTTTTTGTAGCCGTTATAACACAGGAAATGTCGCTTTGGTGTTACAAAGCTTAAATTGCATAATAATTTTGAGACGAAAACCAGTGTAAAATGAAACATAATCCGATAAAAGGACATCTTGTAAACTTAAATTCAAATTAAGTATACAAGAAGTCGTTTTTCTGATCATGTTTCATTTTATATTTCATGAAATTGTCGTCAAGTAAAGGACTTTGAAAATCTGTGTATAAAGTACTTTTAACATGTTTTGCTTCTTAACAAACCGCACGAAATCCCCGAAGTGCAAGACTGTGAAGTTCATTGAACTGTTAGGAAAGCTGGTGATGCTATTTTGCATAATCATTTCAGTGAATTCATAATTATTTAATACATGCGGATTCCGTTTTTTTGGACATCATGTATATGTATATATATCAGTGATAAGCAAAGCTCACCTTTATAGGTTTGAGCACTGTGGTGACTCTACAATACAATCCATACAATGTGTAACCGTACGTCCTGTGTCCCAAGTGCAGGAGTCACCATTGCACTGTGGTCATAGCCGGGAGGGCACACTGTATATACACTTTATATATATGGAAAATATGTATATGTATGTATGTATGTAAATACAACCATAATATTGGGTAAGATTAACCATTGCACTGTAGTGATAGCGCGCATAGCATTGTACAGAAAACTTTTTCTATACATATATATGTTTAAAGATTGGCAATCCAGGCATTATATATTTCAAAAATAAAAGTTCTCCGCATTCCACACCATCCAATCGCATTAATCCACCCGCTAATCCAATTAGACGCTCTTAGCGTCTACAAGCTAAAAGCACATGTAAATAGATAATTTCCTCACTCAGATGAAGGCTCGAAGCAACGACTCGAAAGCTCGATAAAATTATTTATGAAAATCCGGAGAAACTTTTATTTTTGAACAATATATATACACCTTATGCGAACGTATGCACAAAACCATTTCATAACTGACGCTAAAATCATCCCCTATCATTTTTGAGCCAAAAATGGCAACACCTATGTGACGTCACGTCACGTGACAGAACCATTAGATAACATGATAGTTTGAGTAAGGTGTGTTATTGTCAATGAACCTGGTCCTTGTTCCCAGGGCTCTCCATCAATCTGCATTGGCAATTGACATTTTTCCTTGACTCGTATCTAACATAAGTATAAAATACAAATTTTACAGGAGAACAGCTATGTTAACATAACGAAGAAATCAACTGCTAAATTGATGAATGATTAAGAAGTGACGACTCTTGATGACTATTGTACTGATGAAGAAATGAATGACGATGAATGAAATGATGAAATTCACTGAACAGTTGCATCAACAGGAAACATAAGCCGAAACGGGGGGGTAAACATAGGTAGGAACGGGGGGGGTAATTATAAGTCGGAACAGGGGGTAATCATAAGGTATTTACATGGAATTAAAGTTCTAGTTGATCTCACAGTTTGATGATGAAACCTGAACTAATGTAACCTCTCCAAATGTCATTCAAATGTGGTCGCTAATGAGAGGTTTGTGAATGACGTCATCAACTAAAATTTTCACATCATACACATTGTGCGTGAAAACTTTTTAAATGATACAGTAAATCAAACATTTTAGATACAACGCATTATCGATCTTGATGGTTAAAAAACAGATTTTGCTTCATCGGGAATTGTCAAATTTTACATGCCCAATCAGGCTTTCAACAATAAACAAAGAGTGAACAATTCCAAGCTGCAAGCTCCTCTGAAGTCAAATTGTTCTAGTTTAGCTGCTTCATTCACCGAGATAACAATCAAAACAGTGCTGATATTGACGTACATACATGAACTGCCATAAGACAAAAGCTTGTGTGGAAAATCTTACAAATTGGTCGCTCGTTACTGGCGAAATTTTAGTATTTAGCGCAGATAAAATACGACCGCTGGTCATGAAAAGTACTTTTAGGCTTGAAAATACTCGTCTTTGGCAAATGGTCGGAAAGTATGGGGTTGTAGCTTGTAAAACTCTGTCACTACTTATTTCATTTCATAGTGTTCTTTGAACAACCCACCTTAACTCTACGGGCTTGACCCAGTAAGAGTGGATCAGCAAGATTAACCTGCATTCGGGCAATGTAAAAATTTTTTAACAACCCACCTTAACTCTACGGGCTTGACCCAGTAAGAGTGGATCAACAAGATTAACCTGCATTCGGGCAATGTAAAAATTCTTTTAACAACCCACCTTAACTGTATGGGCTTGACCCAGTAAGAGTGGATCAGCAAGATTAACCTGCATTCGGGCAATGTGAAAGGACGAGTACAGACCACACACTTCAAGTTTACCGTCACTGAAACTAAAACAATCAAAGAAAATTGCGCACACCCTCCGGAAAATGATCAAAATTATGAAAAAAATAGTTTACCTAACAGGGGGGAGGTCTTTTCTACCATCAATTGGAATCATTTGAACTCCAGCACACCAGCTATTTATATTTAATACAACAACACCTTCCAACTCTGGTAACTCAATTACACGACCATCCAGCTCCAGCTACAAAGAATAGATGAGATCAGTGCGTAGATGGATATGAGAGACACAGAGGGATATGAGAGAATAATCGTGAACTATGTCATGGATTAGATATTTATGCAAATAATACAGCGCGCAAAGTTTGCATAAACCTGTTGCACAATGCAAATGTTGGACTTTCTAGAGCAGGGGTGGGCAACATACGGCCCGCGGGCAGGGTCCGGCCCCTGAAGGGATTTTGACTGGCCCGCCACTGCATCCGACCATTGAATATTGAATATTTATTCATGTAATAATCCGGCCCACCAATAACTTCATTTTCCTAAATCTGGCCCGCCAACTGGAGAGGTTGCCCACCCCTGTTCTACAGTAGAAATTTCCAAATAATAACAATTTTTTAAATGATAGAATTTGGAATTTTGGCACTGACAAACACATTTGAAATAACTTGCATCAAAAAGAAAACACAGTTGAAACATATATATATGGCTAAAATATGGCGTGTGTTGTTCAAAGCTGATCGTTTACGTTGGCATTCGCCTAAATTCTTTAAACTTTATTTGCTTGAACAACCCATGCCATATTTTAACCTAACGTGTTCCTTTTGCATTTTAGTATTGTACTTTTTTTTGGGCAAGCTATTCAAGAAGGCTTCTCGGTAACAAAATCTTTTATCTATAAATAGTTAGTATTTTGAGACAATGTTTGTAAATGTAGATCGTCCAGGTCGGTATAGTCCTGAGAAAGACTGTTTTCTTGTAAGACTCATTAGACTCTAAAGATGACTACCGCTAAGGTTTTCGAAACGTCAGTCAACAACAACAAAAACAGTCCTTCTCAGGACTATACCAACCTGGACAATCTACATCTACAAACATGTAACGATACTCCCGGGTTCAAACCATTTACTTTATTTGAGACAATGTTGTAAAAAACAAATTCCAAAGAAGCAAGACATCTTGAGATCACAAAATATGAATCAAAACAAGACGAGAAGTGAACTGTGAATTTGCGACTTTATTTCAAAGTCATCCTCATCTCAGATGAATCATTGGAAACGTTTTCCTAGCCGTAAAAGTTTTCTCTTACTCCCTGTTTATTTAACTCAATAACATAAAAACAAAACATAATGCTATGAATATAAACCTCGATTTTTTCTTGAAGATTCTTACAATTTGACTCCAAGACCTCGTTTACGCCATAACCGAAATAAATTGCCTAAAAAACCGCAGAGAATGAGTCATGTTCGTTTAAGACAGTAAACATGTTGTACATGAAGTAGAAACATAATACAATACTTTGTTCAACAAGCGACTACTGAACAGTGACGGTTGTTTCTCGCGATGTAAGTGAAACTTCAAAACAACGGTTGCATCAACTCCAACAGAAAAATAATTGTTCATCTTAAACAACTGAAATTTAAAGATACGTAACCATGTTAAAATATTGAGGTGAAAATAAACACTTTGATGATCCGAGGTGGTACAAACTAACAAAAACAAACCTTTCTTGGTTTGGGAACATGCATGAACATGTAGGAGTCTATTCTGATTTGCCATCTAAACAAAAATGAACAATCACAGAAGATGTAGTAAGGATGATCTCGGGGTAAAGACATTCACTTCAATGCGATCATTTAGACAATGGAGCAAACAACTACATGCAATGGCTACATCTCGTTTTGCCAGCTACGTCAGATGAACTGCCGAAGTGGACTCCATAATTGAGTGGCTTTTGCGGTATTAAGTTACTTTAAAAGAAGATGTTTTCGATGTATCAAAACATGCATACATAAATATGTGCCTTCCCAATGGTCAGATGCGCGCTAAGCCTGGATAATCAACATCTACAAACATGTGACTATACTCCCATCTCGATAGAAATTATTTACTTTAATTAAGAATTGTTTAAACCTACCTATCTAATGGTGTAGCAAAGGCATTTTCAACACTCTCCAATATTTCAGCTATTTCTTCCTCTCCAGTATAACCACTCCCCCAACCTAACACACGAGCTAGATCATTCCCAGTCCCCAGTGGAAGCACAGCCACATGGGGGGCAATCTAGTCCAACATATATTGCTTTAAAAATTAACATTTATTATTTTCATACAATAAAAATCTTGACATTAATGACTCACCTTAATGTTAGCACAATCTAAAGCTCCGAGGACCCAACCAACAGTACCATCACCTCCACAGATTAATATACGACAGCGATGGCTGGGTAAGAGTCGACAGAAATCCAAGGCAGATTCAGGTGGTGCCTCTAACAGATCAACAACCTTTAAAATAAGAACAAACAAACTTTATCTATACGATACAACAATATTCAGACATGACGAAACACAAGAATAAGTAATATTGTATCAAATTTCAAACTATATCAAGTGGCTTAATCATATTAACTGACCAGTAAAATTTATTAAGTATTTCAACGCAAATGCCCACAAACGAATACCTCATCCTCAATTTACAATAAGCTAACCACAAAAATTATGTTATATATTTATGTTTTTTGATATTGCCAAGACGGCAAAAAGATTATCTCCAGGTTAAATGCACTCAACACAATGCTATGAAGATCGAATTTTGGTCATGTATAATAGTTAACAATTGCAGAAACTACACAATTTTGCAGCAAAGCACATTTCAATTTTCTGGGCCATCCCAAGAAGGTTAATTGGGTTTTTTAATGCAAATATTCAGTTATGCATGACATATTTTTTTAGAAAGTGAATTGCTTAATTCCTTAAGTGAATAAAACACCTCTCTCCATCCATTTTTTGTTCCAGTCACGGCCTTTTAAACTGTTTAAAACATAACATAACTGTTTAAAGTGCATTAGAAGACGCTAAAATAAAAGGGGAATCACCTGAACTGGATTAAGATATTGTTTAAAAGCCTTCAATAATCTATTTCCTTCGCCTTCTCCACTCTTCCTGTTAGCCAACACAAGCAATGGCGACCATTTTTTAAACTTCGGAGGGTGAACTTCACGAACAACATAACGACTATACGCACTATTCCAGCGTTCATATTTGACGGTGATGCAGTACGGCGGTAAAATCATACTTTGAAATTTACCAAAGTTGCAATCTCGTGACAGCGTTTTCATACAATTCTCGTGAATTGCTCTCTGACACCATACGCAACGCAAGTCACAAAGACGCGGTTCAGTTCCACAATGAGTACGACAAACATCGCAAATGCTAGTCAATGGAAGATTGCCACGAATCCAGTGATGCTTCATAGAGTTTCGTCTCGACAAGACAACGACCTTACAAGCATGTTTCTTGTTGGCCGCATCCAGACAATTATCATGTACACACAGGCCGCAAGTACTACAATAACTGCCTCGTAATACTGGCATTTTACACCAATTGCAATATGTTGGTTTACTGTAGATAAAGTCTGTTTCGTCCCAGGAGTGCCCACGATGGGGATCTACAACTTGTAACCCCATTTTTGACGGTCTTTTACACAACTTCGTAAATACATAACACAATATAAAACATGCTAAGCAGTAGAATATTATTTGACTCGAGTCACCACGCCAATAAAAGAAATTCGTGATTTTTTTCTAAGCGATACAGAAGCAAGGTTTTACCTGGCAAGTACTTCATGCTTCATGATTTAAAGAATAAAGCATTGGATAAAAGTCATCACTCAACCCATAACCGAGTAGTCTCGGTATTTTACGATCTGGCTGCGAAAGGCCACCGAGATGAGGAAACGCAAATCGTGATCCCGTGACCCATCTTCTATAATAGTTTAAAAATTTGTTAATTTTTTTTCTAATTTTGATTGTCTGTCTGTCATTATGGCAAAAGAACGTGTAATAAGGTATGCGTGGCACAAAAAAATTTCAACAAAATGACCTTAACAGTCACCGGGGATTTGAGACACAAGCGACGACATAGGCAAACTCACACGACTAGTGCACTCTAATGACATTTTTTAAGTTGATAACACACTAACACTTCGACAAGGTGTATCAATAGTACCAAAATATCTGTGTAATGAATTTGAACGGAATGTCAAGCATGCTCGTTTACACATTATTTATAATATTAAGACGTGCTACATTTCACGCAAACCGACAACAAATGCATCGTTACAACGTGATTACAGCCATGTTTTTCTATGAAATACGTAAACACGAACTTTCTAAATGTCATATTTCTTTTGTCATACTGAAACACTTGTCCATAGTCATGCACTGAGCCTGACTCCTAGGATTAGCAATGTCGACTTAACTTTTTTTATTCGTTACAAACATATTATCATTAAAGGAAAACTAGAATATTTATCCATATAAATGTTTTCGACACAGTGAGTGTTAAAATCAGTCGCCATGTTGGAGGAAAATAACATTAGGAAAAAGTGTAGTGAAAGAGTTTATGTTAATTTCATGCTTTGTTGAGCATCGGTATTTGAAGTATTTGATGTACTTCCCTGAAATAGCCGCTTCGACATCATATGAAAACACTCTACTACATGTATCTGTATGGTGTTTGAACTAAGACGTCAAGTATACTTCACACAGATTAATGTTGTGTAATCTAATTCATGAGAGTACATACAAGCACTCAAATTGTTAATACTCCAGTAACTGCTCTCAGTCCCTTGACCGTGTTTTTATAAAATTTTCAATTATACAAATGTTAATTACAAAGCTCGCCTATCTTCCAATCATAGTGGACTTTGATCCAGACTTGGCAATTTGATTGGATGATATATGAACCCTCACAACGCATATAAACGTCATAAAATTGAGTTGCGACAATTACACGTTGCTCGTATTGACTCGTTGCATCATACGAAACTTTGTACAAACTTGGAAGACGATACAATGGATACAAAGAGTTCGAAAAAGTACTCCGACAACAATTGTGAGCTTGAAACACTCATCACTGCGAATGATGATACACAACCAAAGGAAAAAAAGTTTTATTTTATTTTAGTTTATAATGACACCGATAATCATGAAATACGCGGCAAGCGTAAAAGATACGAAGACAATTTACAAAAAAGAGGCTTGTTATTAGAGACTGTGCCATTAAGCAAGGTGGTAAGTCTAGAAGTGCGTTCTTTACATTTTGTTATAAAAACCGTAGTTATAATAGACTACCATGCAGTCACTCGTATTCAAGTAATTCAATTATATCAAACATGCACCGACATCAGGCCTGTACATAGGTCGCCCACTCATTCCTTAGCAAAAAGGTGAACATCATTAAGAGGGCTCGTTTGTTTGTCACTCGGGTTTTAAAGAGAAAAATTGAAAGAGTACATTAGACTGAAAATATTCTTCTTCTAAAAGGGAACCCGCATCCAAGAAGAACGCTTTGGTTGCTTAAAGAAGGCACGAGATTACATCTACGATAAATTTTATGGTTCTAAAGTATTCATTTTAAAAGGAGACAAGTGCAATAATTCTTAACTAGTTTCATTTACCAACTTTGGGTGTGACTGCTTAGACCATACAAACGTGGAAGTCACGCGAGATAGTACTCGTAACAAACATTGCACATGAATCAAGGAATATAATTAGTATTTACATAAATTGATTGCATAAACAACCTAAACAGATTTCTGGGCCGCCAATGGCATAGCTTCTCGTGCATGTTTTCCCAAATTGCACTTGAAACCATGCTATTACAAAAAGGTGAATTTGTGGTAGCACAATAGAGTTGATAAAATACTGAAAAGGAATAACGTACGAAAAATATCTTTTCAATGTTTTAATGGAGTAAAACATGACGTAGATGATCCAATAACACACAATCTACCAAATAGATGCCTATTTCTAAAAAAAACGCCCTCAAACAACGATGGCCGTTTTTATGCCTAAGACGTATAATACGTCTGGGCGACTTAAGACAACTCTTTTTAATGCGTCTCTTAAATCGTCAAAGGATAAAGACGGCTAAAAGACGAAATAATCGTCGAGACGACTTTAGCGTTTAATTCGTCTTGACAGACGAACTAAAGTTGTTACCTCGTTTGGATCAATTGATTTTGCCGTTTAGTTTTGAGTTAAGTCGACCCGTCTTTATGCTGGACGGTTTAAAACTTAGACGTATAAATCGTCCAGACTCATTATCTGTCTTAAGCATAAAAACGGCCAATGATAATGTCATAAAAATCGGTCGTTGATTGGACTCGCATGTTTAGTCTTATTTTTGTTTACATTTGTTCTAGCGTGTGTTAAATTATTAACGGTAAAAAAGAAATGGCAAAATCATACCAACACTGCAAATAAATCATCATTTTGCTTCCCCCAACCCTTAATGGCAACGACGTGAGTATTTTACAGTTCCATGTTCGAGAGGTTTCTGTTGTGGTGTTTTGAATTTCAGCTTTTCTAGATACAACGAATTACCTAAAGGGAGACATATTCAAATACAATGATTGTTTTTAAGTTCAAGCGTCTGAATATTTATTGTTTATATTCAGCTCGAAGACAAGAACATATACTTCGTTTTGGTGCACGCACCGTTAGACCCAGTCCTTTTCCAAAAAGCAGAGGACATGCATATTCAAATGCCATTAAAAGATGAAACCAACAGTGAACCGGCCACGTCCAACAGTGAACCACAAAGTATACTGATAAGGTTCTATAGAAAGCTCGTAGATAAACGCCTTGATCCATTCACAGTAAAGAAACCCACCGTTCGCACTCAAAATTGGAACACGGTGACTTCCTTTTCAAAATTGAATGTTAAGGCTTTTCAGAAAAAAGACGACAAAGGTTTCTTTGAGAATGCTGAAAGAAGTCGAATGGTAAAAGGAATTCTACAATTGACATCGTTTACAGTTGACGAGTCAGGGGAAGTCAATGAAAAACATGATGACGACACAAGACTTGATGAAGGTCACGGTATTGAACAATTGTGTCATAAAGGAGTGTATGAATGTTACTATCCAATGCATGATGGACCTTCAATAATACATGATAATCACATGGACAACGATCGGCAAAGGTTGCGCGCAGACTGGGCAACATTTTCAATGTCTTTAAAATATCAACCTTTAGATGCAATCCGCGATTATTTTGGTGTCCGTGTTGGTTTCTACTTTGCATGGCTAGGGTTGTATACAAGTTTTCTAGCTCCTGCAGCTGTTGTGGGTTTGTTGTGCTTTATTTATGGACTTTGTACGATGAACACAGCACAACCATTGAAAGAGATATGTGATAAAAAGAATGAGAGGTTAGTGATCTTTAATTTGAGAAAGAATGTAGGAAGTAATTATTTCAGCTATAGCAAGCAGTAGATATTGCCAGCTATAACAGATAGTACACAGTTTTGGCTATGGAGGTAATAGTCAGCGGTAGCTAGTGGTACATAGAGTCAACTGTAGCTGGTGTTACATAGAGTCAACTGTAGCTGGTGTTACATAGAGTCAACTGTAGCTGGTGTTACATAAAGTCAACTGTAGCTGGTGTTACATAGAGTCAACTGTAGCTGGTGTTACATAGTGTCAACTGTAGCTGGTGTTACATAGAGTCAACTGTAGCTGGTGGTACATAGAGTCAACTGTAGATGGTGTTACATAGAGTCAACTGTAGCTGGTGTTACATAGAGTCAACTGTAGCTGGTGTTACATAGAGTCAACTGTAGCTGGTGTTACATAGAGTCAACTGTAGCTGGTGTTAGATAGTGTCAACTGTAGCTGGTGTTACATAGCGTCAACTGTAGCTGGTGTTACATAGAGTCAACTGTAGCTGGTGTTAGATAGTGTCAACTGTAGCTGGTGTTACATAGCGTCAACTGTAGCTGGTGTTACATAGAGTCAACTGTAGCTGGTGTTACATAGAGTCAACTGTAGCTGGTGTTACATTGAGTCAACTGTACCTGGTGTTACATAGAGTCAACTGTAGTTGGTGTTACATAGTCAACTGTAGCTGGTGTTACATAGAGTCAACTGTAGCTGGTGTTACATAGAGTCAACTGTAGCTGGTGTTACATAGAGTCAACTGTAGCTGGTGTTACATAGAGTCAACTGTAGCTGGTGTTACATAGAGTCAACTGTAGCTGGTGTTACATAGAGTCAACTGTAGCTGGTGTTACATAGAGTCAACTGTAACTGGTGTTACATAGAGTCAACTGTAGCTGGTGTTACATAGAGTCAACTGTAGCTGGTGTTACATAAAGTCAACTGTAGCTGGTGTTACATAGAGTCAACTGTAGCAATTTTGGGATCATAAAAAGTTTGACATTTGTGTATAAAAAATCGCCGTTTATTTGACAAACTGGGAGAATCCAAGAACTTTGTCCGATTATCACAATAGCCACACATTAAAAATGTACGTCCTTGAGTCGGTAAACACCTACTTTCCACTCATCAACCTTGCCTTCTTTAAAACCAGTTTGATCAACGGTAATCCCTCAAAGTACAACAGAATCAATGGCGGACGGATTGAGGAATGTAATGCAGCTGGTTGTTTGATTGATGTTTCATATATCTTTTCGTCTTCATGACTGGTAAACAGATTCTGAACCTGGGAAATGAATTTGTCGTACCGTACGTAGCTGTTGTGTTTTCCTTTTTTATGTACAGAAGGGGATAGTTGTGATCATTTCTTAGCATTTTATGTACATTAGGGGGTAGATGTGATCATTTTTTTTTTACCAATGAAGTTCATTGATTCGATTAATTTAAGACTTTTACAATGAGTTCCCGTTATCGCATCACGTGATCATTTTCAATTCTCAAACTATTACAATGTGAGATAAAAAGTGGAAAATTGGGTCATTTTCTTTTTTAGTTGCCTTAAGAAACGATGGTGGGATCGCTCCCGATACCTCAATGGGAAGATGATTATTGGTTGGAGGAAGAGCCCGAATTTCGCATATTTTACGAGTATCTAGATATGGGTGAGGAATGAACTGTAATTTTGTTTACAAACACAACTATCATCACTATAAAAAACAAACATCTTTCTTTCAGTGATACAGTTTGGTTTTGTGACAATGTTTGTTGCCTCGTTTCCATTGGCTCCTCTCTTTGCCGTCATCAACAATTTCGTGGAAATCCGAGCTGACGCCCTCAATTTTGTGGTAAATTATCAACGTCGTGTTTCTGAGCAAGTTAAAAATATTGGCATTTGGCTTAAAATCATGGAAATACTTACGACAATATACAAACAACAAACAAACAACATTTATATACCGGCCAGTATTAATCCCCGCCAGGGGGGTTGACCGGTCCATGAATTTTTCCACGCCACACATCTCTATCTCGCGCCATATCTCTCGTTATACCCATCGCCTTCATATCACTGTTCACAACATCCATCCATCTCTTTCTCGGTCTACCTCGTTTGCGGACTCCATCAACATTCATATGCAACGTTCTACGAATTTCAGCACTTTCTTCCCTCCTTTCCACATGCCCAAACCACCTCAAACGCTGGCGTCTTACCCAATTCTCGATACACTCAACACCAACTCTTTCTCTAATCTCTTCACTTCGAATCCTATCCATCAACGTTACACCACACATCATCCTAAGCATTCTCGTTTCCGTCGACGCCAATCTTCTCAGGTCCTCTGCTTTCGGCGCCCAACACTCTGCTCCATATCCCAAAACACTTCTAACACATGCCTTATACAATTCTCCTTCTGCTTCAACGAAGTCGACTTTCCGCACAACATTCCCGACAACTCTAAACTCCACCACGCTGCTTGAACTCTGTTCCTCACCGCTTGCTCGCACCTCCACCATCATTTAACACATCGCCCAGATATTTAAACTCCGATACACCTTCCAAACTCACGTCACCCAGTTCAAACCGTTCAATCGCGACTCGCCCACCACTTCGACACGTCCCGCACTCAAAATTACTCTTGTCAATGCACCACGGACACCTGAACATCTTCCATGAACCCACTTACCGCATTTCCCACACATTATCGAATTCACTCCAACTCTTTTCCCCACACACCACATGGCCATTTATCACTGTCCTTCACCTCCACCTGCCTCGAGCATCTCATGCCCTTCGTCTTTGCCTCATTCACTTTCAGTCCCTTGACTTCTATTGCCGTTTTCCATTCTCGGTACCATTCCAGAACTTTCTGCTTCGACTCCGCCACCAAGACAATGTCATCTGCATACAACAAACACCAGCATCCTTCTTTCACTTCCTCTGTCAGTACATCCATCACACAAGCAAACAGTAACGGCGACAAGACTGAACCTTGATGAACACCAACTTTTACCTCAAAAACACCAGATCTAGCACCTTCCTCCGTAACCACCGCCTCTACACCTTCATAAGTCTCCATAACTGCCCGAACCATATTCTCTGTCACACCTTTCTTACGCAGCGCGTACTCGATCACCTTCTCGGAACTCTATCAAACGCCTTCTCCAAATCTACAAACACCATATACAATTCTCTGTCCTTCTCCAAAATTTCTCCTGCAGCTGCCTCAACACAAAACACGCATCCGTCGTTCCTCTCCCCGGTATGAATCCATACTGCTCTTCCCCATCCGAACAACTTCCTCAACCTTCTTTCAAACACTCTCTACTATTTTCAACGCATGCTCCATCAGCTTAATAGTCCTGTAATCCCACATACCGTTGCTGCCTTTTCCTTTGTACAGCGGGACCACTAGACTCTTTCTCCATGTACTCGGCATCTTTGAGCCCCTCAAAACCTCGTTCGCCACAACTCTCTCACGCATAGTTCATTGTCCAACATTTCGCTACCCACTTCACTCGGTCCGTCGCCTTTCCTTTCTTCATCTTGAGCCGCCGCCACCTCATCAACAGTCACTATTTCCCACGGCCCAAAACTTCATCCGCTTCAACTTCTCCATTCCACTCATTCTCTACATTCATCAAACGGTCACAGTACGCCCTCCACACTTCTAACCTGTCTTCCAATAACACCTTCAACTCCCCATCGGTTCTGCACGCCGAGCACCCAAAATATCGTTCCTCCTTCTAGCTGTTCTAAACAACGCTTTTCTTCCATTCTCCTGCATTTTACGAAGCTCTTTCTGATGTCTTTCTTTCGCTTTAGCCTTTCGCGCCTTTTTCTTGAATCGGATGTAATCGATCCTATCTGTTTCAGTCCGCGACTTTCTCCACCTTTAAATGCCAACTTCGCGCCAATCACTTCGCTGACTCGTTGATCCCACCACCATGCCTGTTCTTCTACTACACCGCCTTTACTTCTACAACATACCTTCTCCGCTGCCTTTAAAACACCCTTCTCCACGTCCATCGCTCCTCCACCGTCTCACCCTCAACATTCAATGTCGCAATTTCGTCACGGAAACACTGCTTCCCTTCATTCGATCAATCCAAGCCTGCCTTTGCCTCAACCTTTCTCCTTTTCACCTTCCTGATTCTCCAGTCCATGACCAGCAGCTTGTGCTGGTCACACATTCTTCTCCTGCAATCACTTTTGCATCCTTCACGTTTTCCTCTCTTCATTCACCAGTATATAATCCACCACCGTCCTACTGTCACCAGATTCATACGTCACAAGCTTGCTTTCTTCCTTTATAAACCACGTATTCACTACCACCATCCCACAACTCGCTGCTAACTCCAATATCGTCTCGCCTTCAGCATTCATATCACCAACCAAAACCTCCATGCGCACAGTATCCTTTTTACGCTTCCCACATGACCGTTCCAATCACCAAGCATCACACATCGCCCTCTAATGTCTGCTCTCACTGCATACACGCTGTCGTAGAACTTTTCCTTCTCCTCCGCACTTCGTCCAACCTGCGGAGCATACACCACAACGAAACTCACAACTTCGGCCTCAATAACTACATCAACTCTCAGGACTCTGTCCGAAACTCTTCACTGCTACAACTGACTTCGCCCAATCTCTCTTATCGCAAAGCCAACACCATTCGTGCCACTTCCGTTTCCCTTCCAAAACCACTTAAATCTCGCTCCATTATCTTCACCCTTTATGACTCTCGTACCTTCACCTTTAAACCTTACCTCCTGAAACCCACACACATCAACTTTCCTTCTCTTCAACATGTCCGCCACTTCTGCACTCCTTCCCTTCATTGTCCCAACGTTCACTGTGCCTACCCGAAGGGTGACACTTCCACAACCATTCGATCCGGAGATTCTTCGCACCCCCTGCCCACTGAAGGGCTGCCGGGGACTGGGGGCCATATCTTCTTTTCCAAAGTCCATGAATTTTGTTGGAGCAAAAGTTTTACGGTAGGATGCCCTTCCTTACACCAACCCCTTTTAGTCGTCTTTTACGACACGCAGAGGATACGTTGGCGCAATTCTAAGCCGGCAACCACACGGCATACTTACGACAATATCTGCAGTCGTAAATTCGTTTGTCATCGCTTTTACGACTGATTTTATACCAAGGTATTTCAATCGTTTTACCGTCATTTTAATTGAGAATCAAATGGAAAAGTCATTGTTTTTCTTAGCAACAATAATTAGAACTAGTAGAATGGAAAAGCCATTGTTTTTCTTAGCAACAATAAGTAGAACTAGTAGAATGGAAAAGTCATTGTTTTTCTTAGCAACAATAAGTAGAACTAGTAGAATTAGTTGAACTCAATCGTCATAATTAAAGCAGATCAAACTCAAAACACTTTAATTATCAAAAGAGTTTCTGTATTTATTTAGGTTTGTGTACGTCCATTACTACAGTGAAAGTGGTTCACTCGAAGGTTATGTAAACAATTCCCTCAGTTATATCAAGATATCTGATTTAGAGAAAGACAGTCTTCCCGAAGATCGTTACAAAAATCTGAACTACACACTGCCTTACTGCAGGTAATCACAATAAAATTTAATCATAAACCATAAGCAAAGTAGACAAAAAATTTAGCTTCATTACCCACCCTGGTAAACATGGTGAAGAGACGAATCATTCAAAAAACACAGTACGCAACATGATTCCCTAGCTTGTTAAAAGCTATTACGTTGATAGAAAAACGAGATCCAAAGATACCATCATGAACCGAAAGTCATAATTTATAACAGATTCTTGACTTTATTTCATAGATTCAAAGAATATCTGGAACGAAATAAACCATATAACTTCAGTAAACAGTATTTCACCGTAATGATGTCTCGTTTCATTTTCATCGCCGTCTTTCATTATGTGATTTACATCCTACGATATTTTGTAAAATGGCTTTTTCCTCAAGTTTCCAACTCGTTGCAGACAAAGATTTCACGAAAAATGCACGTGACCAGAATGCGCTTTCGCAAAAGTGCAGTTCAAGCCATGCAAGAGACAATCAAACAGGAATCTGAGCGACGGCGAAACTCAAAGTCGACATTTACAGAGCACTCTGATGGTCAATTGATACGCAGAACAAATTCCGCCAATATGCACACTTATGTTTGAGTTTAAACAAAATAGTGTAGTTGAAGAATTCTTTGTAACATTTTTAATTATTTTTGTCATGTTAGCCGGACTATGTTATTTCTACAAACAAACATAAGATTTCGCCATGGTAAATATTTATATCTTATGTAAGAATGCTTTATTTGGGTCCGACATGCATAACCACTCTGCTAGTTTCTTATTTTATACTTTTGTGCGATGAAAATTCGCAGCTAAATTGCACTTTGCAGACGAAAGCGATCGTTTGTCTTTGTTCGTAGCATAAATGACAAATGCTTACAAAGTTTCGCATATGTTTTAACGAAGTTGCAATTTCTTTTTATAGAATATAGTTTCTCAGTACCAGTCTCCCGGAGACGATGGAATCAGTTTGTTTTAATTTCGATGTTTAATACTGTATTTCTCAAAACCTATTCAACAACAAACAAATTTGTTGTCAAATGAACTTTAAATCTGTAAAAACCTTATAATAGGTCACACGCAAAGTCAAGCATTTCATAAAGACGTTATTAACACATGAAGGATAAGTCTCTATTTCAGAAAATCAATTAAATACAATCTTTGATTGATTGCAAAACAAATACAGTAACAAAAACTGTCACACAAAGACTACGGTCATATTTAATTGACAACTGCATATCGTTTAATGACTTTCATTGATTGCATAATCTACATGGTTTGCCATAGGTTGGCGTACACAAAATCTGCGTTTGATCATCATAGATGAACATACAAATACTCTATGGCGTTTATGATTGAATAAAGCATAAAAAAATAAACAATCTTAACGATTGATACAAAATAAGAGTGTTGTTAAGGAAATTAGAGAAAATAGAGGTTCAACAAAGCATAAATTTTACAGAATGAATACAATTTAGGGAAATTGGGACAGATTTTGTCATTTTAAACAGATCCATTTATCTACTTAAACAGTAATAAAAGCATCTTCGAAATGTTAAAGATTTTTTATTTTATTTTGTTTATTCATTTCAAACTTTAATTCTTCTTATAGGAATCATATTCTTAAACAGATGACTTCTGTAAACTTTTGTAACTTCGTAAAAAAATCTAAATGTTGTAATGACACTACAAATGCTATGAAAAATTCACTATTCAGTAATAATTAAACTTAAAACTAAATAAAAAACACACCACCTAAAGTTCTACTTTATATTTTAAAAATGGTTGTAATAAAATATCACAAATAACCGTAAAAACACGGGCATTATTAGTCAAATGCTACAAAAAATCATACAGAAAATTTTAATGGCAAAATATAAACAATATGTCATTAAAATAGATAAAATTTATCTTCTAAATGTTTTTAAAAGGCTGTTGTGTGAGTTTTTCCAAGCAGTTTTTCGTTCCTCTCAAACTTTACCACATAATTCTACAACTCTACATAAAATAGCAATACTATGACATTATATATCATCAATGTCATGTTATACATCAATCTCCCCTCCGAACTCAATACTCATCTCATGTATTGTGATAAATTGTTTGTTGTGACATACAAATTTGTTGAATTAAAGAAATTGATGGCAGTTGAAGCATTACCTAATACAACCAACTAAACATATTACTTTATAATACCCAGCTCAAGATGTTTAATCACTGACTATCTTCAAATTTCTTCATGATTTTTTTAATAATAGTCATACAGACAATTCAGTTTGTTTATTTGCTAGCAAACAAGTTCCTTTTTTTTCGATGCATTTTTCCCTTGGCAAGTTCTGCAATTTGAGCTTGTAAAGTAATCTTTTTTGGATCGTTCTGACATGGTTCTAGCTTGCAAGTTTCAAACTAAACCCTTTGCAATAAAAAATTAAATGGGAGACTGGGACTTGGCCATTATTTTTTGACTCTCCTCCCCCTCCCAATGAACTGGATAGTTCAATGCTGCAAACACGAATACCACATGCCACATGAAATGCAGGCTCGAGGAACAAATTTGTTGAATTTGGAATCATTAGAACGGAGGACGGAAGACATTTCAAGCTATATTTGGCAACTAGAGAACGCTAGAGCCACTCAACCATGATAATTAACTGCCTTATCAGCATTTAAAGTTTCTTATTAAATAAAGACATCACTGACACGTTTCCAAGTTAAATATAAACGGATGTTTTGTTTGTGTCTCTAAGGATGATATATATGTTCACTTCACTTTTATATCGCCAAATCCAAAAGTATCATAAAATTACTTACATTATTATGACTATAAAATAATCAGGATTTTAACAATGGGTGTTTCGAGTTCAATGGAGTACAATGTCAACAATTTTGAGCTCGACAGATTATACACATCAAATGAAGAAATAGGAAAAAAATACGATTACGTTTTAGTTCGTAAAGTCATTTACAATGAAGAACGGGAAAGATACGAGAAAAACTTAGAAGAAAGAGGTCTAAAACTTAAAGTTGTTGAACCAAAAAGCGATGATGTAAGTTGAAACAACTTTAACAGTATGTAGTTTATGTAAACTATCCCAATTATTTAAATATAAATAATCTTCAGGGGATTAAATCCCTTGACGAGTGAGCAATCACAAAACAGGCATGTCGGGATAATCTGTAGTTTTCGTGATTTTTCAACATCACTACATATGTATAAATAAAGATATAGGAAGTTATCTACAGTTGTTCTTTATTTGTAGAAGCTTAGAGCGTCTAATTGGATGAGTGGGTGGATTAATGTGATTGGATGGTGTGGAATACGTTGTCATGGGTTTTGGTGTATTGTGAATATGATCGGTGTTAATGTTATTAGAGTGTAATGTTGTAGTTTTGGTGTTGTTTGTAGTTTTTTTGTCCTTTTTCTTTAGTTATGAGTATATGATGGATATGTCAATGTGTCTGTTTATTTAAAACAATTATTTGTTTTTTTACAACAATCTGGAGAAACGTTCATTTTTTATTTATTAAATGCCTGGATAACTAATTTTCAAAGTAATATGTATGTGTATACTGTTGAGTATATCTCCTGCGTACAGGTGGTCTGTATCATTAAAAAACTAGATGGCCCATTTCAAATAGAAATTCATGATATCAACATTATAGTGCTTTTAAGGAGAGGATCGCAATGATTGAGGAATTAATGCTTCATTATTTTTCTCTACACTGCCTTTTGATTTCTTCTTTTAGACTATAATGGTTCTTTGTACAATGAATGTTGACAATTAAAAATGTTGTAAGGAGGGGAGAGGGTGTTGTTAAACATTGTGTCTGACATCAGAGGAGAAAACTCAAACTGTTGTAAGGAGGGGGGAGGGGTACATATTGTTAAACATTGTGTCTGACGTCAGAGGAGAAAACTCAAAATGTTGTAAGGAGGGGGGAGGGGTACATATTGTTAAACATTGTGTCTGAAGTCAGAGGAGAAAACTCAAAATGTTGTAAGGAGGGGAGGGTACATATTGTTAAACATTGTGTCTGAAGTCAGAGGAGAAAACTCAAAATGTTGTAGGGAGGGGGTACATATTGTTAAACATTGTGTCTGACGTCAGAGGAGAAAACTCAAAATGTTGTAAGGAGGGGAGGGGTACATATTGTTAAACATTGTGTCTGAAGTCAGAGGAGAAAACTTAAAATGCTGTGAGGAGGGGGGAGGGGTACATATTGTTAAACATTGTGTCTGATGTCAGAGGAGAAAACTCAAAATGTTGTAAGGAGGGGAGGGGTACATACTGTTAAGCATTGTGTCTGACGTCAGAGGAGAAAACTCAAAATGCTGTGAGGAGGGGAGGGGTACATTGTTAAACATTGTGTCTGACGTCAGAGGAGAAAACTCAAAATGTTGTAAGGAGGGGGAGGGGTACATACTGTTAAGCATTGTGTCTGAAGTCAGAGGAGAAAACTCAAAATGTTGTAAGGAGGGGAGGGGTACATACTGTTAAACATTGTGTCTGAAGTCAGAGGAGAAAACTCAAAATGCTGTGAGGAGGGGGAGGGTATTGTTAAAATTGTGTCTGACGTCAGAGAAGAGAACTCAAAATGCTGTAAGGGGGGAGAGGGGCGCATATTGTTAAATATTGTGTCTGACGTCAGAGGAGAAAACTTAAAATGGCAAAATTTTTTTTTCTTGTAGCTCACGAACATCTGCTTCGTCCTAGTGCACGCTCTGTTAGACCCAGTCCTTTTTCAGAAAGCAGAGGACATGAATATTCAAATGCCATTAAAAGACGAAAAATTATTGAATAGGATGGAAGATACCTCAGAAAATGAACAAGAAAATACCAAAAGTAAGGTAAAAAGTTTGTATAAAGACTTCGTACATAAACGCCTAAATCCATTCACAGTAAAGAAACCCGCCGTTCGCACTCAAAATTGGAACACGGCAACTTCCTTTTCAAAATCAAATGTTAAGGCTTTTCAGAAAAAAGACGACAATGGTTTCTTTGAGAATGCTGAAAGAAGTCGAATGGTAAAACGAATTCTACAATTGACATCGTTTACAGTTAAGGAATCTGAGGAAGTCATTGAACACTTTGATGATGACACAAGTCATTATGAAGGTCATGGGATTGAACAGTTGTGTCATAAAGGAGTGTATGAATCTTACTATCCAATGCATGATGGACCTTCAATAATACATGATAATCACGTGGACAACGATCGGCAAAAGTTGCGCGCAGACTGGGCAACATTTTCAATGTCTTTAAAATACCAACCCTTAGATGCAATCCGTGATTATTTTGGTGTCCGTGTTGGTTTCTACTTTGCATGGCTTGGGTTTTATACAGCTTTTCTGGTTCCTGCAGCTGTTGTGGGTTTGTTGTGCTTTCTTTATGGACTTTGTACTATGAACACAGCACAACCATTGAAAGAGATATGTGATAAAAAGAATGAGAGGTTAGTGATCTTTAATTTGAGAAAGAATGTAGAAAGTGTCAGCTATAGCAGTTAGTAGAATGTATCAGCTATAACAGGTGGTACATAGTGTCTGCTAAAGCTGGTGGTAAATGGTGTCAGCTATAGCTGGTGGTAGATAGTGTCAGTTATAACTGGTGGTAAATAGTGTCAGCTATAACTGGCAGTAAATAGTGTCAGCTATAGCTGGTGGTAGATAGTGTCAGCTTTAGCATATTGTAGCAAGTGTCAGCTATAGCTGGTGGTAGATAGTGTCAGCTTTAGCAGATGGTAGCAAGTGTCAGCTATAGCTGGTGGTAGTGTCAGCTATAGCTGGTGGTGTCAGCTATAGCAGATGGTAGCAAGTGTCAGCTATAGCTGGTGGTAGATAGTGTCAGCTTTAGCAGATGGTAGCAAGTGTCAGCTATAGCTGGTGGTAGATAGTGTCAGCTTTAGCAGATGGTAGCAAGTGTCAGCTATAGCTGGTGGTAGATAGTGTCAGCTTTAGCAGATGGTAGCAAGTGTCAGCTATAGCTGGTGGTAGATAGTGTCAGCTTTAGCAGATGGTAGCAAGTGTCAGCTATAGCTGGTGGTAGATAGTGTCAGCTTTAGCAGATGGTAGCAAGTGTCAACTATAGCTGTTCATTGAGTAAACTTATAGGCATCTTATATCTTTTTAAGATTATTCTACATGTGTCCACAATGTGATCGTCACTGCAGCTACTACAGTCTTACATCAAACTGTCATTACTCCAAACTCGCTCATTTATTTGATAACGAAGCGACCGTATTTTCTCTGTCTTCATGTCAATATGGGCGACGCTTTTCTTGAATGTTGGAAACGAACTGAGGCGAAACTGGCTTTTCGATGGAACGTTTACGACTTGCTTAAAGAATACGAGCCATTGCGTCCTGATTTTGTGAGCAAAGTTGAAACAAAGAAAAAAAATCCAGTGACGGACAAAGATGAACCATATTTACCACGAGGTATTATCATACGACGCCATCTTGGTGCATTGGCTGTTGTTTTCTTCATGGTGCTTGTTGTTGTCTCAACATTAGTTGGCATCGTTGTCTACAGAGCTAGTGTACTTGCCGCACTTTATGCTAATTCAAGCAATGACATCCGTGAATACGCTGGTGCTTTGACGTCATTCACAGCAGCCTGTATCAATCTGGTGATCATTCAGATTTTGACATTCTTTATCAAAAATCGCCGTTTATTTGACGAACTGGGAGAATCCAAGAACGATGGCCGATTATCACAATAGCTTCACATTAAAATGTACGTCTTTCAGTTCGTGAATACATATTCTTCTCTTCTACGTCGCCTTCTTTCAAACCAATTTGATCAACGGTAATCCCTCAAAGTACAACAGAATCAATGAGCGAAGGATCGAGGAGTGCAATGCAGCTGGTTGTTTGATTGATGTTTGCATACAACTTTTTGTCATCATGATTGGCAAACAAATTCTGGGACTTATCTATGAATTTGTTTTTCCGTACGTAGCTGTAATCTTTTCCTTTTATTGTGTACATGAGAGGATAAATATGATCAATTGTTGTTTTTTTACAAAGCACATTTGAACAATATTAACGTGTTAAGATTAAGTCAAGGATTTACTAGCATCAATAGAAGGGAATAAGAGATGGACGTTGAGGGTTAAGTAAAGGACATGGTGGGATAAGTGAAGGACATAGTGGGATAAGTGAAAGTTCTAAAGAACAGAAGGATAAGGGATCTTTTCGTTTTTTAGTGTTCTTAAGAAACGATGGAGGGATCGCTCCCGTTCTTTATACGAGAATAAAAAGATACCTCAATGGGAAGATGATTATTGGTTGGAGGAAGAGCCCGAATTTCGCATATTTTACGAATATCTAGATATGGGTGAGGAATGAACTGTAATTTTTGTTTACAAACACAACTATCATTACTACAAAAAAAAACAAACATCTTTTTCTTTCAGTGATACAGTTTGGTTTTGTGACAATGTTTGTTGCCTCGTTCCCATTGGCTCCTCTCTTTGCCGTCATTAACAATTACGTGGAAATCCGAGCTGACGCCATCAATTTTGTCGTGAATTATCGACGTCGTGTCTCAGAGCAAGTTAAAAATATCGGAATCTGGTTTAAAATCTTAGAAATGCTTACGACAATATCTGTAGTCGTAAATTCGTTTGTCATCGCTTTTACGACTGATTTTATACCAAGGTATTTCAATCGTTTTACATTTTAATGAGAATCAATTGGAAAAGTCATTGATTTTCTTTGCAACAATAAGAACTATCTCTAACCTGGTAGAATTAGTTGAACTCAATCGTCATAATTAAAGCAGATCAAACTTAAAACACTTTAATTATCAAAAGAGTTTCTGTATTTATTTAGGTTTGTGTACGTCCATTACTACAGTGAAAGTGGTTCACTCGAGGGTTATGTAAACAATTCCCTCAGTTATATCAAGATATCTGATTTAGAAAAAGACAGTCGTCCCGAAGACCCTTACAAAAATCTGAACTACACACTGCCTTACTGCAGGTAATTGTAACAAAACATTATGAACCATTATATGGTAGCCTCAAATTTTAGCCTTTCTTCATATTAGGAATGCTCTATCTATCAGGTATGAAGAGAGCAATTATAAACATTTAAAAATATTTTAAAACTTTATTTCACAGATTCAAAGAATACCTGGAACCAAATAAACCATATAACTTCAGTAAACAATATTTCACCGTAATGATGGGTCGTTTCATCTTTATCGTCGTTTTTCAATATTTCATTTTCGTCGTACGATATATCATAAGGCGACTTGTTCCTAAAATATCCAGCTCGTTGCAGGCAAAGATAGCACGAAAAATACACGTTGCGAGATTGTGCTTTCGCAAAAGTGCAGCTCAAGCCAAGCAAGAGACAAACGAACAGGAATCTGAGCGACGGGGAAACTCGAAGTCGACATTTACAGAGCACTCTGATGGTCAATTGATACGCAGAACAAATTCCGCCAATATGCACACTTGTGTTTGTGTTTAAACAAAATAGTGTAGTTGAAGAATTCTTTGTAACATTTTTAATTATTTTTGTCATGTTAGTCGGACTATGATATTTCTACAAACAAACATAAGATTTCGCCATGGGAAATATTTATATCTTATGTAAGAATGCTTTATTTGGGTCCGACATGCATAACCACTCTGCTAGTTTCTTATTATATACTTTTGTGCGATGAAAATTCGCAGCTAAATTGCACTTTGCAGGCGAAAGCGAGCGTTTGCCCTTGTTCGTAGCATAAATGACAAATGCTTACAAAGTTTCGCATATGTTTTAACGAAGTTGCAATTTCTTTTTATAGAATATGGTTTCTCAGTACCAGACTCCCTGAGACGACGGAATCAGGTTTTTTTAATTTCGATGTTTAATACTGTATTTCTCAAAACCTATTCAACAACGAAACAAATTTGTTGTCAAATGAACTTTAAATCTGTAAAAACCTTATAATAGGTCAAACGAAATGTCAAGCATTTTATAAAGACGTTATTAACACATGAAGGATAAGTCTCTATTTCAGAAAATCAATTAAATACAATCTTTGATTGATTGCAAAACAAATACAGTCACAAAAACTGTCACACAAAGACTACGGTCATATTTAATTGACAACTGCATATCGTTTAATGACTTTGATTGATTGCATAATCTACATGGTTTGCCATAGGTTGGCGTACACAAAATCTGCGTTTGATCATCATAGATGAACATACAAATACTCTATGGCGTTTATGATTGAATAAAGCATAAAAAAATAAACAATCTTAACGATTGATACAAAATAAGAGTGTTGTTAAGGAAATTAGAGAAAATAGAGGTTCAACAAAGCATAAATTTTACAGAATGAATACAATTTAGGGAAATTGGGACAGATTTTGTCATTTTAAACAGATCCATTTATCTACTTAAACAGTAATAAAAGCATCTTCGAAATGTTAAAGATTTTTTTATTTTATTTTGTTTATTCATTTCAAACTTTAATTCTTCTTATAGGAATCATATTCTTAAACAGATGACTTCTGTAAACTTTTGTAACTTCGTAAAAAAATCTAAATGTTGTAATGACACTACAAATGCTATGAAAAATTCACTATTCAGTAATAATTAAACTTAAAACTAAATAAAAAACACACCACCTAAAGTTTTACTTTATATTTTAAAAATGGTTGTAATAAAATATCATAAATAACATTAAAAACACAGGCATTATTAGTCAAATGTTAGAAAAAATCATACAGAAAATTTTAATGGCAAAACATAAACAATATGTTATTAAAATAGATAAAATTTATCTTCTAAATGTTTTTAAAAGGCTGTTGTGTGAGTTTTTCCAAGCAGTTTTTCGTTCCTCTCAAACTTTACCACATAATTCTACAACTCTACATAAAATAGCAATACTATGACATTATATATCATCAATGTCATGTTATACATCAATCTCCCCTCCGAACTCAATACTCATCTCATGTATTGTGATAAATTGCTTGTTGTGACACACAAATTTGTTGAATTAAAGAAATTGATGGCAGTTGAAGCATTACCTAATACAACCAACTAAACATATTACTTTATAATACCCAGCTCAAGATGTTTAATCACTGACTATCTTCAAATTTCTTCATGATTTTTTTAATAGTAGTCATACAGACAATTCAGTTTGTTTATTTGCTAGCAAACAAGTTCCTTTTTTTTCGATGCATTTTTCCCTTGGCAAGTTCTGCAATTTGAGCTTGTAAAGTAATCTTTTTTGGATCGTTCTGACATGGTTCTAGCTTGCAAGTTTCAAACTAAACCCTTCGCAATAAAAAATTAAATGGGAGCCTGGGACTTGAGCCATTATTTTTGACTCCTCTCCCCTCCTGATGAAGTGGATAGTCCAATGCTCCAAACACGAATACCACATGCCACATGAAATGCAGGCTCGAGGAACAAATTTGTTGAATTTGGAATCATTGAAACGGAGGACGGAAGACATTTCAAGCTATATTTGGCAACTAGAGAACGCTAGAGCCACTCAACCATGATAATTAACTGCCTCATCAGCATTTAAAGTTTCTTATGAAACAAAGACATCACTGAGCCTTTTCCAAGTCAAATATAAACGGATGTTTTGTTTGTGTCTCTAAGGATGATATATGTTCACTTCACTTTCACATCGCCAAATCCAAAAGTATCATAAAATTACTTACATTGTTATGACTATAAAATAATCAGGATTTTAACAATGGGTGTTTCGAGTTCAAAGGAGTACAATGTCAACAATTCTGAGCTCGACAGATTAAGCACAAGAAGTTATGATTTTGAGCTCGACAGATTAAACACATCAAATGAAGACCTACAAGAAATGGAAGCAAAATACGATTACGTTTTAGTTTCTAAAGACATTGACAATGAAGAATTACGTGAAGAACGTGACAGATACGAGGAAAACTTAAGACACAGACGCCTAGACCTTAATTTTGTTAGACCAATAAGCGATGATGTAAGTTGAAACAACTTTAATAGTATGTAGTTTATGTAAACTATCCCTATTATTTAAATATATATATATAGGAAGTTTATATGTGATGATTCTCCGTATAAAACAGTGCTCGATGCCCGAGAGCAGAGCATTTAAATATATCAGCTCAATAAAATTATTTATAAAATCCGGTGAAAATTTATTTTTAAACAATATATATATATATGTATAAAAAATAAAGGTTTCTCCGGATTGTTGTAAAAATTATTTTATTAAGCTTTCGACTCGGTGCTTCGAGCCTTCATCAGAAAGATATAGGAAGTTGTATACAGTTGTTTTTCATTTGTAGACGCTTAGAGCGTCAAATTGCATTAGTGGGTGGATTAATGTGATTGGATGATGTGGAATGCATTGTCATGGGTATTGATGTGTTGTGAATATGATTGGTGTTAATGTTTTTAGTGTGTAATGTTGTAGTTTTGGTGTTGTTTGTTGTTTTTTGTCCTTTTCTTTAGTTGTGAGTATATGATGGATATGTCAATGTGTCTGTTTATTTAAAACAATTATTTGTTTTTTTACAACAATCTGGAGAAAGTTTCATTTTTTATATATTAAATGCCTGGATAACCAATTTTCAAACTTATATATATATATATATGTATACTGTTGAGTATATCTCCCTGTACAGGTGGTCTGTATCATTAAAAACTAGATGGCTCCTTTCAAATAGAAATTCATGATATCGACAATATAGTGCTTTTAAGGAGAGGATCGCAATGATTGAGGAATTAATGCTTCATTATTTTTCTTTACACTGCCTTTTGATTTCTTCTTTTAGACTAAAATGGTTCTTTGTACAACGAATGTTGACAATTAGAAATGTTGTAAGGAGGGGAGAGGGTGTTGTTAAACATTGTGTCTGATGTCAGAGGAGAAAACTCAAACTGTTGTAAGGAGGGGGAGGAGTACATATTGTTAAACATTGTGTCTGACGTCAGAGGAGAAAACTCAACATGTTGTAAGGAGGGGGGAGGGGTACATATTGTTAAACATTGTGTCTGACTTCAGAGGAGAAAACTCAACATGTTGTAAGGAGGGGGGAGGGGTACATATTGTTAAACATTGTGTCTGATATCAGAGGCGAAAACTCAACATGTTGTAAGGAGGGGGGAGGGGTACATATTGTCAAACATTGTGTCTGAAGTCAGAGGAGAAAACTCAAAATGTTATAAGGAGGGGGGGGTACATATTGTTAAACATTGTGTCTGAAGTCAGAGGAGAAAACTCAAAATGGGGGGAGGGGTACATACTGTTAAGCATTGTGTCTGAAGTCAGAGGAGAAAACTTAAAATGCTGTGAGGAGGGGGAGGGTACATATTGTTAAACATTGTGTCTGATGTCAGAGGAGAAAACTCAAAATGTTGTGGGGGAGGGGTACATACTGTTAAGCATTGTGTCTGACGTCAGAGGAGAAAACTCAAAATGCTGGAGGGGGGGAGGGGTACATATTGTTAAACATTGTGTCTGACGTCAGAGGAGAAAACTCAAAATGTTGTAAGGAGGGAGGGGTACATACTGTTAAGCATTGTGTCTGAAGTCAGAGGAGAAAACTCAAAATGTTGTAAGGAGGGGGGGTACATACTGTTAAACATTGTGTCTGAAGTCAGAGGAGAAAACTCAAAATGCTGTGAGGAGGGGGGAGGGGTACATATTGTTAAAAATTGTGTCTGACGTCAGAGAAGAGAACTCAAAATGCTGGGGGAGAGGGGCGCATATTGTTAAATATTGTGTCTGACGTCAGAGGAGAAAACTTAAAATGGCAAAATTTTTATTTCTTGTAGCTCAAGAACATCTGCTTCGTCCTAGTGCACGCTCCGTTAGACCCAGTCCTTTATCAGAAAGCAGAGGACATGAATATTCAAATGCCATTAAAAGACGAAAAATTATTGAATAGGATGGAAGATACCTCCGAAAATGAACAAGAAAATACCAAAAGTAAGCTAAAAAGTTTGTATAAAGACTTCGTACATAAACGCCTAAATCCATTCACAGTAAAGAAACCCGCCGTTCGCACTCAAAATTGGAACACGGCAACTTCCTTTTCAAAATCAAATGTTAAGGCTTTTCAGAAAAAAGACGACAATGGTTTCTTTGAGAATGCTGAAAGAAGTCGAATGGTAAAACGAATTCTACAATTGACATCGTTTAAAGTTGACGAATCAATGGAAGTCATTGAACACTTTGATGATGACACAAGTCGTTATAAAGGTCATGGTATTGAACAGTTGTGTCATAAAGGAGTGTATGAATCTTACTATCCAATGCATGATGGACCTTCAATAATACATAATAATCACGTGGACAACGATCGGCAAAAGTTGCGCGCAGACTGGGCAACATTTTCAAGGTCTTTAAAATACCAACCTTTAGATGCAATCCGTGATTATTTTGGTGTCCGTGTTGGTTTCTACTTTGCATGGCTTGGGTTTTATACAGCTTTTCTGGTTCCTGCAGCTGTTGTGGGTTTGTTGTGCTTTCTTTATGGACTTTGTACTATGAACACAGCACAACCATTGAAAGAGATATGTGATAAAAAGAATGAGAGGTTAGTGATCTTTAATTTGAGAAAGAATGTAGAAAGTGTCAGCTATAGCAGTTAGTAGAATGTATCAGCTATAACAGGTGGTACATAGTGTCTGCTAAAGCTGGTGGTAAATGGTGTCAGCTATAGCTGGTGGTAGATAGTGTCAGTTATAACTGGTGGTAAATAGTGTCAGCTATAACTGGCAGTAAATAGTGTCAGCTATAGCTGGTGGTAGATAGTGTCAGCTTTAGCATATGTAGCAAGTGTCAGCTATAGCTGGTGGTAGATAGTGTCAGCTTTAGCAGATGGTAAAGTGTCAATAGCAGGCTGGTAGCAAAGTAGCTATAGCTGGTGGTAGATAGTGTCAGCTTTAGCAGATAGCAAGTGTCAGTAGCTGGTGGTAGATAGTGTCAGTAGATATAGTAGATAGTGTCAGCTTTAGCAGATGGTAGCAAGTGTCAGCTATAGCTGGTGGTAGATAGTGTCAGCTTTAGCAGATGGTAGCAAGTGTCAGCTATAGCTGGTGGTAGATAGTGTCAGCTTTAGCAGATGGTAGCAAGTGTCAGCTATAGCTGGTGGTAGATAGTGTCAGCTTTAGCAGATGGTAGCAAGTGTCAGCTATAGCTGGTGGTAGATAGTGTCAGCTTTAGCAGATGGTAGCAAGTGTCAACTATAGCTGTTCATTGAGTAAACTTATAGGCATCTTACATCTTTTTAAGATTATTCTACATGTGTCCACAATGTGATCGTCACTGCAGCTACTACAGTCTTACATCAAACTGTCATTACTCCAAACTCGCTCATTTATTTGATAACGAAGCGACCGTATTTTTCTCTGTCTTCATGTCAATATGGGCGACGCTTTTTCTTGAATGTTGGAAACGAACTGAGGCGAAACTGGCTTTTCGATGGAACGTTTACGACTTGCTTAAAGAATACGAGCCATTGCGTCCTGATTTTGTGAGCAAAGTTGAAACAAAGAAAAAAAATCCAGTGACGGACAAAGATGAACCATATTTACCACGAGTATTATCATACGACGCCATCTTGGTGCATTGGCTGTTGTTTTCTTCATGGTGCTTGTTGTTGTCTCAACATTAGTTGGCATCGTTGTCTACAGAGCTAGTGTACTTGCCGCACTTTATGCTAATTCAAGCAATGACATCCGTGAATACGCTGGTGCTTTGACGTCATTCACAGCAGCCTGTATCAATCTGGTGATCATTCAGATTTTGACATTCTTTATCAAAAATCGCCGTTTATTTGACGAACTGGGAGAATCCAAGAACGATGGCCGATTATCACAATAGCTTCACATTAAAATGTACGTCTTTCAGTTCGTGAATACATATTCTCTTCTACGTCGCCTTCTTTCAAACCAATTTGATCAACGGTAATCCCTCAAAGTACAACAGAATCAATGAGCGAAGGATCGAGGAGTGCAATGCAGCTGGTTGTTTGATTGATGTTTGCATACAACTTTTTGTCATCATGATTGGCAAACAAATTCTGGGACTTATCTATGAATTTGTTTTTCCGTACGTAGCTGTAATCTTTTCCTTTTATTGTGTACATGAGAGGATAAATATGATCAATTGTTGTTTTTTTACAAAGCACATTTGAACAATATTAACGTGTTAAGATTAAGTCAAGGATTTACTAGCATCAAAGAAGGGAATGAGTGATGGACGTAGATGGATAAGTAAAGGACATGGTGGGATAAGTGAAGGACATAGTGGGATAAGTGAAGGACATGTAGGGATAAGTGAAGGACATGTAGGGATAAGTGAAGGGCATAGTGGGATAAGTGAAGGTTCTGAAGAACAGAAAGATAAGGGATCTTTTTGTTTTTAGTTGTCTTAAGAAACGCTTATGGTGGGATCGCTCCCGTTCTTTATACAAGAATAAAAAGATACCTCAATGGGAAGATGATTATTGGTTGGAGGAAGAGCCCGAATTTCGCATATTTTACGAATATCTAGATATGGGTGAGGAATGAACAATAATTTTTGTTTACAAACACAACTATCATCACTATAAAAACAAATAACTTTTTCTTTCAGTGATACAGTTTGGTTTTGTGACAATGTTTGTTGCCTCGTTTCCACTGGCTCCTCTCTTTGCCGTCATTAACAATTACGTGGAAATCCGAGCTGACGCCATCAATTTTGTCGTAAATTATCGACGTCGAGTCTCTGAGCAAGTTAAAAATATCGGAATCTGGTTTAAAATCTTAGAAATACTTACGACAATATCTGTTGTCGTAAATTCGTTTGTCATCGCTTTTACGACTGATTTTATACCAAGGTATTTCAATCGTTTTACATTTTAATGAGAATCAATTGGAAAAGTCATTGTTTTTCTTTGCAACAATAAGAATTATCTCTAACCTGGTAGAATTAGTAGAACTTGATCGTCATAATTAAAGCAGATCAAAGTTAAAACACTTTAATTATCAAAAGAGTTTCTATATTTATTTAGGTTTGTGTACGTCCATTACTACAGTGAAAGTGGTTCACTCGAAGGTTATGTAAACAATTCCCTCAGTTATATCAAGATATCAGATTTAGAGAAAGACAGTCTTCCCGAAGATCCTTATAGAAATCTGAACTATACACTACCTTACTGCAGGTAATTGTAACAAAACATTATAAACCATTATATGGTAGCCTCAAATTTTAGCCTTTCTCCATATTAGGAACGCACTATCTATCAGGTATGAAGAGAGCAATTATAACATGTAAAAATATTTTAAAACTTTATTTCACAGATTCAAAGAATATCTGGAACCAAATAAACCATATAACTTCAGTAAACAATATTTCACCGTAATGATGGGTCGTTTCATCTTCATCGTCGTTTTTCAATATTTCATTTTCGTCGTACGATATATCATAAGGCGACTTGTTCCTAAAATATCCAGCTCGTTGCAGGCAAAGATAGCACGAAAAATACACGTTGCGAGATTGTGCTTTCGCAAAGTGCAGTTCAAGCCATGCAAGAGACAATCAAACAGGAATCTGAGCGATGGGGAAACTCGAAGTCGACATTTACAGAGCACTCTGATGGTCAATTGATACGCAGAACCAATTCCAGCAAATTTAAACGCTCGTGTTACGTTTGAGTTTTAACAAAATAGTAAAGTTAAAAAATTCTTTGAAACATTTTTATTATTTTGTCATGTTAGCCGGACTATGTTATTTCTACAAACAAACATAAGATTTCGCCATGGGAAATATTTATATCTTATGTAAGAATGCTTTATTTGAGTCCGACATCACTCAGCTGGTTTTTTATTATATACTTTTCTGCGACGAAAATTCGCAGCTAAATTGCACTTTGCAGGCGAAAGCGATCGTTTGCCTTTGTTCGTAGCATAAATGACAAATGCATACAAAGTTTCGCATATGTTTTAACGAAGTTGCAATTTCTTTTTATAGAATATAGTTTCTCAGTACCAGTCTCCCTGAGACGATGGAATCAGTTTGTTTTAATTTCGATGTTTAATACTGTATTTCTCAAAACTTATTTAACAATGAAACAAATTTGTTGTCAAATGAACTTTAAACCTGTAAAAACCTTATAATAGGTCAAACGAAATGTCAAGCATTTTATAAAGACGTTATTAACACATGGAGGATAAGTCTCTATTTCAGAAAATCAATTAAATACAATCTTTGATTGATTGCAAAACAAATACAGTCACAAAAACTGTCACACAAAGACTACGGTCATATTTAATTGACAACTGCATATCGTTTCACGACTTTGATTGATTACATAATCTACGTGGTTTGCCATAGGTTGGCGTACACAAAATCTGCGTTTGATCATCATACATGAACATACAGATACTCTATGGTGTTTATGGTTGAATAAAGCGTAAAAAAATAAACAATCTTAACGATTGATACAATAAATCTTGAGCACTATGAAAACAGCTACTCGCGGCCTCTTATTATTCACTTTGTCTTGTCACATTGACGAGAAAAAGGTGATTACACTGTGTGTGTTCTCCATGTTGAGATTAATCAGATAAAAAACATTTTAACTCCCGAGACAAACGAAAACGCGATAAAATTTTCTCAAAAACAAGTTTAGTTACATGGAGTATGCGAGACAGCTGCGGCGAGGTTCAAAATAATCACGAAACTCGGTTTTATAGCATCACAACCAAATATGAACTCTACAACCTGTTTAAGTGTGGCGTTAATACTGTTCTTTCAAACAGGTATGTTAAAAATTCCAGGTTTTTAATCGAGTGTAAAGGGATTTTCAATGTATAGATGTCAACTTTACAAGACGCGCGACCGTTCGGAATCTCAGTTTTTATTTCATTTAAACACACAAAAGCTCGAGAATTTAATTTAGAATTTCGTAAAGTTTTGTGTTAAAAAAAAGGTTAAAGCTAATTCATCGTTGTTGAAATTTAAACGGCTTTATACAATAATTTGTCTCTAAATTTTCCCGACAACGAGTGTGGTGGGAAAATATAGTTCACAAAAATTAGTAAAGTTTGGTTGAATATACAAATGTTTGGTAAACAACATTACATACCGAGAATATAGTTGACATGTGCTTCCGACAATCTCATCCAAAATGGCTGGGAATTTATCAAGGAGATTTAATCGAAGTCTGGAATGCTGGAGGAAGATCTAAAACAAAACACGTTGACAATTCAAAACATTCTACACAAATACTTAAATTACGCAAATCACAACACCATATTACATAATTTTAACCAAGCAATTTTGCAATACACAATTTAAGGACTGGTTAGCATTGAAAAAAGATTGTGCTTAGGATACGCTGTAAAATAATCCATAAAAGTTTACAAGAATGAGCCTTCAAATGAGATTAATTCATTTTCAAATACACTACTTATCAATACTTTATTAAACACAAATAGTGAAATTATATGTGCATCGTAAAACATTAAGATAAACTAAACTTTCTTCGTATTTTTTTGATTCGGCGCAATTCATTTTGTCGACCGACAAGACATTGGAAACTGAGCCATCTCCTGCCACCCTCCATTACCTCCTCCAGGGCAATAATATTTTCAAAACTATGATCTTTATTAATTCGTACAATGAATGACAGACTTATTAATGAAATGACCGATAGTTATAAACACGAGGACGCGGCTCGTATTTATGTTATTATCTTTCCTCGCCGTTAAATAACTATGAAAGATGAAAAAAAGTCATTCTTTCATAAAAAAACAACATTACTTAAAAGAAATGCAACAAAAACATTTCACACAGCATAAAAACACATTTGAGTATAGAAAAAAGTATAAAACCATCTTTTGCTCGTATTCTATAGGTTATGTTTACAATGAACACAGCTATTTGCATCGTTACAATTCGCTATATCCACTCTGTGGATATTGGCCGTTTATGGTTCAGTTTAATCCATATACACACATCTGTTGCAAAGGATATGTTCGTCCAGTGCTTGGACTTTGGTTCCTTAACAAATGCTGCGGAACATTGAATTACAACAGACGAAAATACTGGTGTTGCGCGGGAAAATTACGTCGAAATATCTTGGGTCGAGTCACCGCTAGACCAGGTTGCTGTGGGCGCAGAAGTTATAACCCGACAACGCAACGCTGTTGCAATGGAATGGTAACAAGTAGCAATCTTCCTTATTACATTCCTTACTCTTGTTGTGAGCGAAAATCCTTTAATCCTTTCACAAAAACTTGCTGTGGAGGTAAAGTTCAGCCTTTAACAGGAAGTTTTCAACACACTCAATGTTGTGGTACTAATGTTTACAACGAAATGTATGAGAAATGCTGCGCGGGCAAGTGGCAAGACGGAGTCGTCATCAAATTGTGGAAAAACTGCACATACGATAACAACGCGCTCGGTTTTTTATAAAACTTTGTAGCAGCAAAACGAATATGGATATATATATCTAGTTTTACTATTCATTGAAAAAAAAGATTTCATAAAAATGAACAGAACAAAAGCAAAGCCATTAATCAAGAGAACATAACAATAAATTCGAGTAAAAATATGTATCGATGTAACAAAATTTTTGTCCACAAAGATTGAGTTTTTTGACCGGACAGCTTACTGTTTCTGGACCGTTCTGGACTTTAAAGCAAAAACACTGAAAACAAGTTTAAAGTACAGGGTGTTTATGAGTTTAAAGTGAAGACCTTTTACGGGAAAAATTCAAATTTTCCTTGAAACATTCATTATTTCCCGCTAACATTAAATCATTGCTTTACATCAATTGTTGTTTAGTTAAGCGCCATAGTCTGTATAAGAGATTTTAAATCCGACTAAGAACAAAAAAATGTATAAAATGACACACAGTCAGAGATGGTCTTGTTTTGCCAAGTGTAATTCTTTTTAAACTCGAAGTAACTCCAAAAATATTCCGAGATTCCTTAAAAAATTCCGAATTTCCAACTTTCATTTCCAGGCTTCCTCAGAGGGACGAGTCACTGCCACTGCACTCTATATATACATGGATCTTGATCTTTTACATCAAAAATTCGATCATTATCTTTTAGCCGCACCATTCTATTTCTACTAGTAGAGTCTTTAAGCTAAATGGTTTTGGTAGCGATTTTTTTTGATAAAAATACCAAAATACTTCAACTCCTTTAATAAATCGCGATGTTGGAAACGCTGTCTGTTGTCTTTGGAGCGTTGTGTGGTCGTATTCTTGACTTGCAACCATTCTCTTGAGATTTACCAAACAATGTTGCGCGCTAACGTCGCTGGTGCCAACAATAACACTGATAAAATATTCTTTTGTATCAGACGACCAACATGGCTGAATTGCAACTCAAGAATATGAGCAGTGACGCCGGCAAGATATTTTTGAGGGGGTTAGCAAACCTAGAGAAATGGCTTTTACACTGACTTATATATTTTAACTGTACAAATGAAGATAAAGTCTTGAAAATCTTAGAGAAGTGAAGGGGGTGATTTACTCGTCTAGCCGAAGCATTCTGACACAGAAACGTGAAAGGAGCTTGCAATTGAGCGATGATTCTGATATGTTTATACCAAAATTTATTATTATATAGTGATAAAAACTAAACGATCGAATTTCGCACGTTTTCAGCGAGATTCAACGACTCGCACGATTGATAAGGCGTGCAATTCAAAGATATTTCTTGGGTTGCCTGTACCTCGCTCTTTTGTAAGCACAAGCGAGCCACGTGATTTTCTCGTTTGATTTTCACCAGTAAGGATTTGGGAATGTCCGGCACAAGCCAGGCGAGAAGGTCTTTGACCAAAAATACAACATATTGGAACATCAAAACAAAAACTACACGAGCAAGAGTGACGTGAAAGAATTGTTTACTGTATCTGTACGATGGCGAAGCTTCCAGATAATCTTTGAATCTGAAATATTGTATATTTTTTAGTTCTGAGAAAAGTAAATAAAAATTGTTTATTTCCAAATTCCTGGGGAGGGGGACAATTAAATAATAATGTCTAACATCGATCTCGTACATTAACCCAGGGCCTTTTCTTTACAAATGTGGAAAAGGCCCTGGGTACGAGATTGATCAAACAGGCTATATATATCTGAAAGACGAAGTAGTAAAAAAATCAAGTACGTAAACTTTAGAAAAATTTTGCCTAGTTAGTTAAAACCTTCAGGATAATAGGTCAATAAAAACGCAACAGACTTAAGACAATACACTTTTCAAGTTCTGCAGAACTTTGCCCATAAAATATTGTTTCCGTAAGGAGTAACTACTTACCTGCAATATGGTTTTGTATAGTTGAGATGTTTAAATCGATTTAAAGGCATGGCACTAGGTTCTAGATCCGTTATATTTATGTACGAAAGAGAGTTATTGACATAACCTTTTAGCGTACCATCTTCACTGTAACCAAAGATATATACCAATCTAAATAAACAGAGAAGACATGGTTGTCAAAGAAAGCCTCCACCGCTCTCACAAACAAAAAGAGTTCCCTAATCTCCCTCAACGACAGCAAGAGCCCACAACCTCACCCTCACGGGACCTCTCACAGAGACAAAGAGCACTCACCCCCATAGAACCCTCACCTCACCCCACCTACAGAACGAGCCACCCCTTCCCGCTCAACTAATATTAAAAATATTGACAAGAGTGTTGAAAAGCGTTCCATTGACACACTCAAACAAAAGCATAAGTTAAAACAAAACTTACAATATATACTGAAGCAAGAAGAAATAGATTATTTTTCGGAAGTAAATCCACAAAGCTGTCAAATTTTTTCAATTGTAAACACATTGAGAATGTGTACAAGCAAATAAAGTTCTCGACACCAAAAGGAAGACAATTATGTCAATGTACAATTGAAATAAAAAATTCATAACCCTCCCTCCCCCCCTCCCCACACACACACCTACCTTGGTACGAAGTCCGTAGTGAATGCAATAACGAAGGAGTTCACAAGGACAGAAATTTTAGTCAAGATTTCCAGAATTCTAAACCATATTCCAATATTCTTAACTTCCCCGGCAACTGGACGACGAAAATTGACAGCAAAATTGGTCGCATCAGCTCGTAGTTCGAAAATGTTGTTGATTAAGGCAAAGAGAGGAGCCAATGGAAACGAGGCGACAAACATTGTCACAAAACCAAACTGTATCACTGAGAGAGATAACACAGAATTTCTATTTCAACATGTTTGTAAAATTCAAGTCAAAAGCTCTCATTAATGATAAAACCATTGAATTAAAATCCATGGAAGTCTAATAATTTCTTAAAGCCAAATTTACACCCAGATACGCGTGTGTAATCAATCAATTTTCACTCCACGAGAGAATCTCGAAACACTACACATGCGTGTCTGGGTGTAAGACTTGGCTTCAATTATTTGCTTTAGGTAGCGTTCCTTGTATTTTAGTTAAATGGGGATACCTACCCATCTCAAGATATTCGTAAAACATTCTGAAATCTGGTTCAGGATTTAATAAATAATCGGATTCCCATTGTGGCAACTTCCTGTTCTCATCGCTCGGTTTATACCACCATTTATTCCACGAGCGAACCGCTGACCTAGAATAAACACGAGCCTTCATACATGGGAATTTCAAAACGCTCAAACTCGAGTGACATCTTTATAAACAACAAATCGTTAAAAAAGGTAACGGTATAGTACGGTACAATACGGGATACTTACGGATAAAAAAACTCAAGTACAAAACTAAAAATTTGCTTTCCTATCATGATTACAGCCAGTTGTATACACAGATCAGTGAGACAACCGGATGGATCGCAACCTTCGACTCTTCTATCGTTCATACGATGATATTTTGTTGGATTTCCTATAAGCAAGCTACTTTTGAAGAATGCGATGTAGAAGAGCGAGGAGTATGTGTTGACAAACTCAAAGACGTACATTTTAAACGTCAGCAAGTTTTGATATTCTGATTTCGTCCGTGGGTTTTCCCAATCCGTGAGCATAACGGCTAATTTCACGTAGACGAAACTTAAAATTTTAATAAACACAAGATTTATGATTGCTGCAGAAAATGACGTCATCAATTTGGCATTTTGTCTTACGTCATTATTTGAATTTGCATATAATACGGCAAGCACGGATGCCCTGTAAGCGACAATTCCAGCGATGGATGCAACGACGACACATCCCATAAAGAAAATCACTCCCAGGCTTCCCATGATTCTTTTTATCCTCGTCATACTAGGAACATAAGGCTCCAGTTTATCTGTCACAGGATTCTTTCGTTTTGTCCGTACGGAGAAAATGAACTGAGGACGCGGGAGTTCGTACTCATCAATAAAATTATGTACTCCCCATTCGTATCCAAGACGCACTTGCACTCGTTTCCAGTACTCCAGGAAGAGAGTAGCCCATACTGACATAAAAACCGAAAAGAAGACTGTAGCCTCGTTGTCGAATAAATGACTGACCTGAGCAAAATAGCAACTCGTTCTTAGACTCCAAAAACTACAATGACGGTCACATTGTGGACACATATAAAACAGTTGTTCGTTTTTCTCGTCACAAATTTCATTTGCTGGTTCAAACGACTGCAGGCTCACAATACCGTAGAGAAAACATAATAAACCAACAATGGCTGCCGGGACAAGCATTGAAATATAAACACCAAGCCATGCGTAATAGAACCCTATCATACCACCAAAATATCGACGCACGATGTTGATTGGCTGATAGGTAAACATTCTTCGAAAGGAAGACCAATCAGAGCGCAGTTTTTGCCTGTCATTAGCCACGCCATCTTTCTGCTTAGACGGTCCATCATGCAATGGGTATGTAGCGGTGTACGTGCCATCATCACACAAACTCATAATGCCATAATCTTGTTCCTCAGGACCGAATGACGTCATCTGGAGCATGCGATACACCATGCGACTACGGTCAGCGTTATCAAAGAACAACTGTCCATTTTTTAGATTGAAACGAACGACAATTAGCGTAAGTAAATGTGGCTGTCACTGATTTTTCTGCAGGTTCAATATTTATCCGTCGATTCACAAACGGATCTATATTTCGCCAACGAGAGCGAAATCTACGGTAAATGTTCAGCTTTTTCGACTCTTTTAGCATGAACGACGAATGATCGAAGTTTTTGACGGGCATTCTTATCATAAGTTGCTCTGCCACTTCGAACAAAATACTTAATGGTGCGTGAACTTTCACAAAGTGTACATTTTTATCCTAAAAAAGCACAAAAAATGATCAAAAACTACTCTAGTGATTCTGAATGAAATTATTTGCATAAATTTTTGACTTTCTTGCAAAGCCTCCTTCATACACAATGACATAAAAAGTCGAAAATTTACACTGAAATTGTACTTTATCTCTTACTGTCATTTAAATATAGAATTTCAAAAAAGAATGTTGTAAAGAAGTTAATGGCTTTAACCCGGGAGTATCGTTACATGTTTGTGGATGTAGATCGTCCAGGTTAGTAGAGTCCCAGGAGAGACTGATGTTGAAACGTCAGTCAACATCACAGTACAGAAACAAATAGTAATCCCATTCTAGAAATTTTTCGTGTAGCGAATATATCTTATCACGCATTTGATTAGCATAGTGACAGCGGGCAGTCAGTAATCGCATTTTCTGACCAATAGGAGCGCTGAGGTGGCTAGCCGCAGCCGTACAGCACCAAGTTGTACAAAGGAGTGAGACTACTGCATGTTTCTATATTGTGTCAACATCAACAACAACAAACCTTCTTAGGACTTCACTAACCAGGAGCTACATCCACAAACATGTAAAGAATTTTATAATTGTTTTAGACACGCCGGGAAGTCGTGTTTAAAACAAACTATTGCAAATTTAATGCCGGTTGCCATTAAAACTTTAATTTAAACCTATTTCCTGCCAACGCAAACGGAAAGAATTTCAAACGTAACTAATCGATAGAAATTTCCAGGAAAAATAAAAAGCTGTAGACAACAGTTGACAGTAACGTTTAATAATATATTCAAATAGTTCAAAGTTTAACAAATTATCGCAGTATGGGTTTGATAGATAGAAATCACGTCAATAATACCAAAAATAAGATAAATTCCTCAAGTAAGTCTTGGTTTCAACTTACAGAAGTATTGTAAGTGTACACTCATTTCAAATATGTAAAAATAATTTATATCGATAAAAATAATTCATCAAAATAGATTATGAATATCAAAACAAACCTGCAAAGAGGTATCTTTTTCGAGTTCCAATCCAAACTGTTCCACGAGATTTTCTTCGTAGATTCTTCGTTTATGAGCTTTTTTCTGCTGTTCGCTCCCTTTGTTTTCGTACACCAAAACAAAATCAATTTTTTTCTTTCCATCGCGAAAGTACAACGTTTCACAATATCGATTATTTTCCTGTTGGTTACTGTGCTCAAGCAGGCGAATGTTTTCACGATTTGAGCTTTGATGACTGCTTGTGTTTTCAAACTCAAATTTACTACCCAAGTTAGACATATTTCCACCTGGTGTAAAAATGTCGTTGGAATTCATATCGAAGCACTTGTTGCTATAATCAGTTCACTTCTGCCAGGTGTAAATATGTAACCTCGACGACGCCCGCAATTCACCTGCAAGAGTACATCAATAATTAGTTGTGGTATGTGTGGTATAAGGGGGTGGGGGTAGGAAATGCGGTATCTCGCGCCTTGCGATATGTTTGACAGATTTTGCGATTAGTAGTTGAGTCTAAATTGAACTATTTTTCTCCAACGAAAATTGCATGCAGTTTTCGAATTTCGTCAAAACGAATTTTGGATTTCATTTTTCAAATGCGGTTTTTTAATTTAAGTGGAAAACAAATGGTTGAACAGTACACGCAATATATTGCCCCCCCAATCATCGAGCTGTTTGGTTGCATGTTTAGGCTTATTTAAAGTCGCTTCCTATCACGTTTCGTAGGCAACTATAGCGACATGACGTTTATGAAATCGACTTAAACAGCCGTCAAAGATAACCAGCGAAGAGCACACAAATTTAAAAAGATAAAATCAAATTAAATTAAATTCCAATGACTAATCTACAACACGTTAGCAAATAGCAATTTCTATGACGGTTCAATGAGTACAGTCGTCATAAATAGATTTACACAATCACAGTAAACAAATCTAGTCGAAACAGTTTTTCCGATAGTCAACATAATCTTTTTTTTAAGACGGAAAACAAATATCATGCTTTGATGATTTTGAATATTGATTGTTGAACAAACCATTCTCAAAAAATTCTTAATATTACAATCCGACAAAAACAACAAAAAATTACGATAAAAAGAAGATAAAATTTAAACGTAAACCAACCTCGTCTTTTCATTCTTCATTGTCTCCAAAATTTGCTTACTCTCAGAGCAAAGGCTCAGGCTGTCTTATAAACTGTGATTACAAAGTCTAGGTTAGTCGATGAATCGGGCAATCGTTGACAAATTGTTGAAATGTGATCTGTATAATTCTATTGTATCATTCGAGTACAGAGCAGCGGGAGTCACTGGAGTGCAACTTTGATTTCCTTCGTAACAAAGAAAGCTTGCAATAAAGAAACATGGTTTCAGAGTTCAGACTTTAAGCTAACAGTTATTATTCACAGAAAGCGTTTCTCTGAAACATTGAAGTTCAAAGATTTTACTCGTTAATTTGTGGGCAACAATTGTAAATATTTAATGCAATAACATGGTTACCTCGCGAACTTTTGTTGTCACAGTGACGTTGACTGACGTATTTCCCTCAATCACAGGATGGGAGAGATTTAGTTCTAAATAACCCTCATCAATAAATTCATTAGGGGATGTTTGGATCAAATATCCATTATCAATATTAAACGATACGCTTTGTTTCCAAATTTCATTATCGTTGCTTGAAAAAATTGCGTCAGCTAACTCAATTTGCACCTTGAATCATTTTCAACTCTGATGAATGAAAAGGTCAATAACATATGGTGTCGTCGGCAAGTCAATTGAGTCCACACTGCTTTGAGGCGAAGTTAAGCAAGTCAAAAGGCCTCTTGTTCGACTGTTTCATCGTCAAACTCGAGACACCAGTAAATCTTTCGCCATTTCGTTAAATCGTTCAAACTCTTACAATTCTCCGGTCATTTCTGCTCCACATTTTATGACGTTGTGTGGTAAAAGAAATCGTCTTTACCTCATGTCGGCAACTTCCTGTTCACTAACTTGCAAAACGCAGTGATCAGCCATCAGCAAACCACAACAATAATTGAACTACCATACGTATTCGCGAAGTAAATTCATGCACAGGTTCACTGAACCAAGTCAAAAAAAGAACTCACAACTCAATAGCTTGATGAATTTCTTTAGTCTATCTCGGACCATGAACGATATACGCTTTGAACACCATCGAAATTTGTCAATTTTCATATCCGAGTACACAAAATTTTATAAAAGTATTGTCAAACGGAAGAGACTAATGCATTGATTAATCGCTCCGCAAGCATGTTTTTACAAGTAAAGGCATGTTTTCAGGGATATTCGTGATTAAATATTCCCTTAAGCCTCGAGAGGTTTAGTAGAGCTTCCTCGGGTCGCATCCTTAAATTTCTACTAAACCTCCCTCTTTTTTGCGGGACATTTAATCACTATTATCCCCTGAAAGCATGCGTTTACTTATAATAATTTGTGTTGAGTTTTCAAGGACATAAAAAAATGACAAAGTCAAAAATCTCCATTGGAGAATTTTTGTAGTGTGTGGTAATACCATAGAAACTAAAGAACAGCTTGCGCAGGGCAGAGGCGAAACTTGCACATTTGTGTGTGTGTTGTGGAGAGGGGGTAAGGTTGGGGGTGAAAATGTCCTTCAAGAATACGAAAGACCACGCAGTTATGTGACAGCACTTTTTAACAGGTTTAATAGATATATAGCAGACGTCAAATAATGGCTTAGAAGAAGTCCTGAAGCTTGTTATTGACATCCCTATGTAGGATAGCGTGGAGAGGCCGAAATCTCCAACCGAAACGTTAACATGCAACGCTCTAATGTCTTTCGACTAATAGGATATCGGGAGGCATGGACCGAAAACGGGATTTTTTGTTTAGAAAATTTGCCTTTTTTTTATAAATTAACTCTTCATTACCTCGCTCAGTCACAAATTTTCAGATATATTCTCTGCGCATGCGCAGTCTGCTCCCAAGTTCAGGGTCATGGCAACGACCAACTGCATCTACTAGCACCAATTTTGAAGTAAATAGCATGCTTAGTAGCAATTTAATAGAGAAATCATCTGCGCATGAGCTAGGGCATGCGCAGTCCACTCGACCAATTGTTCATAGTCATGGCAACGACTAACTACATGTACTTGCACTACATGTGTGGCAATTAGCTCACTTAGTCGCAACTTATCAAATATATATATATAAAGCTAATATTAGGGATAGTAGATGTCAACTAGCAGTGGAAGCTGGGTGCGATTAGGTATGCAGTGGCTTAGGGGCCCACACTTCGGTGGCGACCGCACTCTCCCTGCGTACCCTGAGCAAAGCCTATCGCAGGTGATCTCGGGGTCTGATGGGCGGAAGCTTGCTATTGCACCTCCCAAGTAGGATAGCGTGGAGGGGCCGAAATCTCCTACCAAAACGTTAACATGCGGCGTTCTAGTGCCTTACATATAAGAAGGTATCGGGAAGCATGGACCGAAAACGGGTTTTTGCTTTCAAATCTTATCTTTTTTTTTTACAAGAGTTCTTATCATAAAAGTAACTAGAACATCCAAGGATACTGCAAAGGTTAAAACAACTCCTTCCTTTTGACTACACATAGCTAAATAAGCGAACTTTAAACATGTTTGATAGGTTAATATCTTTCACAATTCAAACCTCCCGTTTACTGTTTCATGTATGATAAGAAAAACTGCAAACCATCCATGATCCATGGACTTCAAGGCAAAGAAGAATTATCTGCTTCCTTTGTATGATAACAGTAAGTCATTTGTATGGTTAATGTCATGAAATTTTAAATCATTTGCATCTCCATGCATGTCACAGTAAAAATCACCGTCTAGGAATTTTGCTACGTTGTAAATTCAGAGAAAGTTCACACAACAGCTCGAAATAAAAACTGGAAGAGGTCTGCGTTCATCATTTGATATATAAGTAGTGTCTTTATTTCATAGAAAAACCAAATATTTTAACCAGACGGTCTTTCTTCGTTTTCCTTCAATAACTGGGCATACTGCTTAAGAATACTTCACAATAACTGGAGGCAGTGTGCCCCCTAGGACGGAAAGTTGTTGAGTCGATGCCTGTTGGTGTCCCCCCTGAACGCTGACGTCACGCTCTATCTCTATGGTTACAAGCAGTAACGTTTCGTTTGTCACGTGGTTTGGTCAACCAAACTTTTCTCACAACACTAATTACTTTATTCACATATAATGATGCAAAGAACATTTCAAAGCTGTTGGAAAGTTTGAACATTAATGACGATAACGTTCGGTTTCACGCGATTCGCGAAATGAATTTTCGTTCACGACCTTATTTAATTTTTCTAAAAATTGCACAAAAATTAGCTTTTCATCATTTTCATATTCCATGAATAACTGCAGAAATTTTGTCGTTTTAGATCTCATTGTATCCATAATCATCCAATGTTTCCCCTTCATGCTCTAATATATCCGAGTCTAACATTATGTCTCCTAGGCCACTGACCTGTGATGTTGCGGGCTCATCAATAGGAAGATTAACTGGTTGGATAGATATTGCTTGGGTTTTTTGATTTTCAGTTGTTTTTGAGCAAACCTTCCTACTGTGTTTAACTTTTTTTGTTTTGAGAAGTTTTTCACGCGGTTTATCTTTTGTATATTGTTTCATTTCTTTGTCATAACGAGCTTTGTCCCGTTCATACATCTTGTAATATACCTTGAAAGAGGAAAAGAAACATTTCTGATTGTCTGAGCAACTGAAGGGCCAAAGCAATTTCCCCCCCCTGACCATTTCCTAAAATGTAACACACACATATATAAAACATCCAGACAAAATCTTGTGTGAGCAAACCATATCTCTTTAAAAATTTGTTTTTTTTTGTTGAAAATAGAGAGGTATTTATATAGCATGAACAAACTAGAACGTTTGCTATGAAATTGGATTCCTTGTCCATACAAAACAAAAATTTATGAACTAACCTTCTTTCCTTCAGCCCCCAACATATTCCATTCCTTAGCAAGATGCTTTGTCAATTCATGATGAGCAACATCCTTAGGTTCATCATGCATTGAGTTGCGTTGCTGTTGACAAAACATAAAGAAAGCATTTGCTGGTTTCTTCGGAGCATCTGGATCCAATTTTTGGTGAGGTTTTCCTTTGCCCTTTCTTGACAAAGTCTTCTTTATGTGAATGTTTGGATCATCATATGATGCATTAATGTCATTTATCATTTGTAACTGTGAAAAAAATGTTTTGGAATCATCAATGGCAGCCGGCTACAAGTAATAGGAAGTATTTACCAAGAGATAAACTCTTTAGTTTTCAAATGATATGTTTTTCATTACACAATAATCAGATATGATCGAGTGCTCTTTAAATAAAAATTGCAATTTGAAATTGCACTTATAAAACACTAGGAATTTAATAAAATTATTGAAGTCTCACTGCCATTTCAAACATATGCAAGTGCAACAGCAGATTTTCTCCATGTTGTACCATACATTAAACAATGTTCAATGATTGAATCCAATTCCCCAAGATAAAAAATGCAATTTCCATTGGCAATTTAGGTAATAACTTGCATCTACTGTTTTGCATGAATTTACTTGAATGATTTAGGAATAAAGTTATTGAAATAACAAAGCAAAGTTTCCTCATCAACAATAGCCACACTTTGTCCTATTTCTGTCAAAATTTGGTGGGAAGAGGAAAGAAAAAGGATTGCTTCCTCTACCTCAAATATGTCCATGACTTAAAGGTCAAATATTCAACTAATATTCTTTAACAAAGAATCTCCCTTCAATGTCGATTTTTTGTATTTTTTTCAACAAAAGAATTCTGAAATCCTACCAAGTATTCGGGCTTTGCCTTCTCATAATCAATGCCCAATTCATCGCATTTCTTTAAAAGAAAACTGTAGAAAAAAACAAGGGCTGGTTTGAGTAATGCAATCGAGTAAAATGAAACAGTTCAGCGGCGGGAATGAAAATGCAAACCTTCTTTCTTTTCTAGTTCTTTTCAAGTGCCTCCGTACACAGCATAGTCGGTTTTTCAGCTTCTCGTTTTCCTGTTGAAGTTATTTAGAAAACTTTAGCTTATTTTTAACTTGTTTACAACGAAAAAACATTACTAATCATAAGCAGTCTTTCTCAGAATTAATTTCTTACCAATTCTACAGTTTTCACACGAGTTTGAAGCGCTTCAAATTTTCTTTTCCAAAGACTTTCGCCATTTTGCTCCGCCATCATGGCGGGCGATATGAAATTGAACACAACTTTACGCACAGTTCCAATATGAAGCAATAATTACAGTGTTGAGACGACACTGTTAATTTTAGCTTCTCAAAGATGTTTTATCGGCAATAACAGCAAAAAATAGTGAACACGCTTGATTCAAACTCAACAAACTTGTGTCCTGCTTTGCTCGTATTGTTTTAAAATATGATATTCAGCTAGCGTTACAAAAACTCGATTGTTATTGGATAAATTGAGCAGTTTTGTCATAATCATTATGTTATCACTAGAAAACATCGGTCAACATCATATTTCTAGGGTATCATGTGTACTGTATTTGGCGACTTAAATGGACCACAGAAATTGTTGTAAACACAACAATTGATTGAAATGATGTCTAAAGCAGTATTTTACCAATTATTAGCATCAAACGCAAGAAAACGAGCCTTCCTACTATATAGTAGAGTACCTTACAGATGCCTAAACACCGACTATATTACCTCTGAAGGTGGTATTTCCATGAGAGATTATACACCAGAGAAAGTTAGGAATTTTTCAATTGTTGCGCATATCGATCATGGCAAAAGTACATTAGCAGACAGACTGCTCGAGACAACTGGAACCATTGCGAAGACACCAAAAAACAAACAAGTCTTGGATAAACTTCAGGTGGAAAGAAACCGCGGTATCACTGTAAAAGCACAAACTGCTTCCCTGTTTTATGAATATCAATGTAATAAGTATCTTCTTAATCTCGTTGATACTCCAGGTCATGTTGATTTCAGTTATGAAGTCTCGCGATCTCTTACGGCTTGTCAAGGCGTCATACTCCTTGTTGATGCAACCAAAGGTGTTCAAGCGCAAACTATCGCTAACTACGACAAGGCATTTGATGCAAACTTAACAATAATTCCTGTTATAAATAAGATAGATGTTGCATCTTCTAGAGCTAAAGACGTTTCACAACAAATTGAAAGTGTATTTGGAATAAAAAAGGATGAGATAATCCACATTTCTGCAAAAGAAGGTTGGGGGATTGATAGTTTGCTTGGGACAATCATAGAAAGGCTCCCTTGTCCATTGGATAAGTCTGAGCTACCTCTGAGTTGCCAAGTGATAGACTTATGGTTTGATAATTACCGTGGTATAATATTGTTAGTAGCTGTCACTCAAGGAAAGATAAAAAAAGGCGACAGTGTTATGATATCAACAAAAAAATATGAAGTCCTTGATGTAGGAATCTTGCATCCTGATGAGACAACAACTGGAGTGTTATGTGTTGGACATATTGGTTATATAGTGACAGGAATGAAGGCTTTTAATGAAGTGAAGATTGGTGAAATGCTGACTCAAGTTGGTCATACCATGCCAACAATGAACAATTTTGTCCTACGAAATCAATGGTTTATGCAGGTTTCTACCCTATGAACCAATCAGATTTTCTCAATCTACGTAACGCTGTTGAAAAACTAACATTGAATGATGCTAGTGTTAGTGTTTCTTATGATAGCAGTGTTGCTTTAGGTCAAGGTCTAAGACTTGGATTCCTAGGTGTGCTTCATATGGAAGTGTTTGGTGAAAGATTACAACATGAATACGAAATGCCAGTTGTGGTAACCTCTCCCAGTGTTCCTTACAAAGCAATACTAAAAGGACAGAAACCCAAGGAAATTTATATTGTGAATGCAGCCGAATTTCCAGACATCTCTAAGGTGGAAATGTTTTTAGAACCGATGGTACTAGGAACAATAATTTTACCCGAGATTTACTTAGGAAAAGTACTTAGTCTTTGTCAGAAATGCAGAGGGAAGCAAGAGGATATGGTTTACATTGATCAATCGCGTCTTATGCTAAAGTATACTTTCTCATTGAGTGAAATAATTTTAGATTTCTATGACCAATTGAAGAGTTGCACTTCAGGTTATGCCAGTTTTGACTACAATGATGCAGGCTATGAACCCACAAGATTGGTGAAGTTGGAGATTTTATAAATGGCGATGTTGTTGATGAGCTGAGTACAGTGGTACATGTGGATAAATCAGTACAGTTAGGGAAATCCATGTGCGAGGCTACAACAACTGTTATCTAGGCAATTGTTCGAGGTGGCTATCCAAGCTAAAGTTGGTGGAAAGATTATTGCACGTCAGAGTCTCAAAGCTCTTAGAAAGGATGTAACTGCAAAATTGTACGGTGGGGATATGACAAGAAGACGCAAGCTTCTTGATCAACAAAACATGGTAAAAGAAGATGAGAAAACTTGGGAAGATTGATGTTCCTCAAGAGGTCTTTCAGTCTTTATTTAGGAAATAACTGATGTAAAACTATAGCAATTACCAAATGAACTATGAAAAATGGTGCAATCTAAAAAATTTACATCTAGACCGTGATTTTCTGTTACTTTTTACTATCTCGTTTTCAGTTTTCACTTATCATCTCGCGTGAATTCTGACTGCGTGGAATTCCACGCAGACAAATCTCGCATGAATCAAAGCATCGAGAAGTCGACGACAACAATTTATTTATTTTTATTACGCTAAAATTTCTCGATAAGTAATTCCTTTGAAACATGACAACTTCTGCCATAATGATTTTAAGTCGCTTGCGAAGTTCAAGACCGCCAAATTTGCCGACAGCTCAACAAGTCGTGTCTGTTTCTGGAGCATTTCAATCCTTCCCAAGACAAATGTCACTGGGTTTAATGAAAATTTTCGCCATTTCCGCACCAACTATCTACGTTGGCGCTGAGCTTGGAAGGATATCTGCAACTTTTCTTGAAGACTGGAATATATTTGTTCCCGAAGACGATGAAGATTGAATTTTGTACGTAATGAAGTATTTTTGATACCGAATTTAAATTTAAATCAAAACCGTTTGTTTAAAATCAGACCTACAATGAATGTCCACTTGGCCAAAGTTGTTGAAAATACACACTTCTTATCATAAATAATACTTGCAGGATGTTTTTGTTGAAGGGTGGGGGATGTTTTTGTTGGAGGGTGGATAGTCCGACACTATGATTGAGGATAGGAAGAAGTCTGCACCATAGAACACAAATCATTAGATTTTGATTATATGCTTGGTATTTAAAAATTTCACAAGAAATTGGCATCCCTCACCCCTTACAACACACCCATCTCCCCTCAGAACATGCCCATTTCCCCCCACCCTTCACAACATGCCCATCTCCCCCACCCCTCAGAACATGCCCATCCCCCACCCCTCAGAACATGCCCATCTCCCCACCCCTCAGAACATGCCCATCTCCCCCACCTCTCAGAACACGCCCATCTCCCCCACCCTCACAACACGCCCATCTCCCCCCACCCATCAATTCATTCCTGTTTTTCATTTATTGAATCACAAACTCATGTTCATTTACAGGAAGGATGAACCGTTTCTATTGAAAAGCCACAATTAATGGACTAACAATTTGTACAACAGTTTTGTGGAACTAACAAGTTAATAATGCACGCATGAATTTTCTGAATATTTTTAGATAATGATAATGATAAAATTGTAACTAGCTAGTATTTTTAATGTCTACTATACCATAGAGTAATGTTTTATCAAGTCAATGGTATGACATGTACAGTTTGAGCACAAAAGCATTGATCTACATTTGGCAAAATAAATTACAACACCCCCACTGATTCATGACTAAAGATTTGAAACTTGTCCTCAGATCCCTAAATACACTCAACTTAAGGGATCAATAGCCCCCTCCCCCCCAGTAAAAAATGCTCCACAGTCCCCGAAACAAGGCTTACTTGATCAAGTACTAAGTACTAAATCACATTGTTCAGTAAATGATCATGAAGTAAATGATGATGATGCCAAACATCACAATTTAACATTTCGTATTTAATGCAAAAGAATTGTTCTATTAATCTACCTGAATCATAAAATATGCAGCTCCTTTGCTAAGCAGAAACATCAAATAAAGTTGACAGCTCTTTTTCAACATCTTCGGGAGTATATTTGATGTACTTGTCCACACTCTTAGTAAATTGTATTGTGATGTACCTAAATATATAAAAAGATGTACACCTGATTATACAAAGATGTACCTAAATATACAATAAGATGTCTTCAAACAATAATTTACAAGAATATTTATACAGATTAAACACATCAGAAAACATGATATGGTTATCCAGGAGATACTATCACTTAATCTTAACTCTACGACAAATTTCGTTTCGCAAAAGTTGCAAGACACCCTGCCACCTTGCATTCAGTGACGTAACCAGTGACGTGTTATGTAAATTTCACATCATTAGCATTCTTTGTTTCATTAGAAATACACTGTAAACCACCCCCTATATATACCTTAGGCCAATTTAACTTTTTAAGGCTTTTTTCATCGGCTTATAGTTGAGGGGATTTGGGGAAATACGCGGACTTTATTAAAGTCCAATGATTCGTAGATGTAACACCATCAAATGAATGAGCTAATACCCAGGTTGGGTTTTATGTGGATCGAGTTGAACGTCACGATCCTAGTGGGATTACTCAGCACGGGAAGACTTATGTATGGGGTGGGGGTGATGTTTACAAGCACAAGTTTGATTTGTTTAATCAATGGTAACAATAAAAAATATAAAATATAAGTTTTCTACTAACTTCTCTTGAAAAGATCGATAATTCTGTACGATTAATTCAATGTTTTTTTGTCGTAATTGCTCTCGAAGATTTTCATCAGGAACTGCGTAAATCTTTTGAGTTTGACATATCTCTTCAAATTCAGTGTTGAAACCCTACGAAACAATCACATTCAAGATCGTTTTAAAGATCGCAAATACCATGGTGAATGATAAAAGTAATAAGGTTCTTAAAAGAACTGTTTTAAGTAAAGAGCACTAACCCAATCATTTTAAAAGAAATGTTATGAAATTAAACGACACGATGCATTTCGGCAGACTACTCCTCAGGTGTCAACGTCTGCTAAATGAAAATTTACAATCTACTGATATTTATAATGCCAAGAAAGGGTGTACGTCATCTCCAAAGGGAGATTACGCTCAAAACAGGGATAAATTAAAAACATAATCCTTTTTTTCACAGAGGATGGGATTGGTTAACTTAATTAAAACAGCCTCCATGACGCGTAACTGAAAGAATGAACGACATTTCTTAATGATTCTAAAATTGTCGTCTGAATAAGAATCAGCAAAATCGGAGTTGTTCAAGAGATGTTTACCTATCGCGGAGTCACATGAAACTAAATTACTTTTCTTACAATCATGTTTTGGTTGTTGTCTTAAGGGGACCGTTCCGTTTATAAATATTGGTAGATTTTATTTTCATTTAGCAGACGTTGACACCTGAGCAATAGTCTGCCTAAATGCATCGTGTGGTTTAATTTAGAAGTAGTGGGTTACTGCTCTTTACTTAAAACAGTTCTTTTAAGAAGCTTATTACTTTTACCATTCACCATTGTATTTGCGATCTTTAAAACGATTTTCAGATTTGTCACCACGACAAAGTCTCTATTTTATTCAAAGAGACCACCGACATCCCCCTCTATCCTAATGTGCCATGACCGCATTACCTTGAATTTATCTTTAATCAACTGTTTCTGCCGGGGTCCAAGCTAAAAAATTCCAGAGAGTATACGGTTAAGTTGTGCATTTTATACATCAAACAACACAGAACAATCATGTATTCAAACATCCTTGAATTGAGGTAGAACATATATGAATGTTAGCCTTCCAAATTATCCATCTTTCGCTGTCGCAGGTGAACTAATACACAGAAATATAGGTTGCTAACTTCATTAAAATCTAGAAATTTAGTAAACAGCGCAGCCATCTCGATTTTCTATGTATATTTTAGCACATTATATTAAAACAACTCACTTTCGAGTCTTTACTTTGAGTAAATGGTTTATCCATTTCCAAGAGATAATTCATCACTTTCGCCCATCTTTAAACGAACATAAAAGCATTTCATTTGCACCGAAACCAGTGACGTCACCGGGTTGTTAAATCGGGGGGCGCTGCAAGGGGCGACGATTTCAAGCTTCAATGAGGATGTTTCGGGGTATGTCCCTCTTAAAAATGTTTATTTCAAATTTCTCTAAAACGCTATTTCTTACGGGCAGATTTCATATATAATCTAAAAAGCCAAAAGTTTTTAAAAAGGTAGCTTACTGCTAGACGTGTCTACAAGTGTAATCAAACAAATCTTATCGATAACTATGCTAGAATGATGCAGTTTCTTAAATTTACTTTGATATTTGCTCGTTTACAGGAAGCAACTGTTTTTACGGCTGTCTAAACTTGGATTCACTGTCGCACACTCGTCATCTCTCAACAATATTTTGAAAAATTTTAAAATGGGTCTTTGCAACACCTGGGGGGAGGGGGTATGTCCGCTCAGTTCCCTTCCTGACGATGCCAATGTCCAAAACTCCAGAAAGTAACAGTTAAACAATGGATGTGTGCTATTGATGTCAAATTTGCTGCTTTCGTCTAGAGACCGCAGTTTCGAGATTTAAACTCCAGGGGACTGTTGCACGAAGCTTGGATAGCGATATCCCTTGGATGGAAAAAATTTTCAAACTTATAAAAAAGATGTTTATATTTTTCTTACGACAAAGAAATTTTGTATGCTTCGAAACAATATTTTATTTCAGCTATCGCTCAGTTCGAATGATACATTTTTTGCTTTTTAAAAGGTTTTATAAAAGTTTTAAAAACTTGCTATCCAATGAATAACGCTATCCAGGCTTCTTGCAACCGGCCCTAGCTCTCCAAGCAGCAACGAAAATCTCACGCCGTGTAAAGGTTAAAGTTAGTTTTCGTAACATGGAGAAATGTGCCATTAAATCATCTCAGAATGCAGGAAAAGTGAACACGGAGAACTTAGATTTAAAATATTTCTCGGGGAACGTCCCAAAAATTCATAGAAGTTCAAAATTTTGACGCTCGTTCAAAACCTTACAAGTTTTCGATGCTCGTTTATACGTAAGTCGCTCCATTACATCCCAAGCAAGACTCTGCTTAAAACTTGGTGTCTATGGGTTTAGACTTTACGTAAATCAATGAAATCATTACAAAGACGAAAAATCAGCATTAAAATGCATGATATTCATATTTACCCTTTTTGATAAGTGATTTTTTGGTCTTCAATCAACTGTTCATACTGATTCTCAACATTTCTAAAGCCTCCGTCGTACATTAAAGACAAAACTCCAGTTCTATAAAAATATAAATAACTTGATGAGATATGAGCTGTAAAGCCTTTAAAACAATGTGTGCTTTTCTATAATTAAACACCTTGCATAGTTTAGCATTTTAATATTTTATGGTAGCCTATAATCTACTGCAAATATAGTTTTTGCTCAAAGACCCAACGGAAATTCATTTAAACTTGAAAACACGACACTGGAGTAATTTGAAGTGAAGTTTCAAACATCATATCACTCATGATGAAGACACAACAATAAAGTATATAAGGACTTTGATTGCCTTTCATGGAACAAACAACAAGTAGCGCAGGATATGCATTTACAAGATTTTAACATCCTTACATTGATGACAGATGAGATATATATAATAAATACTGTTTACTAACACAATACATAATTAAAATATTTTCTTTTCAATAATGGTAGTTGAAAAGAGCAATGATCATTGCTGGCTTCCGACATTTTTTGTGGACTTCATGTGGATTTTAATACACAATCAATTAATAATAAATGAAATTTCCTAGGTTACTAAAACAGCAAAAACCTTAAAAAGTTCATATGTGAATTAGTTGAAGACGCGTGAGTAAATAAATCGTAGTTAGAAAAGAAACATTAAAACATTTGAAAAGTCAAGACTTGAGGTAAAACAATGACATGTAAAGCATCTTTATAATTATGAACATAATATAAGAAGGGATGTAAACCATAATTTTACAGCAATAACATATCTTGGAAATTCCATCAACAGTGATGACTCGTGTTCACAACATCAAATCGACGCTATGAATATTTGGGTGGCAATTTGACAGTTTAGAAAAGCTGAATGTAGACCTTTTGTATTCATAATAAACAATACGTATTTTAGATATAATATTTAATAATAAAATATAGCGCAAGAACACTTCTATTCGCTTCATCGATTCGACGGTATCTGTGGCAACATGACTAAGAAACGCGAGGGTCATAACATCGTCACAAACGCTCAATATTAGTACCCTACGAATGCAATCTCAACACATATAAACTAACACATGTATATAGTTGTAAATTGAGGTTTAAAACACAACATACAGACAAACAATATAAGGAATATATAAGGAACAAAGTTTTCCACATCAAATTACTCATAATTGACATAAAATATATGTATGAACTCTGATGTAAAAAAATTGCCCTCGTATGATAAAATAATAATGGTTCTGCAGGATATACATGTACAATAAATGGTTCTGCAGGATATACATGTACAATAAATGGTTCTGCAGGATATACATGTACAAGATTTTTACACTCTCACACAAATAAAGTCTCGAGAAATACAATACATAACTGAGATATTTCGCAATCACCGCTATTGTATAATTTACAAAAAAAAGAATGCTTCCAATATTTTGCTGTGTGTTTCATGTGGATTTAATTATACAATTAATAAATAAGAACTAAAATTGCTTAGGTTACAAAATAACTCAGCAAAAATCATAAATAGTGCGCGCATCATGTGAAAATTGTAGTTGAAGACGGATACATTACAAGAAACATTTAAACGTGTGTCAAGTCTAGACTTGAGGAAGTTCAACAACAGGTAAAGCATCTTTATAATTATTGAAATAACAAAAGAACGATGTGAAAAAACAGTTTTAAACATTGATTTGTCAACAGCAATAACATAATTTGGAAATTCCATCAATGGCGATCAGTCGATCGTCACAAACACTCACAACCAAACGAATGCTATGAGCATGTATAATTTATCCAAAGTTTCTAATAAATTGATAAAGAAGCTATGGTGAATTGAGGATTAAAACACGACATACAGAGAAACAAACAGACGTGAACACAAATTAACTAAACCATTTTGCATTTAAAATAGAAAATATAATCTGAAGTTGTAACCTAGACCAAGGAGAGAACCTAACAAAAGAACGCTCTACACTTAAGGATGGATCCAATAGGACAAGCAAATGATATATCCATTCAAGATATTCAGCATTACCTGGAAATTTGTCACAATGCAACACTGAAAAGTTATTCAAAAGATGGTTTCATTGATGGAAGAGAAATACTCGAAAGAGAAGCAACACATATTGAAGACGTCCTTTCGACCTGTACCACTGGGAATGAACAAGTTTCACAAATATTGATGACAAGCGATTTATTTCAATCGTCATGCAGATTCTTTTTCAATACGGCCATCAATGGCATCATTTCTGAAGAGATACTGATCAACTTTGTACTAACTTGCTCCGAGTTAGCAAAAGAGCACGGGAAAATAAGACAAAAGATTGATTTTGATTGCATTCTGGTTGATCATGAAGGTAGAAAATCGTCATGGCTGTCCGATGGCTATTTCGAAAAAATGGAGAAAGTCATCGATGATTACAATAGAAGTGAATTTCCAGATGACGAACCATTACTGAAAGCACATTTCAAATACCAGTTGGGTCGATACTATCTCAACAAATCAAAACACGAAAAAGAGCAACCCAACAAACAGCGAGAATATTTTGAAAAAGCTGTTAATAATGTCGAAGAATCTTGCAAATTAAGGAAACAAAACATGGAAAGAGAGAACTCGTCCCCTTTGACAAAAGTTGACGTAATTTTGTCTCTTCTCATGCTTGGTTGTTTAAGAAAATATCGGAGCAAACAACGTCACCAAGTAGAAAGTTTCAATGAACTGATTGCTATGGCGAAAGATTGCTATGAAGAAGCTTTAGCTTTAGTGAAAGAGTTCCTTGGAAAACATCCCCTTAAAGAAGATTGTCATAAAGTCTTGGGTGATTTGCTGTTAAAAATGAAAGAAAACAAGGCTGCAAGGAAAAATTATGAAATTGCTTTGAATGTTTTTGAAGAGTTAGGGCTAACTCCAAACAAAAGTAAGGTATACTTGCTCAAAAACTATGCCACATCTTTGATGAAGTTGCAGGAATATGAAAGAGGGGAAGAAATGATCCAGAAAGCGTCCGAAATTAATGCAGAATATGAATTAGGTTTGGAAGACATGATCGAGACAACTCGACAACAATATAACTAGAAAAAGAACCAACGACATTAAATCTCAACATACTTCAATAAATTAAAATGATTTCGTATCATTTTGTTCATAAAAGAAAAACTACAATCATAAATATACCAATATAGTGGTCATGAAGTGCACAAATCTTATCGTCTTATGTTAAAAAGTATAAATAATAGTTAAAAACTATTCACATATACATCACGTGATTTTAAAAATCAATAATAATTCAATATTCGCGCAGTTGTGGAAATATCGTACCTCAAAAAAAAGTCAAATACATTTATTACTCGTTAAGTCAATATACAATTAATAAAGATATTTTTTTGAATGATTTTGTTTATCTCTTGTAAAATGTATAATTAACATTCCACGAGTTAATATTATTTTATTAAAGTTGGGCAGCCTTATTAGAATTTCAGTATCAGCCGACGGAGTTTTAAGGCAAGTTTCTACTTTTATCGTTGTTTCCATACGATACAAATATTTCATGTTGAATTAAAGTTACGTAAAGTAACGTTTCCAAAAGCTTTTCATCGCCAGGTTAGAAGATTCCTGATATGAATTGCCGGCTTTTTATAGTTTATAAGATGCGATATTGCAGCATGAATTTTGAACTTAATCCTTCGCTATATAGCCACAAGTACCTCTACTTGTCAGTTAAATCGAATATTTGAAACCTTACGATGTTCTAGTGTTGATAATATGAATCCTGACGCGCTTTTATCCCAACATGAAAAACATGTGACTTGGACGAAATTAGAACTCGCACCAAGCCCACAAAGATTTGAGACGAGTCAAATCTCTTTAGAACTGCGTATGGACGAGAGATTCTCGCCACTATTGCAGTTTTCTGTATGGCACCGTGTTTCAACTTTATTCCATCGTCATCGTCAGCAGTAGCGTAGCCAGCCCGAATTTTCATTTTATGAATTCCGACACGGTTTTATATAGTGTTAAAAATGTTAAAATTCAAATTCTCTAATCTCTAACTATTTTACGGTAGTCGGTCATTGAGAAATGTATGTTATAAAATATTAAAGACACTAACCTCTGCAATCCTTTCAAAATGTAGTTATAATTGTTTAATAAGAATATCCCAGACAGGGCAACTTGACCCAACATTGTAACGTAACTTTTCGACTTCAGTTCAAGATTTAATCCAAGAGCACCAAGAACACGACCTTCAACATTTAAACATTTAAAATACACACGTAAGCTATGATAAAGAAGAATGCATTTATAAGGAAAGAATTTTGTATACTTACCAAAGTATCGAGCAACAAGAGTTTTAGGTGATACACTGTCACCAATTCGTGGATCCATTACAGATTCTATATGAACAAAAATGTACAACTTACTTAAATGCAAAGTATCTGTTCTTTTCATTCATTTCTTTACACGTAAGCTTAAACAAAAGCCGTGATCTAGTACGTTTGTTCGTATAAATCGGGGCATTTGTTGATAAATAACAGTAAAATGTATTATCCAGGTGTAGAGCGGGGTATGTGTGGATAATTGAGTCAGAACTTGTGAATATTGGCGACGAATAAATACTTCAATAAAGAAGGCATCTTACGCTAGGTCTGGTCTCATGTTTCTCACAAGCTTTACCGTTCAGTGATTCTAAATCTATGTATTCAAGAACAATTCAATTTTGAAACTAATGTACATGAGAAACGGTCGTCATTATCCAACCATAGGGTCATTCACCGGCAAGATCATCGTTCAAAAATGTTTTAGGATAAAACTGAAATAATCAACATTAAGATAAAGGATCTTAAATATTACCTGAGTTTAAGAGCATATTTCCAACAGTGTCCGTATATCCCAACAGGTGCTCAAGAAATATCAAAGTCTATAAAATAATACAACAAAGAGTATCTTTATAAAAAACTTTCGCTCGCGAAATTAATTTACTTGACAAAGAAAATGCATTTACAGACGAAATACACGAGAGATCATGTAAAACTAGCAACATTGCTTTAAGTCTAGTCAGTCACATTACATACATTGCTTGTGAGCTCATGAACAGTGCCATCTTTAGGCATATTTGATTGCTTGTCCGGGTCATGCTAAAGAAAAGAAAACATCAAGTAACAATAAAAATGCCATGAATTTACTGGTGAGGGTGGGAAGGTGTATTTCTGTTAGTAAGGTGGGATGTGTGTGCGTACCTCTGTTAGTAAGGTGGGGTGGGAGGCACCTCTGTTAGTAAGGTGGGGTGGGAGAGCGTACCTCTGTTAGTAAGGTGGGGTGGGAGAGCGCACCTCTGTTAGTAAGGTGGGGTGGGAGAGCGCACCTCTGTTAGTAAGGTGGGGCTGAGTACACCTGTTAATAAAGTGAAGGTGCTCACCCCTCCTTACCAAGAGGAAGTGAAGAAGAGGTTAGGTGAATTTTCTTACAAAATATTACTATAACAGAAATGAACTAAAGTGTGACATGGCACGATGACATCCACAAAAGTCAAAAAATCTAATCCAAACTAAGGTACCCTCCCCAAACAATCATCCTGGATCCTTCTCTGAGAGAGACGTCATGGATGTAAAGAGAAATTATGGTAGCATAAAATAAATGATCCCGTCAATGTCATTAATGAAGAAGACGTTTAGTAAGATTCATTGCTGTAATTAATTACATTCAACAAAGCTTTATAAGTTGTCATAAATTTCAACATCTTTGCTACGATCACGTTCAACAAACAAACCTTGATATTTTCAGTAAAGTCATCCAAAGCTTTAGCTCCCTAAAGCAATGAACAAAAGAAAGATAGAGCGAGAGAACACATCCATTCAGGGACGAAACTAGAACGTTAAGTGAGGGGGGAGGGTGTGAATATTTACAAGATAAAGCGAGAGAACACATCCATTCAGGGACGAAACTAGAACGTTAAATGAGAGGGAGGGTGGGTGAATATTTACAAGATAGAGCGAGAGAACACATCCATTCAGGAACGAGCCTAGAGCGTTAAAGGAGTGAGGGTGGGTGGGTGAATATTTACATATTCAGTACTTCCCTGCAAATTTTCTTTTGAAATTACAATCGCTAACAAACCAAATCAGTCAAGCAGAGGTGAATATATGAATATTTCCTCCCCCCCCCCACTTAACGTTCTAGTTTCGTCCCTGCCCCCCTGCAAGATGATGTAACACATCGATAAAGTTTAAATTATCCTACCACGGACTCCAAATTAACAAAAAGATTTGGGATTGCTTGCTGAGTTGGATTACGAACTCCCTAGAACAGATGAAATTTTAAGTTTTTCTTAGGCTACACGTGAAAATGACCACATGTAACAAAAAAAAAACAAGTTAAAATATAGTAATATGTAACATATTAAATCAGAATACATGATATAACATGTTGGTATTATAAAAACTGTGACACTCTTCATCAAGAATATGGCGCAATTGTATGTTCGCAAAGTTTGGGCCACATTTAATATGCTCTAAATTTTTCCTAAGAAAAAAGGGATACCTGTAAAGTTTCCTATTTACCTGTAATGCTTGAGAGAACAAGGGCAACACAGATTTAACATACTTGAGCACGGGAAGAAGAGGCAACAGAGAGAAATATTCTCTTTTCGCAATTAATTTTCGTGCCGAATTTTCCATGACCTCAATAAGGAATGAAAAAACGTTTAAAAAACGTGAAAAAATTTCCAAACAAATTCTTCTCATAAAGCGACTTACTTCTCCCTCGAAAATCAACGTTTCAATCAAATTTTGAATGAGAACGTCAAAAATACCATCTCTATGTTCTTTACAAATGATCAAATTTATCAATGTCCGTTCACTCTAGGAATGACATATCTGCAAAATAACTTTTGCATCGAAAAATACACTTTAAAATACACTTTAAAAAATAAACTTTAAAATACACTTTAAAAAATACACTTTAAAATACACTTTAAAATACACTTTAAAATACACTTTAAAAAATACACTTTAAAATACACTTTAAAATACACTTTAAAAAATACACTTTAAAATACACTTTAAAAAATACACTTTAAAATACACTTTAAAATACACTTTAAAAAATACACTTTAAAATACACTTTAAAATAAACTTTGAAATACACTTTAAAATACACTTTAAATACACTATAAATAATACACTTTAAAAATTTTTTTAAAATACACTTTAAAATACACTTTAAAATACACTTTAAAATAAACTTTAAAATACTTTAAAATACACTAAAATAATTAAAATACACTTTAAAATACACTTTAAAATACACTTTAAAATACACTTTAAAATACACTTTAAAATACACTTTAAAATACACTTTAAAATAATTAAAAACATTTAAAATACACTTTAAAATACTTTAAAAATACACTTTAAAAATACACTTTAAAATAACTTTAAAATACACTTTAAAAATAAACTTTAAAATACACTTAAAAAATACACTTTAAAATACACTTTAAAAATAAACTTTAAAATACACTTTAAAATACACTTTAAAATACACTTTAAAATACACTTTAAAATACACTTTACAAAAATACTTTAAAAATACACTTTAAAATACACTTTAAAATATAAAAATACACTTTAAAATACACTTTAAATTTAAAATTTTTAAAATACACTTTAAAATACACTTTAAAAAATACACTTTAAAATACACTTTAAAAAATACACTTTAAAATACACTTTAAAAAAAACACTTTAAAATACACTTTAAAAAATACACTTTAAAATACACTTTAAAAAATACACTTTAAAATACACATTAAAAAATACACTTTAAAATACGCTTTAAAACAACTATGTGCAACAAACCTGGAGAAGTTTTAAAAGAGTGATGAATCGACCAGCTTCTATCTCACTAAATAAATAAAGAAATTTGTTTCTACGTATGAATCTTTAAAAGATAACAGTGTTGGAGTTAAAACACAAAAGCAACGAGTTCGAGGAAAGAATCAAAGTTAAAGGTTTCGGAAGATTATTGAGATAAATTCTGCCTGGTTTAGCTAATTGCTTTAACTTGAATACTCAGCCATTTTAACGATAATGTCACAGATTAAGAATATACAGAAGAGTCACTCATGTCGGAGCCTTTGATGTTGTTGTCCTCGCGCATGTCGTGCCGCGCATGGTGGCCGCCATTATTCCAGCCAGATGATTAAGGTTTTTGACTTTTTCGAAACCTTTAAAATGATCCGAAGTCATTTCTTGAGTCAAAATATACTTGAATTCATTATTAAGTAATGACGCAATGTAATTTTAATGGTTGGAAACAAGTGAGAAATCTTAATCATCTGGCTGGAATAATGGCCGACACGAGGACACGTTGTACACCTGAGTGACCTTCTGCATAATCATTATTGTGTGAAAATGCGGTCTATAACACGTTGCGGAAGACCACTGAACTAAAATACCTGGAACGCTACCTGTAATACAAAACCCTAATGATTTTTTGAAGACGTGATTTTACCCCAGACACGCGTGTGTAGTCAATTATTACTCCGCGAGAGAATCTCGAAACACCAAACACGCGTGACTGGTGTAAAATCTCGCGTGTCTGGGTTTAAGATTTGGCTTCAATTATTTGCTTCAGGTAGCGTTCCAAGTATTTTAGTTCAATGGGGAAGAGCCACTAAGCCTGTCGGTTGAAGAGCATTTTTATCCAGTTGGATTTACGAAATCATCTTCTTACGACGAACAATTACGAGCAATTACGACGAACGCCGAACGACAAAAAGTTTACAAACACAGAACAAAAAATACACAATAAAATACATTACTCTTCATCCTCTTTGGATGTTGACGAATCGAACATTGCAGCAGGTGAGTTGACTTTCCGATTTCCTGTGTATTCAAACGCTTTCGATGGTACACGACGCACAAGATTTCTTTTCATAGTTGATTTTCTTTGAGGAGTGATGCCACTCAACTGTTTCAACTTCGGACTGATCATCTGCAAATGTAAATAAGTTTGTACATTGTGAGATTATCATCGAAGACGTTAACCTTGACACTTCAGGGAAATCCTGTTGAAAATTTTAGCCCCCTACAATAAAACCATCTCTTCGTATCCAGAAAAGACTATCTCTCTAATGGGTGAAATATCGGTAAAAAATCTCGCTTCCTCTAGTAAAACAAATCTTGACAACACCCCCCACCCCCAGGGTGAAACATCAACATTTCCGATGAAAAAATTTTTCTAACTTTTCAGATAAAAAGATTATAGATTTTAGATAGACTGACTTTTATGTACTTACAATGTTGGCAGGTGAATAACTTTCTATCTTTCCTAGCGAATGTCCCTCGACTAATCTGAGGAAAATCGAAAACAAAAAAATTTGAATATTTTATGAAAAGAGCCCATTATTCAGCATTTAATATAGACGACGAATTTTTTGAGAATAGACATATTTCGACATCTCATAATGTCTACTGAAGATGACATCAAGAAATGTCGAAACATGTCTATTCTCAAAAAAATCGTCGTGTATATTAAATGCACATTAGCAACAGTTCTCTTACGAAATTATGAAAACCCAATATTTCTTAATGCAGTCAAACGTTCACTAATATAAAATATTTTATAAAAACAAGCTTTCGGTGATAAAATATTTTTTTTATAACCCGTCGAAGGCTGTAGACAGACAGCCGAAAGCTTGTTTTACAAAAAAATTGTATATTAGTGAACGTTTGACTGCGTTATGTATAATACTGATAACGGATCACGCATTTTTCCCATTGTTTCTTGTAACAAGTACATCACAAACCCTTGTAAGGTCTTCATTAAGACACTTGATCGAATTTGACTGTACACATTCATAAAATCTGAAAGAACAAAAAATTCTTTTATAAAATAACATATGCCAAACGCGTGCTCTGATTGGTCGATGTCCGACTTTGGATCAGACCATCAAAACACGAAAATTGAAATCGCTATCAGCGCAGTCGTGAAATTTTTGAACATACCATTGAACTGAAATACATGGGACGCTACCCAATAATTTTTTGAAACCAAATTTTACACCCAGCGAAAGCAACATGTAATAAAAATAAAAGTTCAAAAATTTGTATGGCTTGCATTTTTGTGCTTTATGCAGCTGGAATCCATCCTGGATATTCTTAAGTCACGCCGTAAAGGCCCGTAACAATGCTCACAAAAAAGTCATTAACGCGACAACATGCCAGTATTCAAGCTTTCCTTCGATCGTTATGCTTTTTCAAACCCAAAATGATTAATATTTACTGTTATGCCTTCTGCCTTTATAAATAATCGTTCTGAATAACTACAATCGGATTAAAAAATGCTCCAAAACTCAAAAGCATCTCCTAACCATTTTATTGCCATTATTCTACATAAACAATACTATGTCCGACCATTTGATTGTCCGAATTTTGTAATTTGATTTCGTATTTTTGCCACGTGTGTCTACCGTCGGAAAGGTGGATTCATTTTCTTCAGGTAGCATTCCATGGAGCATACTCGCCTTAGGCTCGTGTTTCGCTCGCTTTTCTAAACTCTAGCTAAATTCGCGTTACAATCAAACCCATAATGAAAGTGAAACATATTTTCAAGGAAATACCTTTAGATTGGGCTTCTGTGACCAGCCAAGCCGCTATTTTACTCAAATCTTCTATAGCTTCGTCTAAACGTGGAAAAGAAAATAACAGTTGGGAGACTAGAGATCATTAGAAAAGTGGCGAAAGATCATTTACGAGAAGACATTTTCGCTTATCGTTTTCAAATATTGATTTCAAAATTTTTTTGTTTTTTTATTACCATTTATAGGTTTAAATTGAGGCGTGGATTCTTCTGTTTCTGGAAAGAAATATAAAAAATGTGAATTGAGATATAATGACTTAAATCTGACGCATAATAACGTGTGACTTTAACGTAAGATGGCGAGACTAAGGCCTGTTTCAAACGTCACATTTTACATACGGCCATGAACCGAATGCATTAAAGAGAAAAGAAAATGAGATAAAATTCCTTATTAGCTTTTATTTCAAATGCATTCGGCTCATGTAAAACGCGACGTTTGAAACAGGCCTAACTGTTTAACTAAGTTTTAAACAGGATAACGAAATTTTTCACATAGATTGACTTAAGGCATTCCTATGTTAAGACAAATGAAAACCTGGATTACGGGCGCGATAACTTGTTGGGAAAATGATATTTGAAATCACCGCCTTTATATAATCTACAACGCCTCCGAAAAAATTGCTAAAACTTTCTATAGTTTGACCTCCCCCCCCAAGAACTATTGACAACCTTCGTTAGAATTCAATAAATCAATCAATGTTTCAGCTTCGAGAGGACTACTGTTTAGCGCCAGGAACTGTCTAAATGAACGTTCCATTTGTTCACGTCCTGTTTCCATTAATGATGTCTGAAATGAAAATTAACTTTTTAATTAAGCAAGATTGACTTGAAAAAATATGTAATGATCTCACAAGGAGGGATAACTCTGGACTGTTGGGCATGTTGTTTTTAAAAAATACTTAATGAACTCACAAGGAGGGATAACTCAGGACTGTTGGGTATGTTGTTGTGAAAAAATACTTTATGATCTCACAAGGAGGGATAACTCAGGACTATTGGGTATGTTGTTTTCAAAAAATACTTAATGATCTCACAAGGAGGGATAACTCAGGACAATTGGGTATGTTGTTTTTAAAAAATACTTAATGAACTCACAAGGAGGGATAACTCAGGACTGTTGGGTATGTTGTTTTAAAAAATACTTAATGATCTCACAAGGAGGGATAACTCAGGACTGTTGGGTATGTTGTTTTCAAAAATACTTAATGATCTCACAAGGAGGGATAACTCAGGACTGTTGGGTATGTTGTTTTCAAAAATACTTAATGATCTCACAAGAAGGGATAACTCAGGACTATTGGGTATGTTGTTTTAAAAATACTTAATGATCTCACAAGGAGGGATAACTCAGGACTATTGGGTATGTTGTTTTCAAAAAATACTTAATGATCTCACAAGGAGGGATAACTCAGGACTATTGGGTATGTTGTTTTAAAAATACTTAATGATCTCACAAGGAGGGATGACTCAGGACTATTGGGTGTGTTGTTTTCAAAAAAATCCTTAATGAACTCACAAGGAGGGATAACTCAGGACTATTGGGTATGTTGTTTTAAAAATACTTAATGATCTCACAAGGAGGGATAACTCAGGACTATTGGGTATGTTGTTTTCAAAAAATACTTAATGATCTCACAAGGAGGGATAACTCAGGACTGTTGGGTATGTTGTTTTCAAAAAATACTTAATGATCTCACAAGGAGGGATAACTCAGGACTATTGGGTATGTTGTTTTCAAAAATACTTAATGATCTCACAAGGAGGGATAACTCAGGACTATTGGGTATGTTGTTTTCAAAAATACTTAATGATCTCACAAGAAGGGATAACTCAGGACTATTGGGTATGTTGTTTTCAAAAATACTTAATGATCTCACAAGGAGGGATAACTCAGGACTGTTGGGTATGTTGTTTTCAAAAATACTTAATGATCTCACAAGGAGGGATAACTCAGGACTATTGGGTATGTTGTTTTCAAAAAATACTTAATGAACTCACAAGGAGGGATAACTCAGGACTGTTGGGTATGTTGTTTTCAAAAAATACTTAATGAACTCACAAGGAAGGATAACTCAGGACTGTTGGGTATGTTGTTTTCAAAAAATACTTAATGAACTCACAAGGAGGGATAACTCAGGACTATTGAGTATGTTGTTTTTAAAAAATACTTAATGATCTCACAAGGAGGGATAACTCAGGACTATTGGGTATGTTGTTTTCAAAAATACTTAATGAACTCACAAGGAGGGATAACTCAGGACTATTGGGTATGTTGTTTTCAAAAATACTTAATGATCTCACAAGGAGGGATAACTCAGGACTATTGGGTATGTTGTTTTCAAAAATACTTAATGATCTCACAAGGAGGGATAACTCAGGACTATTGGGTATGTTGTTTTCAAAAATACTTAATGATCTCACAAGGAGGGATAACTCAGGACTGTTGGGTATGTTGTTTTCAAAAATACTTAATGATCTCACAAGGAGGGATAACTCAGGACTGTTGGGTATGTTGTTTTCAAAAATACTTAATGATCTCACAAGGAGGGATAACTCAGGACTATTGGGTATGTTGTTTTCAAAAATACTTAATGATCTCACAAGGAGGGATAACTCAGGACTGTTGGGTATGTTGTTTTCAAAAATACTTAATGATCTCACAAGGAGGGATAACTCAGGACTATTGGGTATGTTGTTTTCAAAAATACTTAATGATCTCACAAGGAGGGATAACTCAGGACTGTTGGGTATGTTGTTTTCAAAAATACTTAATGATCTCACAAGGAGGGATAACTCAGGACTATTGGGTATGTTGTTTTCAAAAATACTTAATGATCTCACAAGGAGGGATAACTCAGGACTGTTGGGTATGTTGTTTTCAAAAATACTTAATGATCTCACAAGGAGGGATAACTCAGGACTATTGGGTATGTTGTTTTCAAAGAATACTTAATGAACTCACAAGGAGGGATAACTCAGGATTGTTGGGTATGTTGTTTTCAAAAAATACTTAATGATCTCACAAGGAGGGATAACTCAGGACTATTGGGTTTGTTGTTTTCAAAAAATACTTAATGAACTCACAAGGAGGGATAACTCAGGACTGTTGGGATTATTGTCTTCAAAAAATTTAATGGCATCTTGAACTTTTATCAAGCTTTGTATGTAACTATCGACATCAGCACCAGGTCTGAAAAAATAATGGAAATTTATGAATATAATGAAGGGATAGAGACAGATGATGAGGGATGATGAGGGATGATTAGGGATGAAGACGTGAAGATTTAGGAGTTAGAAAAAACAATTTCTGTTTCAACTTCACATTGGAAAGAACTTGGACAAGAGTAAAAAAATAAGCTGACAAACATATGAAATCATGGAAGGAGAGGTAGATAAACCATCTTCCATACTTTCCTTTTAGTCAAGGGGGAGAGAACCATCTTACAACCTTTTCTTTTAGTCAGGGGGATACAACCCATCATCCAAACACTTACCCATCTCTGATGTCCTGGTCTTCTTTCGAAGCAACATTGTGATAACTGATAACATTATCCAACCCTCGTAAAACTTTGTCAATATCTGGGGAGTGGTCAAGGAACTACAACATATGTGTATCAGTTATAGCATTAATGAAACATTGCAATGTTTGCTCAGGTTGGAAAACTTGTATCAAAGTCCCTGTATAGCTGCAAGGATATCAATTTATTAGCTGCCAGTGACTTAAAACCAGAATTTATGCTGCAACACAGAGCCGATTGTACCATTTCGATTTTGCAAGAAAATATTAGTTCAATATCATGGTGGGATGCTGCAGTTTACCCTGAGATGATATAAGTAAAAGCAAAGTAATTTAGAGGGGCAACATATAGTTTAAAATGGTCGTGTGGCTGCGAGAGAGAGCAAGTTTTCCAACCTCATTGTTTGTCTTCTTCAAAAGACTTAAACAGAATTGCACCTTAAGAAAATAAACTTGAGTATGATTGAAATTGAGTGTAAAAGGATACTTCTTTGTCGACGTTGTAGTTCAACAGTTTCTTTATGCACAGGTAAAATGTTTTCTTCTAGCTTGCTTAAGCGTTCGTTAAATGATGACAAAATACCACGCTGAAAATAATATAACCTTGCTATTTTAATGAATGAAATCTTCAATTTGAAAGTTCATGTTATTATTCCAAAATTCGACTAAACTTGTCCTTACCATATTTTCCGTCAAATCGTCGCTTTTCGTCAAACTGTCTTTCAAAAATGATAAATTTGCTTGCTCCTAAAAATAAAAACCATTTCTATTCAACAGAAGAGAACTGTTATTTTGGTTGTCAAACTTGAACGTCTTGTCTTGACAGCAAGTTTACCTTTGAAAGTTTTTCAGCTAAAACTTTTTTCCTTTGAGAAACATGCTCTGGTCGGCTTTCTTGAATCATTTTTAATGGCAGTAAGCAAGTAAACTTTCCGAAACGTCTCAAATTTTGTCTTAAACAGTGATTAAACAAGGAAATGAACTAAAAATTTCACGAATGAAACTCCATTTTTGAGTTGAGGTTAAGTCAACTCTCAACCTTTCCAAATAATCAAATAATTATTCGGGTGTTGCGGGCTAGGATGAAGGAACCAATGGGGTGAAGGCATTGAGTTGTACGATACTCAAGAGCAAACCCAATGGGCTATCGACCTAAGGTAGACCGAATTTAAATTTGTGTTGATTTTGTGAATGGTCATGTCTGTAATTAGCAAAAAAACATCAGTGAGCTGAGCAAAGTTTTGCTGATGTTAATAAATATGAATTGTAAATCTAAATACTCTGCCTGATAATTAAAAGCAATGTAATAATGTTCCGTCGCTTTTTCTTTCTAAAGGCCCGTTCACACGATCCGATTTGTTGGATTTGATTTTGTCGGATCAAAAAAAAAAACGCATCGTGTGAACCATTTTCTTTCATCAAGATCAGAAGAAGACGACTAGTCCCGGACATCTCACTCTCAAAACTTTCAAAATTTCATTTGGCGCAAAGCATTAGATGTGAAAACTGAAAAAGACTTAGAAACAAGAACAAAAATACGCAAAATACACATCGATAAATGCACTGGATAACATAAATGTCTGCTCCACGACAATAAATACCCAAACAGTGCTCCACTTTATCAAACGAGTATTAAGATTTATGAGCAACAAAACGGTGAAATAAAAGTCATGTGCCTAAAATTTCCGAGCATGTGATTGGATATACGATATTTTTCAATAATGATTGAAATTAAAGAAAACAAAATTAAAACATTACCATTAAAATTAAGAAAGCAAAAAACATCCTTGTTTGATTTCATTTATTAATGGCTTTGCAATTTGCCGAGACACTATCCGTAAGCGAATTCAATATTAATGTCATGAAAATGATAAAAAACAGCAGGACATTGGATTTCTTCAGTAATTTTCATCGTCAAAACATGACTTTCAAAACATGAAGAATAGGGAGCTCTAGCAAAGCCTACGAGTAGGACTACGAGTACGATTTACGTCATTTTGGCGCGAAAACATTGTTGCGACAACAAAAACACGTAGCCGTCATCAATCTGAGTACGATGTTTTGTAAAAAATTCGTAGTCGCGACTACGATGTTTTTTTAAGCCAAGAATGTAGATATATTTTTTCATTGTGTAAGAAATTAGTTTACAGTACTATTTTCGAGCGTCCAGGCTTTACTTTAGAACATTTTTGAGCGCATATGTAATTTAAAAGGAAAATATGACCTGCAAAACTTTCATGCATTTCGCACGCAAAGTGAACAGTAAACAAACAATAAAATAGCATAAAAATATCGTACATAAAATTTAAAATAGTGAAGATTTTTTACTCTAAAGAATCCTATGTTCTTGCAAAATAAGTATTACCGATTAGTTGATATCATTATTGACAAATGGAGCCGTAGCTGCTTCTCAAACGTCGGTGTTTTTCACAATAAAGACTCGTTCCGTTGTTTATAACTAAAACAAAATTTTGACGAAGCGAAAACGACAACAAACTACCTCGTGCCATTCCCTTACACGGTCAAACTTCGTACTCGTTGTCGTAGTCTAGTCGTACTCTTGCTAAAGCTCTCTAATATTCCCATCAAGCAACTTAGCAAGTTTATTACGCTTCCACACGACAGAAAAAAGAAATAAAAAACATGAATTGTGTCCATCACTTCACCGACTAAGTTCACTATAATCTAAAATGCAATGATGGTATAATAAAAAGATTACTTTGGTTGGTTCGTTTGTACGACTTTTATTATGCACTCGTTGACAAGGACTAAAAACAAGCGAGCGAGCTACGCTCACTGACAGTCTATTTGTTCATTCATGATACTTATTCAGTTCATTTTTCGCTCTTCTAAGTTTTCTTCGTTTGCTGTTCAACTTGTACCCAATCTTTATACTGTTCAGGTAGCTTAAAACTTGGTTCGAGTGGGAGATCCTTAAAAATATCGATCACATCATTGAGATTTTCATTCTTATATTTTTTTATCAAACCTCTGATCTGGTCAATGAGTTTCTGGGTGGTCAGGATCCACGTTGTAGGTACAGGTAGATTGAGATTCTGTGCTTTTTCTTTGTTTACTGGTTTACCAAACTTTTTTCTTATTCGATCGCACGTCTGGCGAGGGGATGTGGTGTCAACGCTAGCGATTGGCAACACAAGTAACGTTGAGGCACATGCATTTTTTCCCGATTCTTTAATCACCGACTCAATTTCCTTCATTAATTGCTCCATTCGATTGTTAGAATTCTGTTTCGTACTCTGTTGAGTAAAACCAACATTAACTAACTTCAGGTCAACACTCTCTGGAAAAGGAAAATTGTTCACCACTATGGCATAAACAACGGAAGGAGTGTTCTCTCGGCCAATGCGATCCGACAAACCACTGTTGCGAGCATAACAATTTAGATATCGGACTAAGTCATTTCCGTTAGTCCCATCCCAAAACCATTTTGCAAAATCATTCGTCAGTAATTCAGAATATTTAGATTCACTCTCGGCCATCGCTTTTACTTAAACCAAATTGTTAGTAGTGACCTAAGAATAACGTTGTCACAATGATAAAATTTTCACAGGTCCTCTCTCATTTACATTTAATATTGTAAGTTTGCCAATTATGATTGGTTAAGAAAAATCATACGACAGGTACTGAGGTCGACCAACAACTGAGTTAAAAATAGGATTGATTTTGTAAACGACTCATGTCGCAAGTTTGCAATAAACAAACATGAACGACAAGAATTCCCAAAAGATTATCAAGCTGTAGTTAACATTCAAACCTTTTACATACAAACGCAATTTTGAAGTGGGCTAACTTCGTTCAGGTTATTGTACACGAATTTTAAGTCCTTCTTACTCTGTGATGTTTCTGATAGCTAAACAAGCATTGTAATGATGTGCGATCATTTTTCTGTTTCAAATCATCGGTCTTAAGCATTATGAAATGCAATTGTGAGGGATATTTTTCTACTAACGATAAACGATAGTAAATATTCAATCTTCAATTGACTTTTCAAACTTCATCATTCTCAATGATATTTTCATGCTAGTTATTGTTTCTGGAAGTAAATTCGACAAACGCTTTCATAACGCCACACTTAAAATATTAAATAACATAAATACATATTAAAAAATGTCATCCAAACATGCTGAACTTTTTGTCGACCAAAGATCATGTACAGTGAACGCCTTGTTTCTTACATAAAAATATAGCTTTTATTTTTCTATTTAAATTGTGTAAAGCATCGACAGTTAGAAAAATTGAAAATATAAAACTTAGTACAAAAGTTACATCGATTTAAATAACTGCTGCTATTTGAAAAGAATGGACTAAAACACTTCATAAAAATCACTAGCAATTAGATAAACCTACATCAGTAACTCTTTCTAACACATTGAGAAAAGAAATATGGCAAAAATGATTAAAACTATAAGCTAAAGAAGTGGCGGATTAAATCAAGTTGAAATTGATGTGTAGTGCTATTGTAGATGAATTTGATTGATTGCCGAATTTATCAAACATTTCTTGATCTCCAAGCCAATAGCTTTGGCCATGGGAGGTGGTACTGCATTACCAATCTAATAAAAAAATATAACATTGATCTAGCATATCAATATGCTTTATAACAAAGATTTAACAAGACGCTGTTGCAAAATTCTATGATATAATATAAGGCTCCTTGAATATCCAGGCTACACCACGTATTTTTAACAGGTTTCGCAAAATTGCCATAAAATTCATATGGTTAAGTTAGACATACTGTTTTTCAATGAAACTCTTACACATAGACACTCCGTTTCCAATAAAACTCATGCAGATAAACATACTGTTTTGCAATGAAACTCTTACAGATAGACACACCGTTTCCAATCAAACTCATGCAGATAAACATACTGTTTTCAATGAAACTCTTACAGATAGACACACCGTTTCAAATCAAACTCATGCAGATAAACATACTGTTTTGCAATGAAACTCTTACAGATAGACACACCGTTTCCAATCAAACTCATGCAGATAAACATACTGTTTTCAATGAAACTCTTACAGATAGACACACCGTTTCCAATTAAACTCATGCAGATAAACATACTGTTTTCAATGAAACTCTTACAGATAGACACACCGTTTCAAATCAAACTCATGCAGATAAACATACTGTTTTCAATTACTGTTAGCGTTTACATTTTTTCCAAACTAGTGGAGTATAAACACGACCCCAAACCGTACGACTTTCAAACCATATTCAAAATCAACGGATGATGTGTGAACTGGGTCCAAGTCACACAAAGGCATGCGCACTACAGTCTTCATACCTGTCTATGTTTATCAAGAACATCTCCTTTAAAGCAGTAAGTATCTGGAAAACCCTGGGAACGAGCGCATTCACGCACGCTCACTACTCGATGTTGGCAGGGATGAAGAACTCGTCCCTAAAGAAAATAAATCTTAAACTTTTAAAGTCAATAAAAATAGAAAATTGACAGGTTTTGGTCACCTGTTTTCCCATCGGTTCAGGATTCGTTATTGTCGTACTGAAATAGCCATCCCACTCCAGTCTTCCATAGAGACCAGCCCAGTGATTGTGTCTGTTACCAGTATGAGGTAAACACCATGGGATAAGGGTGTTAAATTGTCTATCCTGTGGATCACAGGGGGCACCCTCAACACAGCTACATACACCACGTTGTTGCCCGGATGAACTAGTGCCATTCTTTTTATCCTTATGTGTGTAACGCAATTTCTCCGTATATTTCCCATCTGCTAGGCGAACACATATGTTCGGTAAGTCACGCCAATCGGATCCAGGTGCTTGGGGAATACGCTGTATCCTAGCAACGACCAATGACGTCATCTCTTTGCACACGTGATCACGCAACACGGTGTTTTCATTATACATACGGATCTGTAAACAGAATTGTCAGCTTTTATGTTGTATTTAATGCAGTTTAAGAATAGTGTGAAGATCTGATATCAGATGTAATAAAATTATAAATGGCTATCGATAGCAAAGTTAATCCATATATGAAAGACTACTACGAAGCGGAACTACGAGGTATCAACCTGTCTCTGGAAGTGGGACTGCGCATCTCCATCATAAGATATTTCTATTGCCTTTGCACCGTTTCTGATTTCTGGTAAATCTGACAAAGCATCTCGTACCGTCACTGTACGATATGGAGCAGAATCATTTCTCGTGATATTTGATGCAAACTGCAAACATAAAAAAATCAGATTCATGTAAACATGAAAATTGAGGAAGTTATAATCTCAACGTAGTTAATGTTGTTTTATTTTATGTAAAATTGGTCATGATGGTCAATAAAATAAAAACATCGCTACACAACACATAAAAGGTAAAAATACGAGATCAAATTACAGAATTTGGACAATCAAATGGTCGGACATAGTATTTTTTATGTAGAATAGTGGTAATAAAATAGAAAGAAGATGCTCTTGGGGCATTTGTAAATCTTATTTTAGAAATACAGAACGTCTAATTATAAAGACAGAAGGTGTAAGAGTGAATAAAAACCATTTTCCGTCAAATCAAAGGAAAGCTTGGATATGACATGCAATATGCAGGTACAAAGTTATAGAGAAAAATTAAAACATCTCTAACATTGTCGCAGACTTTACAAGTGCCGTAACAAAGTGTTGATAAGTTTGATATGCATTTGTCTAACAAGCTTAAGAAGACAAAGAGCATGACAAAAATATATGATTCAAAATTTGCTAAGCGCATATACAAGCACCAATTTCAGAGCTAGCTCCGTCACAAATTAATTTAGAATCACATCTGAGCATGCGTAGTCAACTCCACCAACTTTCCAAGTTCATGGTCATGGCAACGTCCAACTGGATGACTAGTACAGATTATGGAGTAATTAGCTCGTTCAGTAACAAATTTTCAGATATACTATCTGCGCATGCGCAGTCTGCTCGAGCATGCGCAGTCGACTTGACCAGCTGCCTAGGTTCATGGTTATGGCAACGACCAACTGCATCTACCAGCACCAATTTTGAAATAAATAGCATGCTTACTAGCAAATTAATATAGAAATCATCTGCGCATGCGCTAGGGCATGCGCAGTCCACTTGACCAATTTTTCATAGTCATGGCAACGACTAACTATATGTACTTGCACTACATTTGTGGCAATTAGCTCACTTAGTCGCAAATTATCAAAGAAACAATCTGCGCATGCGCAGTAGTGACATTAATACCACAACTTTCGTAAGGCTTTGAATTTTTGTATATATATATATAAAGCCAATACTAGGTATAGTAGATGTCAACTAGCAGTGGAAGCTGGGTGCGATTAGGTATGCAGTGGTTTAGGGGCCCACACTTCGGTGGCGACCGCACTCTCCCTGCGTACCCCGAGCAAAGCCTATCGCAGGCGATCTCGGGGTCTGATCACAGATCTAATAATACACTAGATAGTGCAACGGCTTACATTCACAGATCAAATAATACACTAGATAGTGCAACGGCTTACATTTCATAAGTAGTGGTTGAAGCCGGGCAAATTTACTTCCGGAGCCCCAAAGTAGTGAGAATCAATATGGCGTTGTATTAGAAAATATCTGGTCAAAGCTGATATCTTGCAATTACTTGCAAGTCACGACGGTTACATAAACTGCTTTACTCTATTAATGAAAAAAATCAATGTGACCATAGTTTTTCAAGAAAAAGATAGCAGAATACGCCAATACATCGCCGTAAAATTGATTTCAAGTGTAGCTCGATTTGAAAGCATCAGCAGCGACGAAGGCTTAAGTATTGGAATTTGCACATCTAAATATCGTATCACAGCACAATCTGCGATAGTGTGGCTTAGTTCGTGTGGCAAATACAGCGATATCATACTCGATCTATGGATGTATTGTAATAGAACAGGCATATTACAAAAATCAGTCAGAAATTGACACATGTTACAAGCACAAATTAAATATTTTGCTCAGAATAAATAATTTAGGTTTGATATTTTCAATAACAAGAATGTGTAGAAAGTTTTATATGCATATACATGCCTGAATGGTAAAAACTGGATTATTGTACCAGAAATGCATTTTTCTGGTGTTTCTGGTCGGCAAACGAATATAGCTATGTCAAGATGTGAGTAATTAATACGTTCAGAAATTATTTACAGAAAGAATGTGAAGAGTCTACCTCGAAGAGTCTATGTCTTGCTTGTCTATGTCTTGTCTATGTCTTGCTTGTCTTGCTTGTCTATGTCATAGAGTCTGTCTTGCTTCTTCGGAATTTGTTTTATATTATGAGTCTACCTCTGTTACACCAAATTTTTTGTGAAGTATAAAATAGCAGGTCACTTGTGAAACTGTTGATACCACAGGTTGATACAATACACTCTGTCCAACACGGGGAAAATATTCACTTGTTAAAGCAAGAAGAGTCACCAGACTTGTAGTATTGACTGTGTTTTACACATATATATAAACAATGTATTGTCATAGTCTAAACCAGTGGGTTATATGGCCACTGCCCACAGTGCTTAATGTACTGTTATGGTGATGTTATGCTACTGTTTTCAACATTTTTATTGTCTTTTTTACCATTCAGGCATGTATATGCATATAAAACTTTCTACACATTCTTGTTATTGAAAATATCAAACCTAAATTATTTATTCTGAGCAAAATATTTAATTTGTGCTTGTAACATGTGTCAATTTCTGACTGATTTTTGTAATATGCCTGTTCTATTACAATACATCCATAGATCGAGTATGATATCGCTGTATTTGCCACACGAACTAAGCCACACTATCACAGATTTTTCTGTGATACGATATTTAGATGTGTAAATTCCAGTACTTAAGCCTTAGTCGCTGCTGATGCTTTCAAATCGAGCTACACTTGAAATCAATTTTACGGCGATGTATTGGCGTATTCTGCAATTTTTTTCTTAAAAACTATAGTCACAATGATTTATTTCATAAATTTCGCATTTTCATGCAAAAAAGTTGATGCAACCTCCGCGATTTGCTAATAATTGCGAGATATTAACTTGGACCACATATTTTCTAATACAACGCCATATTGATTCTCACTACTTTGGGGCTCCGGAAGTAAATTTGCCCGGCTTCAACTTTTATGTCAGTTGCACTATCTAGTGTATTATTAGATTTGTGGGTCTGATGGGCGGAAGCTTGCTATTGCATCTCCCAAGGAGGATAGCGTGGAGGGGCAGAAATCTCCTACCGAAACGTTAACATGCGGCGTTCTAGTGCCTTACGCTTAAGAAGGTATCGGGAAGCATGGACCGAAAACGGGGTTTTTTTGCTTTCGAATTTTATCTTTTTGTTTATTTTTTCTCATAAAATAAACAAAGCAATGTTTTAATTAACTTCTTCTGACACTGTGCCCTTTCCTAACACCTATAATATAAGACGACCTTCAACATGTTTTATACAATTTTTATTGGTTTATATCTTTCTGATTTAACTCTCTCATTTGCTGTTTCTCGTGCATCACGAGCAAACCATGCAAGCGCTTCATGGCAAAAAAGGATTATCTGGTTCCCTTAATTAACATGCGACGCTATAGTGCTCAAATATCTCGGTGTATCGGAAGCCATGGACCGAAAACTGGATTTTTTGCTTTCGAATTTTATCTTTTTGTTTACCTTTCGTTTAAGAGTTCTTATCATAAAAGAAACTAGAACATCCAAGGATACTGCAAAGGTTCAAACAACCTCTGTCTTCTTGAATTATAATTTAAACCAACTGTAAACATTTTTTTTACTCCTACTCCTAACCTTTTACAATAGACCTTTTCAAGGTTATCGTAGCCATATTGCAGGGGGTGCAAAAACATTGGGCCGAGCGCGCGGTCACGCATGGCGTCCATATAAATTACTAATAAATGCGCAAAAATTATCCTTATACATATTGGCCATTTCTTTCAAAAATATTTCTCGAACTCATCCATTTTAATATTCAAATTATTATTTGCGATTTTTTATACACGTGAGTCCAATTTTGTGATAATCAAAAAGCGGAAAGTTAAAAAAAACATTGTTTTCTTTGAACAACTTCACCGTCGTTTGAGCGATGTTCTTGAGTTCGCAAATGTGCGGATCTCATATGCCAAGTCAAACGAACTAAACCATAAACTAGCCGAGTAGCCGTGAGCAGTCATAGCCGAAATGGTAAAAAATGCGCGTTGTGCAGTTGGATATTGCGATAATGATAAACGCTATCCCTATTATTAAGTTAAGAGATCTCACGTAGAAAATTCAGTTTTTCATTAGTGGCCCAAAGATCAAGCACTTGCTGAAATTTGGCGAAAACAAATTGCAAACAGCAGAGCCGATGACTTTAACCCAAAGCCTGGTGCACAAGGTACTATGGTTTGCTCAAATTATTTTCCCTTGGTAAGAAGAACCCCAAATAACCGCGGAACGGATTATCCTTCGGTTTTTATTAGGCTATCAGAGTACGAGCAATCGAGGACTCCGCTTAAACGTAAAGGAGGAGAAACATGGACGACATCAAAGCGTCCTCATCAATCCTATGACACCGAGTATTCTGATTCAAGTTTTGATGGAAATCCAGCAAAATCTGAGGCATCTTTACTCCCTGTCCCTTAGGAATTTGAACAGTTGACGAGAGAGTATGATGTAAGGTTTCACACCGGCCTGCCATCGACTAACAGTTTTAAGTGTGTATTTGAATACTTGGCTGTTTCTTCTTCTGGCTGTTAAGCCGCCATACATAATAATAAAAATAGCAATGTCACTTTACAAATAATTGGAAATACTAATAAGAGTTTGCTGTAGAATAGTTCCTCGTGATATTTGCTGACTTTGCTGTAGACATGTGCGTGTGTTGCGAACTCAAGAACATCGCTCAAACGACGGTCAAGTTGTTCAAAGAAAACAAATGTTTTCTTTAACTTTCCGCTTTTTGATTACCACAAAATTGGACTCACGTGTATAAAAAATCGCAATTAATAATTTAGCTATTAAAATGGACGAGTTCGAGAAATATTTTTGAAAGAAATGGCCAATATGTATAAGGGTAATTTTTGCGCATTTATTAGTAATTTATATGGACGCCATGCGTGACCGCGCGCTCGGCCCAATGTTTTTGCACCCCCTGCAATATGGCTGCGATAACCTTGAAAAGGTCTATTGTTCTCATCATGAACGAGAGCATCCGTGGGCTTCGTGGAAAAAGGAGATTTTCTAATTTCTTATAATAGTTTCTACTAAGATAACATTTAATAAGCCTTGAATCTTGGATTGTCTAAATTGAACCTCGCTTTCAACGCTTATGTTATAAAATTTTGATACATTATTCACAGTAAATTTCTTTTTACTTAACAATATTTTCATGATTCAATCTAGAAAGTAACTTCACTTCTCGAGTAATTTTACGATTAAACAGCACACTTTTTGGATTCAAAGGTTTTCTTTTGATCGCATGGAGACAGCGGTCAAAGCTATTACGTACATGCATGTTCTGTGCATTTAGTTGTATGAAACCACCTCACCAAAGAATATCCAGATCTGATTTTAGCTGCATCGAGCGAAGAAAATTGAAGAATTTTTTTTAACTGTCACTTTTATATTTATAATTCTACGTATCATGTAAAACAGAGACACTTAAAACAGAGACAGATTAAACACGTAATCCTTTTGTCGGCAAAGGACAGGATTAGTCAATTTAATTAATACAGACTCCATGTCTGTACTTAATTATGTCTCCACTTCATGTCTCCACTTAATTAAATTGACTCATCCTGTCCTTTGCCGACAAAAGGATTACGTGTTTAATCTGTCGAGTACGATGTTTTGTAAAAAATTCGTAGTCGCGACTACGATGTCTTTTTAAGCAAAAAAAGTAGGTATATTTTTTCATTCTGTAAGAAATTAGTTTACAGTACTATTTTCGAGCATCCAGGCTTTACTTTAGAACATTTTTGAGCGCATATGTAATTTAAAAGGAAAATATGACCTGCAAAACTTTTATGTATTTCGTACGCAAAGTGAACCGTAAACCAACAATAAAATCGTATAAATATATCCTACATAAAATTTAAAATAGTAAAAATTTTTCACTCTAAAGAGTCCTATGTTCTTGCAAAATCTTTATTACCGATTAGTTGATATCATTATTGACAAATGGAGCCGAAGCTGCTTCGCAAACGTCGGTGTTTTACACAATAAAAAGGCTCGTTCTGTTGTTTATAGCTAAAACTAAATTTTGACAAAGCGACAACGACAACAAACTTTGTCGTGCCATTCCCTTACACGGTCAAATTTCGTACTCGTAGTCGTAGTCGTACTCTTGCTAAAACTCTCTAATATTCCCATCAAGCAATTTAGCAAGTTTATTAAGCAGGATATACGTGTACAATAAATGGTTCTGCAGGATATACATGTACAAGATTTTTACATTCTCATACTAATAAAGTCTCGAGAAATACAATACATAACTGAGATATTTCGCAATCACCACTATTGTATAATTTACAAAAAAATGAATGCTTCCAACATTTGGCTGTGTGTTTCACGTGGATTTAATTATACGATTGATAAATAAGAACTAAAACTGCTTAGGTTACAAAAAAACTCAGCAAAAATCATAAATAGTGCGCGCATCATGTGAAAATTGTATTTGAAGACGGATGCATTAGAAGAAACATTTAAACGTGTGACAAGTCAAGACTTGAGGAAGTTCAACAACAGGTAAAGCATCTTTATAATTATTGAAATAACATAAGAACGATGTGAAAAAACAGTTTTAAACTTTGATTTGTCAACAGCAATAACATAATTTGGAAATTCCATCAATGGCGATCAGTCGATCGTCACAAACACTCACAACCAAACGAATGCGATGAACATGTATAATTTAACCAAAGTTTCTAATAAATTGATAAAGAAGCTATTGTGAATTGAGAATTAAAACACGACATACAGACAAACAAACAGACGTGAACACAAATTAACTAAACCATTTTGCATTTAAAATAGAAAATATAATCTGAAGTTGTAACTTTGACCGAGGAGAGAACCTAACAAAAGAACGCTCGACACATAAGGATGGATCCTAAAGGACAAGCAAATTATATATCCATTCAGCACATTCAGCATTACCTGGAAATTTGTCACAATGCAACATTGACAAGTTATTCAAAAGATGGCTTCATTGGTGGAAGAGAAATACTCAAAAGAGAAGCAACACATATTGAAGACGTCCTTTCGACCTGTACCACTGGGAATGAACAAGTTTCACAAATATTGATGACAAGCGATTTATTTCAATCATCATGCAGATTCTTTTTCAATACGGCCATCAATGGCATCATTTCTGAAGAGATACTGATCAAATTTGTACTAACTTGCTCCGAGTTAGCAAAAGAGCACGGGAAAATAAGACAAAAGATTGATTTTGATTGCATTCTGGTTGATCATGAAGGTAGAAAATCATGGCTGTCCGATGGCTATTTCGAAAAAATGGAGAAAGTCATCGATGAGTACAATAGAAGTGAATTTCCAGATGACAAGCCATTACTTAAAGCACATTTCAAATACCAGTTGGGTCGATACTATTTCAAAAAATCAAAAGACGAAAATGAGCAACCCAACAGACAGCGAGAATATTTTGAAAAAGCTGCTAATAATATCGAAGAATCGCGTGACTTAAGGAAACAAAACATGGAAAGAGAGAACTCGTCCCCTTTGACGAAAGTTGACGTGATTTTGTCGCTTCTCATGCTTGGTTATTTAAGAAAATATCAGAGCACACAACGTCACCAAGTAGAACGTTTCAATGAACTGATTGCTATGGCGAAAGATTGCTATGAAGAAGCTACAGCTTTAGTGGACGAGTTTCTTGGAAAACATCCCCTTAAAGTAGATTGTCATAAAGCCTTGGGTGATTTGCTGTTACAAATGAAACAAAACGAGGCTGCAAGGAAAAATTATGAAATTGCTTTGAATGTTTTTGAAGAGTTAGAGCTAACTCCAAACAAAATAAAGGGATACTTGCTCAATAACTATGCCACATCTTTGATGAATTTGCAGAAATATGAAAGAGGGGAAGAAATGATCCAGAAATCTATAGCTTTAGTAGACGAGTTTCTTGGAAAACATCCCCTTAAAGTAGAATGTCATAAAGTCTTGGGTGATTTGCTGTTACAAATGAACCAAATTGAGGCTGCAAGGAAAAATTATGAAATTGCTTTGAATGTTTTTGAAGAGTTAGAGCTAACTCCAAACAAAGGAAACGTATACTTGCTCAAAAACTATGCCACAACTTTGATGAAGTTGCAGAAATATGAAAGAGGGGACGAAATGTTCCAGCGAGCGAAAGATTACTATAAAAAAGCTATAGCTTTAGTAGACGAGTTTCTTGGAAAACATTCCCTTAAAGTAGATTGTCACAAAGTCTTGGGTGATTTGCTGTTAGAAATGAAAGAAAGCAAGGCTGCACGGAAAAATTATGAAATTGCTTTGAATGTTTTTGAAGAGTTAGAGCTAACTCCAAACAAAGGAAAGGTATACTTGCTCAAAAACTATGCCACATCTTTGATGAAGTTGCAGAAATATGAAAGAGGGGAAGAAATGTTCCAGAGAGCGTTCGAAATTAATGCAGAATATAAATTAGGTTTGGAAGACCTGATCGAGAAAGCTCGACAATAATATAACTAGAAAAAGAACCAACGACATTAAATCGCAACATACTTTAATAAATTTAAATGATTTCGTATCATTTTGTTGATAAAAGAAGAACTGCAATCATAAACATACCAATATAGTGTTCACGAGGTGCACAAATTTTAGCGTCTTATGTTAAAAAGTATAAATAATAGTTAAAAACTATTCACATATTTATCACGTGATTTTAAAAATCAATAATAATTCAATATTCGCGCAGTTGTGGAAATATCGTACCGCAAAAAAAAATTCAAATACATTTATTACTAGTTAAGTCAATATGCAATTAATAAAGATATTTTTTTGAATGATTTTGTTTACCTCTTGTAAAATGTATAACTAATATTTCACGAGTTAATATTATTTTATTAAAGTTGAGCAGCTTATTAGAATTTCAGTATCTACTGCAAATATAGTTTTTGCTCAAAGACCCAACGGAAATTAATTCAAAATATGAAAACACGACACTGGAGTAATTTGAAGTGAAGTTTCAAACATCATATCACTCATGATGAAGACACAACAACAAAGTATATAAGGACTTTGATTGCCTTTCATGGAACAAGTAACAAGTAGCGCCGGATATGCATTTACAAGATCTTAACATCCTTACATTGATGGCAGATGAGATATTTATAATAAATACTGTTTACTAACACAATACATAATTAAAATTTTTTCTTTACAATAATGGTAGTTGAAAAGAGCAATGATCATTGCTGGCTTCCGACATTTTTTGTGGACTCCATGTGGATTTTAATAAACAATCAAGTAATAATAAATGAAATTTCCTAGGTTACTAAAACGGCAAAAACCTTAAAAAGTGCATAATATGTGAAATTAGTTGAAGACGCGGAAGTAAATAAATCGTAGTTAGAAAAGAAACATTAAAACGCTTGAAAAGTCAAGACTTGAGGTAAAACAATTACATGTAAAGCATCTTTATAATTATTGAAATAACATAAGAACGATGTGAAAAAACAGTTTTAAACTTTGATTTGTGAACAGCAATAACATAATTTCGAAATTCCATCAATGGCGATCAGTTGATCGTCACAAACACTCACAACCAAACGAATGCGATGAACATGTATAATTTATCCAAAGTTTCTAATAAATTGATAAACAAGCTATTGTGAATTGAGGATTAAAACACGACATACAGACAAACAAACAGACGTGAACACAAATTAACTAAACCATTTTGCATTTAAAATAGAAAATATAATCTGACGTTGTAACCTAGACCGAGGAGAGAACCTAACAAAAGAACGCTCTACACATAAGGATGGATCCTGAAGGGCAAAGAAATGATATATCCATTCAGGACATTCAGCATTACCTGGAAATTTGTCACAATGCAACACTGAAAAGTTATTCAAGAGATGGTTTCATTGATGGAAGAGAAATACTCAAAAGAGAAGCAAGAAATATTGAAGACGTCCTTTCGACCTGTACCACTGGGAATGAACTAGTTTCACAAATATTGATGATAAGCGATTTATTTCAATCATCATGCAGATTCTTTTTCAATACGGCCATCAATGGCATCATTTCTGAAGAGATACTGATCAACTTTGTACAAACCTGCTCCAACTTAGCAAAAGAGCACGGAATAATAAGACAAAAGATTGATTTTGATTGCATTCTGGTTGAACATGAAGGTAGAAAATCATGGCTGTCCGATGGCTATTTCAAAAAAATGGAGAAAGTCATCGATGATTACAATAGAAGTGAATTTCCAGATGACGAACCATTACTGAAAGCACATTTCAAATACCAGTTGGGTCGATACTATCTCAATAAATCAAAAGACAAAAAAGATCAACCCAACAAACAGCAACCCAACAAACAGCAACGCAACAAACAGCAACGCAACAAACAGCGAGAATATTTTGAAAAAGCTGCTAATAATATCGAAGAATCTTGCAAATTAAGGAAACAAAACATGGAAAGCGAGAACTCGTCCCCTTTGACAAAAGTTGACGTGATTTTGTCGCTTCTTCTGTTCGGAAAATACCGGAGCAAACAATGTCATCAGGAAGAAAGCTTCAATAGTGAAATGGCGAAAGATTGCTATGAAGAAGCTTTAGCTTTAGTAGACGAGTTCCTTGGAAAACATCTTCTTAAAGTAGATTGCCATAAAGCATTAGGAAATTTGCTGTTACAAATGAACCAAATCGAGTCTGCAAGGAAAGAGTATGAAATTGCTTTGAATGTTTTTGAAGAGTTAGAGCTAACTCCAAACAAAGGTAAGGTATACTTGCTCATCAATTATGCCACATCTTTGATGAAGTTGCTGGAATATGAAAGAGGGAACAAAATGTTCCAGAGAGCGTCCGAAATTAATGCAGAATATGAATTAGGTTTGGAAGACCGAATCGAGAAAGTTCGACAACAATATAACTAGAAAAAGAACCAACGACATTAAATCACAACATACTTCAATAAATTAAAATGATTTCATATCATTTTGTTCATAAAAGAAAAACTACAATCATAAATATACCAATATAGTGGTCATGAAGTGCACAAATCTTAGCGTCTTATGTTAAAAAGTATAAATAATAGTTAAAAACTATTCACATATACATCACGTGATTTTAAAAATCAATAATAATTCACTATTCGTGCAGTTGTGGAAATATCGTACCTCAAAAAGAAATTCAAATACATATATTACTCGTTAAGTCAATATGCAATTAATAAAGATATTTTTTTGAATGATTTTGTTTACCTCTTGTAAAATGTATAATTAATATTTCACGAGTTAATATTATTTTATTAAAGTTGGGTAGCTTATTAGAATTTCAATATCTACTGCAAATATAGTTTTTGCTCAAAGACCCCAACGGAAATTCATTTAAAATATGAAAACACGACACTGGAGTAATTTGAAGTGAAGTTTCAAACATCATATCACTCATGATGAAGACACAACAACAAAGTATATAAGGACTTTGATTGACTTTCATGGAACAAACAACAAGTAGCGCCGGATATGCATTTACAAGATCTTAACATCCTTACATTGATGACAGATGAGATATATATAATAAATATTGTTTACTAACACAATACATAATTAAAATTTTTTCTTTACAATAATGGTAATTGAAAAGAGAAATGATCATTGCTGGCTTCCGACATTTTTTGTGGACTCCATGTGGATTTTAATACACAATCAATTAATAATAAATGAAATTTCCTAGGTTACTAAAACGGCAAAAACCTTAAAAAGTGCATAATATGTGAAATTAGTTGAAGACGCGGAAGTAAATAAATCGTAGTTAGAAAAGAAACATTAAAACGCTTGAAAAGTCAAGACTTGAGGTAAAACAATGACATGTAAAGCATCTTTATAATTATGAACATAATATAAGAAGAATGTAAACCATAATTTTATAGCAATAACATATCTTGGAAATTCCATCAACAGTGATGACTCGTGTTCACAACATCAAATCGACGCTATGAATAGTTGGGTGGCAATTTGACAGCTTACAAAAGCTGAATGCAGAGCTTTTGTATTCACAATAAATAATACGTATTTTAGATATCATATTTAATAATAAAATAAAGCGCAAGAACACTTCTATTCGCTTCATCGATTCGACGTTTTCTGTGGCAACATGACTAAGGAACGCGAGGCTCATAACATCGTCACAAACGCTCAATATTTGTACCCTACGAATGCAATCTCAACACATATAAACTAACACATGTATATAGTTGTAAATTGAGGTTTAAAACACAACATACAGACAAACAATATAAGGAATATATAAGGAATAAAGTTTTCCATATCAAATTACTCACAATTGACATAAAATATATGTATGAACTCTGATGTAAAAAAATTGCCCTCGTATGATAAAACAATAATGGTTCTGCAGGATATATATGTACGATAAATGGTTCTGCAGGATATACATGTACAATAAATGGTTCTGCAGGATATATACGATTGATAAATAAGAACTAAAATTGCTTAGGTTGCAAAAAAACTCAGCAAAAATCATATATAGTGCGCGTATCATGTGAAAATTTTGTTTGAAGACGGATACATTAGAAGAAACATTTAAACGTGTGACAAGTCAAAACTTGAGGAAGTTCAACAACAGGTAAAGCATCTTTATAATCATTGAAATAACATAAGAACGATGTGAAAAAACAGTTTTAAACATTGATTTGTCAACAGCAATAACATAATTTTGAAATTCCATCAATGGCGATCAGTCGATCACTTGATCGTCACAAACACTCACAACCAAACGAATGCGATGAACATGTATAATTTAACCAAAGTTTCTAATAAATTGATAAACAAACAACTGTGAATTGAGGATTAAAACACGACATACAGACAAACAAACAGACGTGAACACAAATTAACTAAACCATTTTGCATTTAAAATAGAAAATATAATCTGAAGTTGTAACTTTGACCGAGGAGAGAACCTAACAAAAGAACGCTCGACACATAAGGATGGATCCTGAAGGGCAAACAAATGATAAATCCATTCAGCACATTCAGCATTACCTTGAAATTTGTCACAATGCAACACTGAAAAGTTATTCAAAAGATGGCTTCATTGGTGGAAGAGAAATACTCAAAAGAGAAGCAAGAAATATTGAAGACGTCCTTTCGACCTGTACCACTAGGAATAACCAAGTTTCAAAAATATTGATGACAAGCGATTTATTTCAATCGTCATGCAGATTCTTTTTCAATACGGCTAACGATGGCGTCATTTCTGAAGAGATACTGATCAAATTTGTACAAACTTGCTCCAAGTTAGCAGAGAAGCACGGGAAAATAAGAAAAAAGATTGATTTTGATTGCATTCTGGTTGATCATGAAGGTAGAAAATCATGGCTGTCCGATGGCTATTTCGAAAAAATGGAGAAAGTCATCGATGAGTACGATAGAAGTGAATTTCCAGATGACGAACCATTACTGAAAGCACATTTCAAATACCAGTTGGGTCGATACTATTTCAACAAATCAAAAGACGAAAATGAGCAACCCAACAGACAGCGAGAATATTTTGAAAAAGCTGCTAATAATATCGAAGAATCGCGTAACTTAAGGAAACAAAACATGGAAAGAGAGAACTCGTCCCCTTTGACGAAAGTTGACGTGATTTTGTCGCTTCTCATGCTTGGTCATTTAAGAAAATATCAGAGCACACAACGTCACCAAGTAGAAAGTTTCAATGAACTGATGGCTATGGCGAAAGATTGCTGTGGAAAAGCTACAGCTTTAGTGGACGAGCTCCTTGGAAAACATCCCCTTAAAGTAGATTGTCATAAAGTCTTGGGTGATTTGCTGTTAGAAATGAAACAAATTAAGGCTGCAAGGAAAAATTATGAAATTGCTTTGAATGTTTTTGAAGAGTTAAAGCTAACTCCAAACATAGGAAAGGTATACTTGCTCAAAAACTATGCCACATCTTTGACGAAGTTGCAGAAGTATGAAAGAGGGAAAGAAATGTTCCAGCGAGCGAAAGATTACTATAAAAAAGCTATAGCTTTAGTAGACGAGTTTCTTGGAAAACATTCCCTTAAAGTAGATTGTCATAAAGTCTTGGGTGATTTGCTGTTAGAAATGAAAGAAAACGAGTCTGCAAGGGAAAATTATGAAATTGCTTTGAATGTTTTTGAAGAGTTAGAGCTAACAAAAGGAAAAAAGGTGAACTTGCTCAAAAACTATGCTACATCTTTGATGAAGTTGCAGGAATATGATAGAGGGGAAGAAATGATCCAGAAAGCTATAGCTTTAGTAGACGAGTTTCTTGGAAAACATTCCCTTAAAGTAGATTGTCATGAAGTCTTGGGTGATTTGCTGTTAGAAATGAAAGAAAACGAGTCTGCAAGGGAAAATTATAAAATTGCTTTGAATGTTTTTGAAGAGTTAGAGCTACCTCCAAACAAAGGAAAGGTATACTTGCTCAAAAAGTATGCCACAACTTTGATGAAGTTGCAGAAATATGAAAGAGGGAACGAAATGTTCCAGAGAGCGTCCGAAATTAATACAGAATATGAATTAGGTTTGGAAGACATGATCGAGACAACTCGACAACAATATAACTAGAAAAAGGAACCAACGACATTAAATCACAATCGCAACATACTTCAATAAATTAAAATGATTTCGTATCATTTTGTTAATAAAAGAAAAACTACAATCATAAATATACCAATATAGTGGTCATGAAGTGCACAAATCTTAGCGTCTTATGTTAAAAAGTATAAATAATAGTTAAAAACTATTCACATATACATCACGTGATTGTAAAAATCGATAATAATTCACTATTCGTGCGGTTGTGGAAATATCGTACCTCAAAAAGAAATTCAAATACATATATCACTCGTTAAGTAAATATGCAATTAATAAAGATATTTTTTTGAATGATTTTGTTTACCTCTTGTAAAATGTATAATTAATATTCCACGAGTTAATATTATTTTATTAAAGTTGGGCAGCTTATTAGAATTTCAGTATCAGCCGACGGAGTTTTAAGGCAATTTTCTGCTTTTATCGTTGTTTCCATACGATACAAATATTTCATGTTGAAGTAAAGTTACATACAGTAACGTTTCGAAAAGTTATTCATCGTCAGACTAGAAGATTCCTGATATGAATTGCCGGCTTTTTATAGTTTATAAGATGCGATATTGCAGCATGAATTTTGAACTTAATCTTTTGCTATATAGCCACAAGTACTTCTACTTGTCAGTTAAATCGAATATTTGAAACCTTACGATGTTCTAGTGTTGATAATACGAATCCTGACGCGCTTTTATTCCAACATGAAAAACATGTGACTTGGACGAAATTAGAACTCGCACCAAGCCCACAAAGATTTGAGACGAGTCAAATCTCTTTTAAACTACGTATGGACGAGAGATTCTCGCCACTATAGCAGTTTTCTGTATGGCACCGTCTTTCAACTTTATTCCAAAGTCATCGTCAGCAGTAGCGTATCCAGCCCGAATTTTTATTTTATGAATTCCGACACGGTTTTATATAGTGTTAAAAATGATAAAATTCAAATTCTCTAATCTCTAACTATTTTACGGTAGTCAGTCATTGAGAAGTGTATGTTATAAAATATTAAAGACACTAACCTCTGCAATCCTTTCAAAATGTAGTTATAATTGTTTAATAAGAATATCCCAGACAGGGCAACTTGACCCAACATTGTAACGTAACTTTTCGACTTCAGTTCAAGATTTAATCCAAGAGCACCAAGAACACGACCTTCAACATTTAAAATACACACGTAAGCTATGATAAAGAAGAATGCATTTATAAGGAAAGAATTTTGTAAACTTACCAAAGTATCGAGCCACAAGAGTTTTAGGTGATACACTGTCACCAATTCGTGGATCCATTACAGATTCTATACGAACAAAAATGTACAACTTACTTAAATGCAAAGTATCTGTTCTTTTCATTCATTTCTTTACACGTAAGCTTAAACAAAAGCCGTGATCTTGTACGTACGTTTTTTCATATAAATTGGGGGCATTTGTTGATAAATAACAGTAAAATGTATCATCCAGGTGTAGAGCGGGGTATATGTGGATAATTGAGTCAGAACTTGTGAATATTGACGACGAATAAATATTTCAATAAAGAAGGCAATCTTACGCTAGGGTCTGGTCTCATGTTTCTCACAAGCTTTACCGTTCAGTGATTCTAAATCTATGTATTCAAGAACAATTCAATTTTGAAACTAATGTACATGAGAAACGGTCGTCATTCTACAACCATAGGGTCGTTCACCCGCAAGATCATCGTTCAAAAATGCTTTAGGATAAAACTGAAATAATCAACATCAAGATAAAGGATCTTAAATAATACCTGAGTTTAAGAGCATATTTCCAACAGTGTCGGTGTATCCCAACAGGTGCTCAAGAAATATCAATGTCTACAAAAAATAATACAACAAAGAGTATCTTTATAAAAAACTTTCGCTCGCGAAATTAATTTACTTTACAAAGAAAATGCATTTACAGACGAAATACACGAGAGATCATGTAAACTAGCAACATTGCTAGATGTCTAGTCAGTCATCTTACGTACATTGCTTGATGTCTAGTCAGTCACCTTACGTACATTGCTTGATGTCTAGTCAGTCACCTTACGTACATTGCTTGATGTCTAATCAGTCATCTTACGTACATTGCTTGATGTCTCGTCACCTTACGTACATTGCTTGATGTCTAGTCACCTTACGTACATTGCTTGATGTCTAGTCGCCTTACGTACGTTGCTTGATGTCTAGTCACCTTACGTACATTGCTTGATGTCTAGTCACCTTACGTACATTGCTTGATGTCTAGTCACCTTACTTACGTTGCTTGATGTCTCGTCACCTTACGTACATTGCTTGATGTCTAGTCACCTTACGTACATTGCTTGATGTCTCGTCACCTTACGTACATTGCTTGATGTCTCGTCACCTTACTTACATTGCTTGATGTCTCGTCACCTTACGTACATTGCTTGATGTCTAGTCACCTTACTTACGTTGCTTGATGTCTCGTCACCTTACGTACATTGCTTGATGTCTAGTCACCTTACTTACGTTGCTTGATGTCTCGTCACCTTACGTACATTGCTTGATGTCTAGTCAGTCACCTTACGTACATTGCTAGATGTCTAGTCAGTCACCTTACGTACATTGCTAGATGTCTAGTCAGTCACCTTACGTACATTGCTAGATGTCTAGTCACCTTACGTACATTGCTTTATGTCTAGTCAGTCACCTTACGTACATTGCTAGATGTCTAGTCACCTTACTTACGTTGCTTGATGTCTAGTCACCTTACGTACATTGCTTTATGTCTAGTCACCTTACGTACATTGCTTTATGTCTAGTCAGTCACCTTACGTACATTGCTTGATGTCTAGTCACCTTACGTACATTGCTTGATGTCTCGTCACCTTACGTACATTGCTTGATGTCTAGTCACCTTACGTACATTGCTTTATGTCTAGTCAGTCACCTTACGTACATTGCTTGATGTCTAGTCACCTTACGTACATTGCTTTATGTCTAGTCACCTTACGTACATTGCTTGATGTCTCGTCACCTTACGTACATTGCTTGATGTCTAGTCACCTTACGTACATTGCTTGATGTCTAGTCACCTTACGTACATTGCTTGATGTCTAGTCACCTTACTTACGTTGCTTGATGTCTAGTCACCTTACGTACATTGCTTGATGTCTAGTCACCTTACGTACATTGCTTGATGTCTAGTCACCTTACGTACATTGCTTGATGTCTAGTAACCTTACGTACATTGCTTTATGTCTAGTCAGTCACCTTACGTACATTGCTTGATGTCTAGTCACCTTACGTACATTGCTTGATGTCTAGTCACCTTACGTACATTGCTTGATGTCTCGTCACCTTACGTACGTTGCTTGATGTCTAGTCACCTTACTTACGTTGCTTGATGTCTAGTCACCTTACGTACATTGCTTGATGTCTAGTCACCTTACGTACATTGCTTGATGTCTAGTCAGTCACCTTACGTACATTGCTTGATGTCTAGTCACCTAACGTACATTGCTTTATGTCTAGTCAGTCACCTTACGTACATTGCTTGATGTCTAGTCACCTTACGTACATTGCTTGATGTCTAGTCACCTTACGTACATTGCTTGATGTCTAGTCACCTTACGTACATTGCTTTATGTCTAGTCAGTCACCTTACGTACATTGCTTGATGTCTAGTCACCTTACGTACATTGCTTGATGTCTAGTCACCTTACGTACATTGCTTGATGTCTCGTCACCTTACGTACATTGCTTTATGTCTAGTCAGTCACCTTACGTACATTGCTTGATGTCTAGTCACCTTACTTACGTTGCTTGATGTCTCGTCACCTTACGTACATTGCTTGATGTCTAGTCACCTTACGTACATTGCTTGATGTCTCGTCACCTTACGTACATTGCTTGATGTCTAGTCACCTTACGTACATTGCTTGATGTCTAGTCACCTTACGTACATTGCTAGATGTCTAGTCACCTTACGTACATTGCTTGATGTCTAGTCACCTTACTTACGTTGCTTGATGTCTCGTCACCTTACGTACATTGCTTGATGTCTAGTCACCTTACGTACATTGCTTGATGTCTCGTCACCTTACGTACATTGCTTGATGTCTCGTCACCTTACTTACATTGCTTGATGTCTCGTCACCTTACGTACATTGCTTGATGTCTAGTCACCTTACTTACGTTGCTTGATGTCTCGTCACCTTACGTACATTGCTTGATGTCTAGTCACCTTACTTACGTTGCTTGATGTCTCGTCACCTTACGTACATTGCTTGATGTCTAGTCACCTTACTTACGTTGCTTGATGTCTCGTCACCTTACGTACATTGCTTGATGTCTAGTCACCTTACTTACGTTGCTTGATGTCTCGTCACCTTACGTACATTGCTTGATGTCTAGTCACCTTACTTACGTTGCTTGATGTCTCGTCACTTTACGTACATTGCTTGATGTCTAGTCAGTCACCTTACGTACATTGCTAGATGTCTAGTCAGTCACCTTACGTACATTGCTAGATGTCTAGTCAGTCACCTTACGTACATTGCTAGATGTCTAGTCAGTCACCTTACGTACATTGCTAGATGTCTAGTCAGTCACCTTACGTACATTGCTAGATGTCTAGTCAGTCACATTACGTACATTGCTAGATGTCTAGTCAGTCACCTTACGTACATTGCTAGATGTCTAGTCAGTCACCTTACGTACATTGCTTGATGTCTAGTCATCTTACGTACATTGCTTGTGAGTTCATGGACAGTGCCATCTTTAGGCATATTTGATTGCTTGTCCGGGTCATGCTAAAGAAAAGAAAACATCAAGTAACAATAAAAATGCCATGAATTTACTGGTGGGGTTGGGGGTGTGTACCTGAGTTAGGTCATGGTGGGGGCGCCTATCTATGGTAGTAAGTTGGGGTTGGGGGTGTGTACCTCTGTTAGTAAGGTGGGGTGGGAGTGCGCACCTCTGTTAGTAAGGTGGGGTGGGAGGGCGTACCTCTGTTAGTAAGGTGGATGGGAGTGCGCACCTCTGTTAGTAAGGTGGGGTGGGAGGGCGTACCTCTGTTAGCAAGGTGGGGTAGGAGGGAGGGCGTACCTCTGTTAGTAAGGTGAGGCTGAGTACACCTGCTAATAAAGTGGAGGTGCTCACCCCTCCTTACCAAGAGGAGGTGAAAAAGAGGTTAGGTGAATTTTCTCACAAGATATAACTATAACAGAAATGAACAAAAATGGCACGATGACATCCACAAAAGTCAAAAAATCTAATCCAAACTAAAGCACCCCCCCCCCCAAACAATCATCCTGGATCCTTCTCTGAGAGAGACGTCATGGATGTTAAGAGAAATTATGGTAGCATAAAATAAAGCATTCCGTCAATCTCATTAATGAAGAAGACGTTTAGTAAGATTCATTGCTGTAATTGGTTACATTCAACAAAGCTTTATAAGTTTTCATAAAGTAAAACATCTTTGCTACGATCACATTCAACAAACAAACCTTGATATTTTCAGTAAAGTCATCCAAAGCTTTAGCTCCCTAAAGCAATCAACAAAAGCAAGATAGAGCGAGAGAACACATCCATTCAGGGACGAAACTAGAACGTTAAGTGAGGGGGGAGGGGTGGGTGAATATTTACAAGATAAAGCGAGAGAACACATCCATTCAGGGACGAAACTAGAACTTTAAGTGAGGGGGGAGGGGTGGGGCGAATATTTATACATTCAGTTTTTCCCTGCAAATTTTCTTTTGAAATTATAATCGCTAACAAACCAAATCAGTCGAGCAGAGGTGAATATATGAATATCTCCCCCCCCACTTAACGTTCTAGTTTCGTCCCTGCCCCACCTCCTTGCAAGATGATGTAACACATCGATAAAATTTTAAATATCCTACCACGGACTCCAAATTAACAAAAAGATTCGGGATTGCTGCTTGAGTTGGAGTACGAACTCCCTAGAACAGATGAAATTTTAAGATTTTCTTAGGCTACACGTGAAAATGACCACATGTAACAAAAAAAAACAAGTTAAAAGACAGTAATATGTAACATATTAAATCAAAATACATGATATAACATGTTGGTATTATAAAAACTGTGACACTCTTCATCAAGAATATGGCGCATTTGTATGTTCGCAAAGTTTGGGCCACATTTAATGTGCTCTAAATTTTTCCTAAGAAAAAAGGGTACCTGTAAAGTTTCCTAGTTACCTGTAATGCTTGAGAGAACAAGGGCAACACAGATTTAACATACTTGAGCACGGGAAGAAGAGGCAACAGAGAGAAATATTCCCTTTTCGCAATTAATTTTCTTGCCGAGTTTTCCATGACCTCAATAAGGAATGAAAAAACGTTTAAAAAACGTGAAAAAATTTCCAAACAAATTCTTCTCATAAAGCGACTTACTTCTCCCTCGACAATCAACGTTTCAATCAAATTTTGAATGAGAACGTCAAAAATACCATCTCTATGTTCTTTACAAATGATCAAATTTATCAATGTCCGTTCACTCTAGGAATGACATATCTGCAAAATAACTTTTGCATCGAAAAAATACACTTTAAAAAATACACTTTAAAATACACTTTAAAATACAAACTTTGAAATACACTTTAAAATACACTTTAAAATACACTTTAAATAATACACTTTAAAATACACTTTAAAAAATACACTTTAAAATACACTTTAAATAATACACTTTAAAATACACTTTAAAAAATACACTTTAAAATACACTTTAAATAATACACTTTAAAATACACTTTAAAAAATAAACTTTGAAATACACTTTAAATACACTTTAAAATACACTTTAAAAAATACACTTTAAAAATACAAAATAATACACTTAAAAATACACTTTAAAATACACTTTAAAAAATACACTTTAAAATACACTTTAAAATACACTTTAAAAAATAAACTTTAAAATACACTTTAAAATACACTTTAAAATACAATTTAAAATACACTTTAAAAAATAAACTTTAAAATACACTTTAAAATACACTTTAAAAAATACACTTTAAAATACACTTTAAATAATACACTTTAAAATACACTTTAAAAAATAAACTTTGAAATACACTTTAAAATACACTTTAAAATACACTTTAAAAAATACACTTTAAAATACACTTTAAATAATACACTTTAAAATACACTTTAAAAAATACACTTTAAAATACACTTTAAAAAATACACTTCAAAATACACTTTAAAATACACTTTAAAAAATAAACTTTAAAATACACTTTAAAATACACTTTAAAATACACTTTAAAATACAATTTAAAATACACTTTAAAAAATACACTTTAAAATACACTTTAAAAAATACACTTTAAAATACACTTTAAAAAATAAACTTTAAAATACACTTTAAAAATACACTTTAAAATACACTTTAAAAAATACACTTTAAAATACACTTTAAAAAATACACTTTAAAATACACATTAAAAAATACACTTTAAAATACGCTTTAAAACAACTATGTGCAACAAACCTGGAGAAGTTTTAAAAGTGCCGCAGAAAGAGTGATGAATCGACCAGCTTCTATCTCACTAAATAAATAAAGAAATTTGTTTCTGCGTATGAATCTTTAAAAGATAACAGTGTTGAAGTTAAAACACAAAAGCAACGAGTTCGAGGAAAGAATCAAAGTTAAAGTTTAGGTTTCGGAAGATTATTGAGATAAATTCTGCCTGGTTTAGCTAATTGCTTTAACTTGAATATTCAGCCATTTTCACGATAATGCCACAGATTAAGAATATACAGAAGAGTCACTCGTGTCGTAACCTTTGATGTTTTGTCCTCGCGCATGTCGTGCCGCGCATGGTGGCCGCCATTATTCCAGCCAGATGATTAGGGTTTTTGACTTTTTCCAAACCTTTAAAATGATCCGAAGTCATTTCTTAAGTCAAAATATACTTGAATTCATTATAAAGTATTGACGTCATGTAATTTTAATGGTTGGAAACAAGTGAGAAATCCTAATCATCTGGCTGGAATAATGGCCGACATGAGGACGTGTTGTACACCTGAGTGACCTGTATAATCATTATTGTGTGAAAATGCGGTCTATAACACGTGACGGAAGACCACTGAACTAAAATACCTGGAACGCTACCTGTAGTACAAAACCCTAATGATTTTTTGAAGACGTGATTTTACCCTAGACACGCGTGTGTAGCCAATCAATTATTACTCCGCAAGAGAATCTCGAAACACCAAACACGCGTGTCTGGGGTAAAATCTCGCGTGTCTGGGTGTAAGATTTGGCTTCAATTATTTGCTTCAGGTAGCGTTCCATGTATTTTAGTTCAATGGGGAAAAACCACTAAACCTGTCGGTTGAAGAGCATTTTTATCCAGTTGGATTTATGAAATCATCTTCTTAACAGCAATTACGACGAACGCCGAACGACAAAAAGTTTACAAACACAGAACAAAAAATACACAATAAAATACATTACTCTTCATCCTCTTTGGATGTTGACGAATCGAACATTGCAGCTGGTGAGTTGACTTTCCGATTTCCTGTGTATTCAAACGCTTTCGATGGTACACGACGCACAAGATTTCTTTTCATAGTTGATTTTCTTTGAGGAGTGATGCCGCTTAACTGTTTCAACTTCGGACTGATCATCTGCAGATGTAAATAAGTTTGTACATTGTGAGATTATCATTGAAGACGTTAACCTTGATACTTAATGAAAATCCTGTTGAAAATTTTAGCCCCTACAATAAAACCATCTCTTCGTATCCAGAAAAGACTATCTCTCTAATGGGTGAAATATCGGTAAAAAATCTCGCTTCCTCTAGTAAAACAAATCTTGACAACACCCCCCACCCCCAGGGTGAAACATCAACATTTCCGATGAAAAAATTTTTCTAACTTTTCAGATAAAAAGATTATAGATAGACTGACTTTTATGTACTTACAATGTTGGCAGGAGAATAACTTTCTATCTTTCCTAGCGAATGTCCCTCGACTAATCTGAGGAAAGTCGAAAACAAAAAAACTTGAATATTTTATGAAAAGAACCCATTATTCTGCATTTAATATAGACGACAAATTTTTTGAGAATAGACATATTTCGACATCTCATAATGTCTACTGAAGATGACATCAAGAAATGTCGAAACATGTCTATTCTCAAAAAAATCGTCGTGTATATTAAATGAACATTAGCAACAGTTCTTTTACGAAATTATGAAAACCCAATATTTCTTAAAGCAGTCAAACGTTCACTAATATAAAATATTTTATAAAAACAAGCTTTCGGTTATAAAATACTTTTTTATAACCCGTCGAAGGCTGTAGACAGACAGCCGAAAGCTTGTTTTATAAAAAAAATGTATATTGTGAACGTTTGACTGCGTTATGTATAATACTGATAACGGATCACGCATTTTTTCCATTGTTTCTGGTAACAAGTACATCACAAACCCTTGTAAGGTCTTCATTACGACACTTGATCGAATTTGACTGTACACATTCATAAAATCTGAAAGAACAAAAAATTCTTTTATAAAATAACATATGCCAAACGCGTGCTCTGATTGGTCGATGTCCGACTTTGGATCAGACCATCAAAACACGAAAATTGAAATCGCTATCAGCGCAGTCGTGAAATTTTTGAACATACCATTGAACTGAAATACATGGGACGCTACCTAATAATTTTTTGAAACCAAATTTTACACCCAGCGAAAGCAACATGTAATAAAAATAAAAGTTCAAAAATTTGTATGGCTTGCATTTTTGTGCTTTATGCAGCTGGAATCCGTCCTGGATATTCTTAAGTCACGCCGTAAAGGCCCGCAACAATGCTTACAAAAAAGTCATTAACGCGACGACTTGCCAGTATTCAAGCTTTCCTTCGATCGTTATGCTTTTTCAAACCCAAAATGATTAATATTCACTGTTATGCCTTCTGCCTTTATAAATAATTGTTCTGAATAACTACAATCGGATTAAAAAATGATCCAAAACTCAAAAATATCTCCTAAACCTAACCATTTCATTGCCACTATTCTACATAAACAATACTATGTCCGACCATTTGATTGTCCAAATTTTGCAATTTGATTTCGTATTTTTGACACGTGTGTCTACCGTCGGAAAGGTGGATTCATTTACTTCAGGTAGCATTCCAAGTATTTTAGTTTAATGGAACATACTCGCCTTAGGCTCGTGTTTCGTTCGCTTTTCTAAACTCTAGCTAAATTCGCGTTACAACCAAACCCATAATGAAAGTGAAACATATTTTCAAGGAAATACCTTTAGATTGGGCTTCTGTGACCAGCCAAGCTGCTATTTTACTCAAATCTTCTATAGCTTCGTCTAAACGTGGAAAAGAAAGTAACATTTGGGAGACTAGAGATCATTAGAAAAGTGGCGAAAGATCATTTACGAGAAGACATTTTCCCTTATCGTTTTACAATATTGATTTCAAAATTTCTTTGATGTTTTTTTGTTACCATTTATAGGTTTAAATTGAGGCGTGGATTCTTCTGTTTCTGGAAAGAAATATAAAAAATGTGAATTGAGATATAATGACTTAAATCTGACGCATAATAACGTGTGACTTTAACGTAAGATGGCGAGACTAAGGCCTGTTTCAAACGTCACATTTTACATACGGCCATGAACCGAATGCACTAAAGAGAAAAGAAAATGAGATAAAATTCCTCATTAGCTTTTATTTCAAATGCATTCGTCTCATGTAAAACGCGACGTTTGAAACAGGCCTAACTGTTTGACTAGGTTTTAAACAGGATAACGAAATTTTTCACATAGAATGACCTAAAGCCATTCTTATGTTAAGACAAGTGGAAAACCTGAATTACGCGCGCGCTAATTTGTTGGGGAAATGATATTTTGAAAATCACCGCCTTAATATAATCTACAACGCCTCCGAAAAATCTGCTAAAACTTTCTATAGTCCCCCCCCCCCGCAATAACCATTGACAACCTTCGTTAGAATTCAATAAATCAATCAATGTTTCAGCTTCGAGAGGACTACTGTTTAGCGCCAGGAACTGTCTAAATGAACGTTCCATTTGTTCACGTCCTGTTTCCATTAATGATGTCTGAAATGAAAATTAACTTTTTAATTGAGCAAGATTGACTTAAAAAAATATGTAATGATCTCATAAAGAGGGATAACTCAGGACTGTTGGGTATGTTGTTTTCAAAAAATACTTAATGATCTCACAAGGAGGGATAACTCAGGACTGTTGGGATTATTGTCTTCAAAAAATACTTAATGATCTCACAAGGAGGGATAACTCAGGACTGTTGGGTATGTTGTTTTCAAAAATACTTAATGATCTCACAATGAGGGATAACTCAGGACTGTTGGGTATATTGTTTTCAAAAAATACTTAATGATCTCACAAGGAGGGATAACTTAGGACTGTTGGGTATGTTGTTTTCAAAAATACTTAATGATCTCACAAGGAGGGATAACTCAGGACTGTTGGGTATGTTGTTTTCAAAATATACTTAATGATCTCACAAGGAGGGATAACTCAGGACTGTTGGGTATGTTGTTTTCAAAAAAATACTTAATGGTCTCACAAGGAGGGATAACTTAGGACTGTTGGGTATGTTGTTTTCATAAAATACTTAATGGTCTCACAAGGAGGGATAACTAGGACTATTGGGTATGTTGTTTTCAAAAATACTCAATGATCTCACAAGGAGGGATAACTCAGGACTGTTGGGATTATTGTTTCAAAAATACTTAATGATCTCACAACGAGGGATAACTCAGGACTGTTGGGTATGTTGTTCTCAAAAAAATACTTAATGATCTCACAAGGAGGGATAACTCAGGACTGTTGGGTATGTTGTTTTCAAAAATACTTAATGATCTCACAAGGAGGGATAACTCAGGACTGTTGGGTATGTTGTTTTCAAAAAATACTTAATGATCTCACAAGGAGGGATAACTTAGGACTATTGGGTATGTTGTTTTCAAAAAATACTTAATGGTCTCATAAAGAGGGATAACTCAGGACTGTTGGGTATGTTGTTTTCAAAAAATACTCAATGATCTCACAAGGAGGGATAACTCAGGACTGTTGGGATTATTGTCTTCAAAAAATACTTAATGATCTCACAACGAGGGATAACTCAGGACTGTTGGGTATGTTGTTCTCAAAAAAATACTTAATGATCTCACAAGGAGGGATAACTCAGGACTGTTGGGTATGTTGTTTTCAAAAATACTTAATGATCTCACAAGGAGGGATAACTTAGGACTGTTGGGTATGTTGTTTTCAAAAATACTTAATGAACTCACAAGGAGGGATAACTCAGGACTATTGGGTATGTTGTTTTCAAAAATACTTAATGATCTCACAAGGAGGGATAACTCAGGACTGTTGGGTATGTTGTTTTCAAAAATACTTAATGATCTCACAAGGAGGGATAACTCAGGACTGTTGGGTATGTTGTTTTCAAAAATACTTAATGATCTCACAAGGAGGGATAACTTAGGACTGTTGGGTATGTTGTTTTCAAAAATACTTAATGATCTCACAAGGAGGGATAACTCAGGACTGTTGGGTATGTTGTTTTCAAAATATACTTAATGATCTCACAAGGAGGGATAACTCAGGACTGTTGGGTATGTTGTTTTCAAAAAATACTTAATGGTCTCACAAGGAGGGATAACTTAGGACTGTTGGGTATGTTGTTTTCATAAAATACTTAATGGTCTCACAAGGAGGGATAACTTAGGACTATTGGGTATGTTGTTTTCAAAAAATACTCAATGATCTCACAAGGAGGGATAACTCAGGACTGTTGGGATTATTGTCTTCAAAAAATACTTAATGATCTCACAACGAGGGATAACTCAGGACTGTTGGGTATGTTGTTCTCAAAAAAATACTTAATGATCTCACAAGGAGGGATAACTCAGGACTGTTGGGTATGTTGTTTTCAAAAATACTTAATGATCTCACAAGGAGGGATAACTCAGGACTGTTGGGTATGTTGTTTTCAAAAATACTTAATGATCTCACAAGGAGGGATAACTCAGGACTGTTGGGTATGTTGTTTTCAAAAATACTTAATGATCTCACAAGGAGGGATAACTTAGGACTGTTGGGTATGTTGTTTTCAAAAATACTTAATGATCTCACAAGGAGGGATAACTCAGGACTGTTGGGTATGTTGTTTTCAAAATATACTTAATGATCTCACAAGGAGGGATAACTCAGGACTGTTGGGTATGTTGTTTTCAAAAATACTTAATGGTCTCACAAGGAGGGATAACTTAGGACTGTTGGGTATGTTGTTTTCATAAAATACTTAATGGTCTCACAAGGAGGGATAACTTAGGACTATTGGGTATGTTGTTTTCAAAAAATACTCAATGATCTCACAAGGAGGGATAACTCAGGACTGTTGGGATTATTGTCTTCAAAAAATACTTAATGATCTCACAGGAGGGATAACTCAGGACTGTTGGGTATGTTGTTCTCAAAAATACTTAATGATCTCACAAGGAGGGATAACTCAGGACTGTTGGGTATGTTGTTTTCAAAAATACTTAATGATCTCACAAGGAGGGATAACTCAGGACTGTTGGGTATGTTGTTTTCAAAAATACTTAATGATCTCACAAGGAGGGATAACTTAGGACTATTGGGTATGTTGTTTTCAAAAATACTTAATGGTCTCATAAAGAGGATAACTCAGGACTGTTGGGTATGTTGTTTTCAAAAATACTCAATGATCTCACAAGGAGGGATAACTCAGGACTGTTGGGATTATTGTCTTCAAAAAATACTTAATGATCTCACAAGGAGGGATAACTCAGGACTGTTGGGTATGTTGTTTTCAAAAAATACTTAATGATCTCACAAGGAGGGATAACTCAGGACTGTTGGGTATGTTGTTTTCAAAAATACTTAATGATCTCACAAGGAGGGATAACTTAGGACTGTTGGGTATGTTGTTTTCAAAAAATACTTAATGAACTCACAAGGAGGGATAACTCAGGACTATTGGGTATGTTGTTTTCAAAAAATACTTAATGATCTCACAAGGAGGGATAACTTAGGACTGTTGGGTATGTTGTTTTCAAAAAATACTTAATGATCTCACAAGGAGGGATAACTCAGGACTGTTGGGTATGTTGTTTTCAAAAAATACTTAATGATCTCACAAGGAGGGATAACTTAGGACTATTGGGTATGTTGTTTTCAAAAAATACTTAATGGTCTCATAAAGAGGGATAACTCAAGACTGTTGGGTATGTTGTTTTCAAAAAATACTCAATGATCTCACAAGGAGGGATAACTCAGGACTGTTGGGATTATTGTCTTCAAAAAATACTTAATGATCTCACAAGGAGGGATAACTCAGGACTGTTGGGTATGTTGTTTTCAAAAATACTTAATGATCTCACAAGGAGGGATAACTCAGGACTGTTGGGTATGTTGTTTTCAAAAAATACTTAATGATCTCACAAGGAGGGATAACTTAGGACTGTTGGGTATGTTGTTTTCAAAAAATACTTAATGAACTCACAAGGAGGGATAACTCAGGACTATTGGGTATGTTGTTTTCAAAAAATACTTAATGATCTCACAAGGAGGGATAACTTAGGACTGTTGGGTATGTTGTTTTCAAAAAATACTTAATGATCTCACAAGGACGGATAACTCAGGACTATTGGGTATGTTGTTTTCAAAGAATACTTAATGAACTCACAAGGAGGGATAACTCAGGATTGTTGGGTATGTTGTTTTCAAAAAATACTTAATGATCTCACAAGGAGGGATAACTCAGGACTGTTGGGTATGTTGTTTTCAAAAATACTTAATGATCTCACAAGGAGGGATAACTTAGGACTATTGGGTATGTTGTTTTCAAAAAAAACTTAATGGTCTCATAAAGAGGGATAACTCAGGACTGTTGGGTATGTTGTTTTCAAAAAATACTCAATGATCTCACAAGGAGGGATAACTCAGGACTGTTGGGATTATTGTCTTCAAAAAATACTTAACGATCTCACAAGGAGGGATAACTTAGGACTGTTGGGTATGTTGTTTTCAAAAAATACTTAATGAACTCACAAGGAGGGATAACTCAGGACTATTGGGTATGTTGTTTTCAAAAATACTTAATGAACTCACAAGGAGGGATAACTGAGGACTGTTGGGTATGTTGTTTTCAAAAAATACTTAATAATCTCACAAGGAGGGATAACTCAGGACTGTTGGGTATGTTGTTTTCAAAAATACTTAATGATCTCACAAGGAGGGATAACTTAGGACTATTGGGTATGTTGTTTTCAAAAAATACTTAATGGTCTCATAAAGAGGGATAACTCAGGACTGTTGGGTATGTTGTTTTCAAAAAATACTCAATGATCTCACAAGGAGGGATAACTCAGGACTGTTGGGATTATTGTCCTCAAAAAATACTTAACGATCTCACAAGGAGGGATAACTCAGGACTGTTGGGTATGTTGTTTTCAAAAAATACTTAATGATCT